TTTGAGTCACTTTACTACTGACATTACAGGCCCCTTCTGTGTGTGGCCAACTACCGGTCTGCCTGGGAGCTCCTTCTATGCTGGATTAGTTACTTTTCTTGTTGCCGTTACAACCTGATAAAACCAATGAGGGCTCACAGTCTGAGGTAACGGTCAGTTGTGGTAGACAAGTCATGGAGGCAGCTGGTCACATGACACCCACAGACCAGCAACAGAAGAGTGTGGGTGCTTGGTTTGCTTTCCCCTTTTCACTCAGGCCAGGACTCCAGCAAATGGGAGGGTGCCACAACATTTAGGGTGCAACTCTCCATTAATTAAATCTCTCTAGAGACACCCTCAGAGACATACCCAGAGGTGTTACCACCACATAGGTCTTGTCCTGCTCACACAGGCGGAGCTAGTAACGGATAGGCATGCTCTGAGGGAAGACATCTGGAAGGGGTCTTAACCACAGGGCGTTGTAACCAGCCCTGCTCCATCTCTGGCTGCTCCTTCCATTAACTATACACACCAGGTAAGAGGTCTGCAGAGGACCTGGTCTCCAAGTTGCTTAAGGTTGCATGAGGAAGTGGCCCTCAAACAGTTCTTCCAGAGTGCTGTGTGAGTCTCCCTGTGTGGGAGAAGTTAGGGAAAAATCTTTCCGTTCTTGCTGCTTAAAGGGAAGAATTCAGTCAGAGAACGGACAGTCTAAGGAATTTCTTTAGCCAAGTGCTCCAGTGGGACTGGAGTGGGCTGCTCGACAGTGCCAGCAGCACAGTGGGCTCTGTGCTGTGAGTCTGTGGGTTAGAAAGATGTTCATGAATATTTATTAGGTGGGTAGCATATTCATGAGGTAAAGTAACTCTTTTCTCCTCCCAAATCATGGTGGACTGGATCACCAGTTTAGAGTATTCCTTCCCATGATTCTTTAGGAAAGCCCACATGGAGGGTCAAAACTGCAATGTAAATGACACTGTAAAAGACACCATGTTCACTGAGTATGCAGACTGTTGACTAGAGCACACGTGTGGGCGAATGTCCTGAAACCTTAGTTTCTGACGTGGTGGGGACAGCTAGTCTGCAGCCTCAAGGTGTTTAACCACAAATGGGCATTCTGACCACTGACAGACACAGCTACCAAGGTGCAGCTGTGGTTTTCTTGGTTAATTTGCACCCAGGTCCTCTTTGAGGCTTCTCCAGGTCCATGATTGACCTCTTTGATGTCTGTTGTAAGTCATCCCATTATTTTTAAAAAGAGGCTTTATTGTGAACGCTTGGCCTGCCTGGGTTTTACAGTAACTTGTGAGGTGGCTCAAACAGGAACAGATTTATGCTGCCTGTGGGACCTTCTGCCTAACTGATGGGCTCCATGGCTGGCCAAGCCTGTGTTTTATGCAAACACTGAGTGGCCCCAGGTGCCTGAGAACCTGTGATGAGTGTTCCAAAACAGGAATGGCAACTTAATGTACAGGCCCCACAAAACTGCTGCCTTGGACTTAAGGTTCAAGTTGGGAGCTGTGGTGCACACCCATAATCCAGCATTGGAGAGATGGAGACAGAAGTCCAGGCCTTCAAGACCAGCCTGTCTCAAAAAGGGAAAAACAAAACAAAACAAAACAAAAAAACCCTATCATTGTTATCTCTGCCAGGTGACCTCACTACCAAGGTGCAGAGGTATAAGCCAAACCAGAACAGAAGGGTCACCTTTGACCTTCCCACAGCACCCTGGTGCAGACCTTAACTTTTCTCTTAAAGAGACATTTCCAGGGGTGGGAAGGTGGCTCTGTCAGTGAAGTGATTGTGATACAAGCATGAGGGTAAGTTTGGAGCCCAGCACCTGTGTAAAGTTTGGGTGTGATAGAACATCTGTGACCCTGTCCCTGGAGAGGCAGAGACAGAAGATTCCTGGTGCTTGCTGGCCAGTCTAGCTGAGTTTGAGGTGCCCAAGTTTCAGTGAGAGACCCTGTTTCAGAGCAAGGTGGGGTGGGGACTACTTATCTGTACCAATAGATACATTATAAAGTGTCCACACTTAAGGCTCAGAGAACATTGTGGAAGAAGGGGCAGAAAGATTTTAAGAGCCAAAAGACCAGGGAGTTTGCTGTGAGACTGTTTTCTAGCAAAGTCTAACCAAGATGATTGACAAAACATGTGCTGAACAAAGACAATAACAACAGATACTCCAAAGTGGATGGAATGGGGGTCGGGGGCAACCACACGGCCTCAGATCTACACAAAGAGCTACAAGCAGCCAAGGGATGCTGAGAATAGGAGAAACAGTCCTCCCCAGGGAGAAAGAGCATGCCAATTGATTATCCAGTGCTAAATGGTTGCCCCTGAAAACATACATACAGCTACAGAGAAGGTTGTCTTTAAGAATGTATGTGTATATACATGTATGCATGTAACAACAGTTAATGAAAAAGGGGGTCATGAATTTAAAAGAGCAAGAAGGGGTACATGGGAAGTTTTGGAAGGAGGAAAGGGAAGGGAAAAAATGATATAATTAAATTATGATTTCAAAATAAAAGAAAATAGAGAAAACATTACTGATTTATATTAAGGATGTCTAATATGTAAAAAAAATAAATCCAAATCTCTGAGTTTTTAGGGCACATGGCTGAAATATCCATGTGCCTAATTCTTTCCAATGCATTATGAATAAAAATGAAATTTGTGAAATGCCAAAAAAAACGGGAGAGCAATTGAGGGAGACTCCTGAGCAATAGAGGGAGATGCCTGCCTTAGTTTATTTTCTTTTGCTGAGATAAACCCCATGACCAACAGCATGGGTTTGTTTCACCTTACAGCTTACAGCACATCACAAAGGAAAGTCAGGACAGGAACTTGAGGCCAGGCAGGACCTGGAGGCAGCAGCTAAAGCAGAGGGCATGTCGGGGAGCTGCTTACTGGCTACTCATCATGGTTTGCTCAGCCTACTTTCTTATAGAACCCAGGACCATGCACAGTGGGTTGGACCCTCCCACATCAATCGTCAGTCAAGAAAATGCACCAGTCTTACCGATAGGCCAGTCTGGAACTTCCTCAATTGAAGTTCCCTCTTCCCAAATGACTCTAGCTTTTGTAAAGCTGACATAAAACTAGCCAGCACAACACCCAATGTCAAAACACACACGCACAGAAAGGATTCCCAGATACTCTGTATTGGGATGACAATTGTTTCCAAAGACACAAAGATTAGGGGTTGCTAAGGAAACAGTTTTCATCGTCTGTCGTAAATGGATTACTGGTGAAATGAACAGCAATTCATTCTTCCAGATGGCAGGCAGGAAGGGACGCTTGCTCCTGGGTAGAGTGAGTCATGGAACAGAGGAGCACATGGAACAGGGCCCCCTCTCTCTTCACTTCAGATCTACACCCTACTTTTTAAGACAGAGTCTTATGTGCCCAGGTTGGCCTCAGACTCACCATACAGCTTCTGGTCTTCCACCTCCTGAGTGCTGGGATTACCAGTGTATGTCATCATGCATGGTTCATGTGTTGCTTGAGATAAATCTAGCTCTTACTGTGGGACCCTTTTTAATTTACTCACCCAGCCCTGTCACCAGACGGACTGATGCCTCTCATCTGACTGTGTGAAAGCAGACAGGCTTTGCTTAGAGAAGGGGTAAAAGATGTCTCCAGGAACCGAAAGTTATAACTGCTGATGGCAGAGCCATGCCCTCACCCTGATTCCATCTCCATGGGGCTCTTTACAAATTGAGGTGTAGGCCAGGTGTGGACACACATCTGCGATCTCTGAACTAGGGAGGTTGAGGCAGGAGATTGCCACAAATCTGAGGTCAGCCTGGGCTGTATGAGAAAAACCTGTCTCAAAAACCTGACCTATAATTCATGTGCCATAAATCACACACTGTGAAACATACGGTTCACAGGTTTCCATGTGTGCACAGGCTGGGCGGTCACAGGCTGCCCAGTGGCCACCACTGTGTAACTGAAGTTCCTCTACACTGTCGAAAGGACCTATACCCGTTTTCTGCCATCCCAAAATTCCCATCTCTCCCCACCTCAGTTACAGTGACTCTGCTTATCCTCTGCATTTCTGTCCTGTACATGGAACCAGAGTAGGCAGTGTCCTGGGTCTGGCTGCTTCCTTGAGCACAATGCAAACATTGCACTTTTGATGATCCAAGCTGAACATGGATCAGTACTAGGCTCTTCTTGGTGGCTGAATTATAGTCCAGTGTGAGTGTTCTGGGTGGGCATTTGCTTGTTGCAAAGTTTTGGTAAAGGAGAATTGTTGACTCCTTTTTTTTTTTTTTTTTTTTTTTTTTTTTTTTTTTTTTTTTGTTTTGTTTTGATTTGAGACAGGGTTTCTCTGTGTAGCTTTGGAGCCTATCCTGGCACTCGCTCTGGAGACCAGGTTGGCCTTGAACTCACAGAGATCCGCCTGCCTCTGCCTCCGAGTGCTGGGATTAACGGCGTGCATCACCAACACCTGGCTCTTGTTGACTCCTAATGAGGTGGTAGGAGTTCCTCAGGTAGGCCTGGGTTTAGGAAAGGACTTAGTCAGATGTTAGGAAAAACCAAGAAATTGATAAATCTCAATAAATAAATAGATAAATAGAGAAAGAAAAGTCAGTAGCTCATATACAGCATGCAGGGAGGTGGGGCGTATTTGGAGGGGTTCTATTTTTTCCTTTGTGTGTATGTTCCCATTTGTTTGTGTGACTGGGGACATCTGTGCTGCCATGGTTACGTGTATAGGGGTCAGAAGACAGCCTCAGGTGTCAGTCACCTTGTGCTATTTGTACTCACCAGCCTGATTGGCCCAAGAGCCTCTGGGGATTCTCCCTGCTGCTCCTGTCACACCCCTAAGAAAGCTTGGCCCAACTTTCCTGGGTTCTGGGGGTTTGAATCTAGACCCTCACACCAGGGCACATGCATTACTCACTGGGCCTTCTCTGCAGCCCCTCCACCTTTGGGTTTCTGTTGGTGGCTTGTCTAGCTTATGCTCCTCTTGTGGACTTTGCAGGGTGTTGTTTTCTGTTTTTCTTTCTCATATTTTACTTATCTGCCTTCTCATGTATTAGTGGAGTTTTTTGTTGTTGTTTTGTTTTGTTTTTCGTTTTTCTGAAGTAGGGTTTCACAATGCAGTCCTGGTTGGCTTGGAGCTTGCTATGTGACCGGGCTGGCCTTGAACTCACAGCAATTCTCCTGCTTCTGTCTCCCAAATGCTGGGACTAATAGTGTGTGCTATCATGCCTGGCTAATGGAATCGTTTTTTGAACATTTTCTTCTATCTCCTCTTTTGACAGTTTTGTTTATTTGAGACAAGGTCTCAGCTCAAGCTAGCCACAAACTTGGTAAGTAGCAGAGGAAGGCTGTCATCCTCCTACCTCCACTCCAATTTCTATTGGCTTTTTTCTTTTATCTTCTAGTTCAGCCTGTGGGTTGTGACCCTTCTAGGAGCACAGGGGTTGTATATCAGATATCCTGCATATCAGATATTTACATTAAGATTCATAACAATAGCAAAATTACAGTTATGAAGTAGAAATGAAAAATAAAATAGGGGCTGGAGAGATGGCTCAGCGGTTAAGAGCACTAACTGCTCTTCCAGAGGACCCAGGTTCAATACCAAGCACCTCATAGCAGCTCACAAACTGTCTGCAATTCCAATTCCAGGGAATTTGACACCCTCACACAGACATACATGCAGGCAAAACACCAAGGCACATAAAATACAAATATATAAAAGATCCTTAAAAATTTGGGGGGGTGTTCAAGACAGGGTTTCTCTGTAGATTTAGAGCCTGTCCTAGAACTCCCTCTGTAGACCAGGCTGGCCTTGAGTTCATAGAGTCTCTCTGCCTCCCAAGTGCTGGGATTAAAGGTGTGTGCCACCATCGCTCATCAAAAAAAAGAACTTTAAAAAATTAACAGACATATAAGTTCTTTTTTAAAGATTTGTTTTATTTATATATTTTGTTTTATTTATATGGTACTTTGTGTGTACATTTGCAAACCAGAAGACAGCATCAGACAGTTGTGAACTGCCATGTGGGTGCTGGGAATTGAACTCAGGACCTTTGGAAGAGCAGTGAGTACTCTTAATTACTGAGCCATCTCTCCAGCCCCATGAAAATAATTTTATGGTTGGAGTCACCACCGAATGAGGAACTGTATTAAAGGGTCTCGGCATTAGGAAGGTTGAGAACTGCTATTCTAGCTATATATTTTCAGCTAAATATATGCACTCTTTGGAGGCCACACAGTCCCCCTGCTCCAGCCTCCCAGTAGCTGGTATCATAGACCCCCAACCCAGACCCGACCTGAACATGTCTTCTTTTGTGTTTGCTCTTTGGATTTCACCATCAAATGTGCCAACACATCATGGGATCTTACAGCTCACGTGGAACTACTCTGAGAATAGGGAATAGGGAATAAAAAGCAGTGGTGTTCTGACATGTGAGTGACCCATAAGGACATGAAGCTGAGTCACAGACACCGTCACAAAGTCAACCTCTTGCCTGGTTCCTTTTATGGGAAATGTCCTGAATACGGGACTCCAGGGAAGCAGACAGTGGGCCACTGGTCTCCTCTCTCAGGGAAGGACTAAGAGTTAGTCACAAGGACTTCTTTAAAAGGAAAATGTTTAAATTCCATCCATTTATACCGTGTATCCGGGTCATACTGGCTCCCGCTTTCTCCTTTTAGCTCACCCCATAGCATAGCTCCCATTTCTTAACCTTAGGCCTTTTTTTTTTAAACCCACTAAATCCAATTAGTGCTTCCCATATGCACACGTATATGGGAACATACACTGGATGACCTACCAATGCCCCCTCCCCAAAGAAAAGTGACATGTCCCCAGAAACCATCAATAGCCATTGGGCCTCAGCTAGGGGGGTAGGTATTAGGAGTCCTCCTTCCTCCATATTGGGAATTTTAACATTCTTGATCTTTTGTTTGTCTCTACAGGTGATCCCAAAGGCTGTGAATTCATGTGTGTAATAGCCACGTCTTCTCCAGAAGACAACATTTCACACTCTCCCCGTCCTCCAAGGCTTGCGTCCTTTCCATCCCTCTTCTGAGATGTTCCCTGAGCCTTCTGGGGTGGGTTGAAAGGGTTCTAAAGTTGGCTGCAATGTCAGACAGAGTGAATGTTCTGTGAATTCTACACTTTAGCTATGTGCGTGTGGTATATGTGTGTTCAGTGTGTACACGCCCTTCTGCGTGTGTGTCGGTCAGACGGTGGCTTCGGCTGTCAGTTCCTACCTTCCACCGTGTATTTGATCAGGCCTCTTGTTTCTGCTGCTCTCAGCTGTCCCACAGGCCGACCTTCCCACAGGCTTCTGGTGGATCCCTGTCTCCTCCATTCTCCATCTCACCATAGGAGGACTTATGTTACAACGTGAAACTCAGGCCCTCACACTTGTGCAGCTGGTACTACACACACACACACACACACACACACACACACACACACACACACACAAAGCATCTCCCTGGCCTGATTTCTGCATTTTAAACATGAATTGAGGCCAGCAGTGCGATGTCAATGTCCTACAAATTTGCTTCATATTTAGGATCCTTTGTCTTCACCGTGAAAACTTTTCTTAAGAGCTGAAGAGATGGCTCAGCAGTTAAAAGCACTGGCTGTTCTTCCAGAGGACCTGAGTTTAATTCCCAGCACCCATATGGCAGCTCACAACTGTTTATAACTGTAGTCCCATGGGATCCAATGCCCTCTTCTAGTGTGCAGACAACCCTCATTTACTTAAAAATAAGTAAGCAAAACTTTTTAGCATCCATCCTACCAGGTGCTTGGGGTAATGCATTTCCTCAAGTTGGTCTAATGTTTTATTTTGCTTACCCCACTCTTTTTGAGACATAGGCTCATTTATGTAGCCCAGGCTGGCCTCATTGAACTCACTGTGTATCTGAGGATGACCTTGAACTTCTGATCTTCCTGCCTCCACCTTCCTAGCACTGGCCTTATAGTCTTGAATTTACACCTGGTTTATGCAAAGCTAAGGTTGGCACTCAGGGCTTCATGCATTCTAGGTAAGCACTTTACCTACATCACCCCTCCTCCCTTTTAAAATTTATTCTCTTTTAAAATTATCTGTCTGTGTTTGGGTTTGTGCACAAACATGGAAATGCCCATAGAGACCAGAAGAGGGTGCTGGATCCCCTGGAACTGGAATGACAGACATTTGTGAACCATTCAGTGTTGGTTCTGGGAACCCAACTCAGGTCCTTTGGAACAGCAGCAGTATGCTCTCTGTTGGAAAAGAATATTCTTGGCATTAAACCAAGAAATACATGAACAGCTATGCAGTGGTGGCACACACCTTTAATCCCAACCCTTGGGAGATAGCAGCAGACAGATTTGTGAGTTCAAGGCCAGCCTGGGCTACAGAGCCAGCGCCAGGACTGCTGGGGTTGTATAGAGAAACCCTGTCACAAAACCTGCCCGCACCCCCCATCTCCCATCCCCCCAACTCCCCCCCACCGCAAAAAAAAGAAAGAAAGAAAATACATGAACAAAGTGAAAGTAACCAGACAAGGCAATTTCTTTTTGTAAAAAGGGCACACCATGACCCAAAACAGGTTATCAAGTAAGCATACACTTTGGGATGGGGAAGTTCACCCAGTTTTTATTCTGATGCGGGTAGTGATTGTGCCTCATCCCATTGATGGGAGCTCCATCTCACAGTCTGACTTGACTGGCTAATTGGCACGGGTGGGAAGGATGTGATAGTTACATCTCAAGAATGTCCTGTTTCAAACAAACAGGCATGTACACAAGAGCTTCAAGATAGGGAGTTTATGGAATATTGGCACTTGGCAGGCTAGCCACCCTTAATAGAGAAAAAAACAAAACTATTTTCATGTCTCTTGACTGTTGAGCAGACGAGCTCTCTCCACACTCTTCAGTCCCATTTTTGTTTTAGCCTTGGATAATGTGTGTTTGTTGACTGTTGGGTTGACAGTCTCTCCCTATCACTTCATTTCCTGCTTCAACTGTTTCTCTTGAGGACTTGGCTGTCATGACTGTTGTACCCTTGACTGTGATGGTGTGTGTGTGTGTGTGTGTGTGTGTGTGTGTGTGTGTTCAGACATGCTTGGCTGTCATGACTGTTGTACCCTTGACTGTGATGGTGTGTGTGTGTGTGTGTGTGTGTGTGTGTGTGTGTGTTCAGACATGTGGAGATATCCAGAAGATAACTTGTTGTATCTGTAGCGTCATCCACCTTGTTTTTGATCCACCTCTTGACCTGGGGCTCACCAATTAGGCTAAGCTGGCTGGTGAGTCAGGCCCTGGGACCTACCTGCCTCCACCTCTCAACACTGAGATTGCAAACGTGTATCTCTATGCTGGGTTCTTTTACATAACTTCTGGGGATTGAGCTGTGGTTCACTGTACTTACACAAGTTCTTAACTGATTGAACTCACCCCCCAGTATCCTCTGGGTAGGTTTAAGCCCAGCTGCTTGATGGGTAAGGCAGGAGGATCATATGTATTTAAGGCCTGCCTGGGCTGCAGAGCAAGTTCATGGCTAGCCTGGGTCACTTAGCATCCTGTCTCATAATGAGGGAAAAAGAAATGAGTAGAAGCCTGAGGATGTGGCTGAGTGTGAGGCACTTGCTCAGCAGGCACAAGGCCCCATGTTCCACACCCCTGCCCAGCACTAAAAACCAATACAACAACATCAAAACTCTTGAATGTTTTCATTAGGTCATTGTGATGTGCCTGGGTACAGTCTTTTTTCAATCAATCCTGCTTTGGGTTTGTTGAACTTCTAGGATCTGAGAATGATGTGTCTTGTCAGTTTTGGAAAGATACTAGCTATTATCTCCTAAGGTGTTCTGCCTTATTTTCTGCCACCTTCTGTGACTTCAATCACATGTGATTTAGTCAGTGTGATTGTCCTTCAAGGCTCACCTAGTCTTGTTTATACATTTGTTCTCTCGTGATCCTCTCCGTGTGTATTTTAAATTCTTTTCCCTTAATAGCCACTGTCATGTCTTCACCCACAGGTACATTCTTGTAAATCTACCCAGTAGGTTTCTGTTTCATGTACTTGCATTTTTAAATTCAAAACATTATATTTATGTTTTTTATTTCATCTTTTTTCTTTTCCTTTTTTAAAAAATTTTCTATCTCTTTGTCTTGATCACTTTTTGCCTGTGAATTCTTTAGCATGTTTCAAAGTCTTTGTTAATTTCAAAAACTGGATTACCCATGGCTGTCTGCTTGCTCATCTCACACATTTGTGATTATGGCCCAGGGAGGTGACTCAGTGTAAAGGCATTTGCCACCAAGCCTGAAGACCTGAGTTTGATTTGTGTACACATATACACTCACACTCTACATACACATATATAGACAAATACATAAATGTAAGTTTTAAAAATGCCAACATTTCTTTTTTAAAAAGTTTTACTTTTGTTTTATGTGTATATGTGTGTGCCTGTATGTATGTGTGTATGTATGTATGTATGTATGTATGTATGTATGTATGTATGTATATATGTATGTATATATGTATGTACGGGTACCATGTGTGAGCCTCTTGCCCATGGAAGTCAGAAGAGGGCTTTAGATCCCTTGGAACTGAAGTTACTGATAGTTATGAGCCATCATTTTGGTCTGGGAACATAATCCAGGTCCTGCAAAATCAGTAAGCACACTTAATTGCTGAGCCATCTCTCCAGCCTTTTTATGACAGTTGAATTGTGCTGACAATTATGGTTTGGAATTCATTGATTTACTTATTTATTGTGAGACAGTGTCTCACTATGTATACCTAGCTGGCCCAGAACTCACTATGTAGACCACGCTAGGCTTGAATAAACAGAGATCTACCTGTCTCTGCCTCAGGAATGCTGAGCTTGAAGGTGTATGCCAATACACCTGGCCAGGTTTGGATTTTAAAGGTCTCCAGAGATCATTTGTTGAAGGCCCTAAAGGCAGTGGAAAGATCAGGAGGAAACTTAGAGGAAGTCAACTCACTGGGGACATCCCAAACACTCTTCATGCCTTCTGTTTCTTGGCCTCTAGGAGGTAAGTGGTTGTACCACACAACACTGTTAGGTTCTGCCTGACCACAGCTGAAAACAGCAGTGCTGGGACTATGAACTGAAACCTTGGGCCAGGATAAACCTTACCACCTCAAAACTCGGTTATCTCAGGCGTTTTGTTATAGTGATGAGAACTGACACTGATGTAGTGACCAGTCATGTACCAAAGCCTATGTTCGGTTCTGTTAAAGCAAAGAAATGTCAGCTCCCTGCTTGGTTCTATAATGTATATATTTGATACTTCTAGTCTACGCTCTGTACTCTTTATGCAGTCCTGGCTGTCCTGGAGCTCACTCTTAGACCAGGCTGGCCCCTGACTGGCAAAGATCCTCCTGCCTCTGCCTGCTGGGTGATAGGATCAAAGGTGTGTGCCACCATGCCTGGCTATGCGCTGTACTCTTAAGGCTTAACCTTTCTGCAATATCAACTAGATGGTAAAGATACTTGTCAGACCCTCTTCTTGTGAGCTGACAAGCCATAAGGAGCAAGCCAGTAAGCAGCACCCCTCCATGGCCTCTGCATCAGCTCCTGCCTCCAGGTTCCTGCCCTGTTTGAGTACCTGTCCTGGCTTACTTCAGTGATGAATAGTAATATGTAAGTGTAAGCCTAATAAACCCTTTCCTCCCCAAGTTACTTTGGTCATGGTGTTTCATTATAGCAATAGTAACCCTAAGACTGTGTGTGTGTGTGTGTGTGTGTGTGTGTGTGTGTGTGTGTGTGTTGGTGTGCGTGTGTGTGTGTGTAATCTCTCTCCCTCTCTTTCTCCCCCTCCTTCTCCCCCTCCCCCCGAGACAGGGTCCTTGTAGCTCAGGCTGGCCTCAAGTTCAGTATATATTGGAGGATGGCCTTCACCTGATCTGGCCTCGGTGTGCTGAGTGCTGGGATTAGTATCTGTCTCCTCATTGGCTCCTCTTTGCAGAGCCATCTTTCCAGGCATGGGCTACTGTTCCTTATCTGATTTTGATGCATCCTTGTTTTCTGCCAGATTTGAAGCTTAATTTTTCTTTTATGCTAAGACATTTTGGACTTGACAAGTGAAGTTCAAGGTAATACATCAAATTAATGTACCCCCAAAATTAAAAAAAAATGCAGTTAAGCTGGTTGTAATTTTTTTTTGGGGGGGGGGTTGAGACAGGGTTTCTCTGTGGCTTTGGAAGCTGTCCTGGAACTAGCTCTTGTAGACCAGGCTGGCCTTGAACTCACAGAGATCCGCCTGCCTCTGCCTCCTGAGTGCTGGGATTAAAGGTGTACACCACCAACACCCGGTGGGCTAGTTGTAATTTTTTCAGTTTTTTTTTTTTTTTTTTTTTTTTTTTTTTTTGGTTTTTGAGTTTTTTTTGTTTGTTTGTTTGTGTGCACCACCAACGCCCGGCTTTTTTCAGCTTTTTAATGAGAAAATTATTTTGCTATTTTTGGAATCTTTTGTAGCTCTCTTCCCTTCCTCTTGTTTTGGATACCATTCCAGAGTGGCTATTAGATCAGTGGGAGGTTGATTCTAAGACCCTCTAGAGTAGTGGTTCTCAACCTTCTCAAACCTTCAGTACAGTTCCTCATGCTGTGGTGACTCCAACCATAAAATTATTTTCATTACTACTTCATAACTGTAATTTTCCTACTGTTATGAATCGTAATGCAAATATCTGTGTTTTCCAGTGGTCTTAGGCAACCCCTGTGAAGGGTCGTTCAACCCTGGAGGGGAGTCACAGTTTGAGAACTGCTGCTATGGGGCTAGAGAAATGGTGGAGTTGTTAAGAGCATTTGCTGCTCTCTCAGAGGGTTTGAGTTTGGTTCCCAGCACCCACACTGGGTGGCTCATAACTGCCTGTAACTGCAGCTCCAGAGTTCTAATGCCTTCTTCTGGCATCCACAGGCACTGTTCACATACATACATATATACACAATACATACACACACATACATAATTAAAAATTAAAAAATAGATTTGGCATGTTGGTACATGCCTTTTATCCTAGCACTTGGGAAGCAGAGGCAGGTAGATCCCTGTGAGTTAAAGTGCTGCTGGCCTATAGTGAGTTCCAGGCCAACCAGGTTATATAGTAAGACCCTGTCTCAAATACAAATTTAAAAACAAAAATAATCTTTTAAAAGTTTAAACATTACTTTTTAAAAAAGATTTTATTTATTTATTATGTATACAACATTCTGCTCCCATGTATATCTGCACACCAGAAGAGGGCACCAGATCTCATAACAGATGGTTTTGAGCCACCATGTGGTTGCTGGGAATTGAACTCAGGACGTCTAGAAGAGCAGTCGGTGCTCTTAACCTCTGAGCCATCTCTCCAGCCCTAAACATTACTTTTAAACATCCTTTTAAAACATTTTTTTTGTATGTGCATGTATGACTACCCATGGACAGTTTTCTCCTTCCACCACATGGGCCCTGGGGATGGAACCCAAGTGGTCAGGCTCTGCAGCACGTGCCCCTGCTCATGAGCAGTCTCCCCAGCCCTGCACTGTTTCCAAAGTCCAGAACAGACAGTTTTCTGGGGGACATTTTCCTGACTGACAGGCTCATATGGACTGACTTTATAAAATTCATTTTGTTCTTGTATATATATGTGTGTGAAAGTGCTTGAGAAGGCCAGAAGAAGGCATCGGATCCCTTGGAGCTGGAGTTAAAAGTGGTTACAAGTCACTCATCATGGGTGCTGGGAACCAAACTCAGGTCCCCTGGAAGGCAGCAAGCACACTAAACTGCTGCATGTTCTCTCTAGCCCCAGTGGACTTTCTGTGTAGACCAAGAAGACCTTGAATTCACAGAGCTCCTCTGCAATGCTGTGACTGAGGCCAGTACCACCATGCTCAGCTTAGATGGGCTCTGAAGGGAGGGGCAGCAGAATATCTCCTTCCTTTGCCAAGAAGCCTCCAGCTGGAGCATCATCCTGGAGTCTTTTGGGCCATTTAGATTGTCTTCTCTACCCAGGGACAGAGAGGTGTTTGACATCCTGTTCTTTTGCCCAGGAAGCAGAGTCCTGCTGCTTCTATTCTTGGATATACAAGCTGCTGATTGTGAGGGAGAGGTCCATCCTTAATGGCCTTCAAGCCTGCTGATAGCTCCCTGACACCCCTGTAGCTGGCACTGCATAACCACCATAACTGGCTCTGTTGGTCTTTTTTGATGGAACCACACCCCCTCCTAGCTATGTTAAATTCTGAACATGGACTCATGCAACTACAATCTGCAAAACATTGATACTGAATCTGCCGGAACGAGGAGACTACTTCCCCACTGGTATGTACAGTGCATGTGAGTGTGTTTGTGCAGACTGGTCTACGTAAATGTACATAAAGGCTAGAGGTTGATCAAGTGTCTTCCTCAGTCACTTACATTGTTTTTTTGAGACAGGGTGTCTCTCGTTGAACCTGGAGCTCACCAACTGTACAAGACTAGTTAGCCAGAAAGTCCCAGGGATCCTCATGTCTCCATTTCCTCAGCACTAAGATCATAGACACATGCTACCATAGCACACAGGTCCCTGGCAGGCACTTTACCAACAGGTCATCTCCCCAGCCTCTGAGGACCACATTTCTGTGTGTACACGTTGTACATGTTGTGTGCAAACATGCATGTGTGGAAGCTGGAGGAAGCCATCAGGTGACCCACTTCATCACTCTGCCTTATTCCCTGGAGACAGAGTGTCTCATTGAACCTAGAGCTGGGCTAGCTGCCAGCAAGCTGCAGCAGGCCTTCAGTGTCTGTTCCCCACAGCATTGGGGATAGCAAGCATGTGGCCCCTCTCAGCTTTACACCGGTGCTTGGAATTTGAACTCAGGTCTTCATGTTTGAGTAAACGGCACTGCCAAGCTATCTCTTTAGCCCTGAGTGTACCTTCTGACTGAACATGCCATCAGCTTGTAACCTATAGAGCATTTTGAGTAAGCACTGCACATTGCAGCTTGGGACATGGCAAAAGCTTTACCAGGAGGGGTGCTGCACCTGGGTACACATGGAAGGCTGCACATGCAGAAGTCAGAGGACAGCTTGAAGGAAGTCAGCTCTCCTGTGTAGTCCTGGGATTGAACTCTGGCTGTCAGGTTTGGTAGGGAGTGCCTTTACCTGCTGAGCCATGATGCAAAGTAGAGTGAGTGGGCCTGGGAGGCAGACAGGCCTGGTTCAGTGACATCTGGGCTCCAGGCTGGCTTTCTTAAGTAAGGGAACTGGGAGGAAAATACTAGGAGGAATCAATGGGCTATTGTAAAGGTCAAATATCTTTCAAACCATCCTGAGCAGTTTGAGGTCATGGAGGTCTTTGGGGTGGATCTTAGGATAAAATGCAGGCAGTCTGTCAGTGAGAGCAGCCATGCCTCCTAGAGCAGTGTTTCTCAACCTATGGGTTGCAACCCTTTGTGGGAGTCAAAGGACCCTTTTTCAGGGTCACATATGAGATATTTTCATTATGATTCATAACAGCAAAATTACAGTTATGAAGTAGCAATGAAATAACTTTATGGTTGGGAGTCACCACAATGGGAACTGAATTAAAGGTTTCATCATTAGGATGGTTGAGAACCACTGCTCTAGGGGCTGAGCAAGACTGGCTTCACCTCCCTTGGCTCCAGAGATCTTTTGGAGACACCTTTCCAGATACCTGTTGTGCACCAGGGTTGGCTGAGCTTGGCACCGGCCTTCCTGCCTTCTCTTTGTCCCATTTCTGGTGGAACATACTTTGTCCTTTGTTCTAGAATCTGGACCCTTCCCAGCCTGTTCTAAGGTTCTGTGGCAGAGTGCTAGCCCTAGCCTGCAGAAAGCCCTGGGGATAAACTAAACATGCTTCAGTGTAGAAAGGGCTCAAAGGCGCTCCCTCCTGGTAGACAGGCTCAGAGCCACCAAAGCCTCCGCTTCTCAGTCACAAGGGTCAGTGGGCGCAGAAATGAATCCCATAGACACAATCCTGAATTCTGACAGCATTATTTTGCAGTTGAAAACTTTAAAAAGACTATTCCCCAAGAGAAATAAACAAAACCCCTGATGCCTAGTGGCCCAAGCCCCCACATATTTATGTCACATGTCCTTTGAAAAGGAACCTTCTCTCCATGCCCTGGAAGCATCTTGTATGTCCATCCTAGAGAATGAAGCTCCCTAACCAGTCTTGAGACCATGGGTCCCCTCCAGGAAGTTCATACCTTCTGAGATCCCCAGAGCGGCAGGGGGAGCCTGTACCAGGCAGCCTTGTGTCCTCCAGGTCATTGCCATCCCAAAGCTCAGGTTGCAGAATCAGTTTCTGGGAGAGTGAAGCAATATCTTGCACAAGTGTTGGTGCTGGTGTTTCTTCCCAGAGGTGTGTGCCTTGGCCTGGACGCTGTCCAGTGGAGTTGCAAAATGAATTCCCAGGACCAGTTGGGAGTCCCTCACCCCCAGGGACACTAGAGTGGGATTAGGCCTCAGCTCTTCTTTTCTGCTCTTAGAGCAAGTGATGTTTTTGTCTTGGGTTGCTAGCATTCTGCACTGGTGGTCCCCTTCCAGCCATGAACCTTGACCTCTCCCAGGAACTAGGATCGGGATAGAAGGCAAAGAGCTTGACATCTTTGGTGGCCTTGTGTTGACTTAGGCAAAATCTCAAACTATAAGGGAAGAGAAGTAAGGTTGTGCTGTGAAGCCTAGAAGGAAGGTCCTGCCATTTCCTGGAAGTGGGCCAGGAGTCTGTCTGGTAGCCCCCGGCCCTGATAAAAAGGACGGTCACCCATCCATTACCATCTCCCCACTTTGTAAAGCACAGCAGGCATGGGCTGTGGCTCCCTCACACTGTGTGGAACAGTGTGTAGGCACCAAGCACTCAACCACCCACAGAGGTACTCAAAAACTAAGCAAGTGTCTGTCAAGGGCTCCATGGCAACTGGGAAGAACACAATATAGTACCCCACCAGAGGAAAAACTGAGGGTCATCACCTGAAGCTCTGGGGGCAGAGAAAATGCCCAAGCCAGTACAGGGAGAGAGAACACACCTGAGCCAGTACAGGGGGAGAACACACCTGAGCCAGTAAGGGGGATAGAATATACCTGAGCCTGTACAGGGAAAAAACTTAGGTCATACTGGAGTTGAGTGCTGAAGGATCCAGGTGGCGAAAGTCTGCTGACACTTGGATAGTCTGGAACTTCTCAGGGACTTCTCTCCACTGTCAGGAGGAGCCAGCCCTAACTCAAGGATGTCAAGCTGCTGAAGAATGGGCCCCATGAACTCATGGGCACAGACCCCAGAGGACTCCACGCAACCTCCTAGATAGCTTCCACTGATTAAGCTAGGTTCTTTTCTTTCTTGATTGATTGAGACAGGGTCTTAGCCCAGGCTGTCTTAAAACTATGTAGCCAAGGGTGAGCCCTCTCATTGGCCCTGTTTTTATTTTATTTTAATTTTTTGTTTATATTTTTTGGTTTTTCGAGACAGGGTTTCTCTGTGTAGCTTTGGAGCCTATCCTGGCACTCGCTCTGTAGACCAGGCTGGCCTCGAACTCACAGAGATCCGCCTGCCTCTGCCTCCCAAGTGCTGAGATTAAAGGTGTGCACCACCAATGCCCGGCCTGTTTTTATTTTTATACCAGTGGTTCAATCTCCTTAGTAGTTCTGTCTGTTTAGATTTTTAAAATTTCATTTCTGGTATCAGTTAATTGAGTCTTCTCTTATTAGTATAACTAAGTTTGTCTGTAGATTTTACTCATTTTCCACTTCGTATCCCATCTTATTTCTGCTCAAGTCTGAATTTTCTTCTAGTTCTAGATTTGGTTTTCTTTTTCTGATAACTGAAGGTATAACATTTAATTGTTGGCTTAAATTCCTTTATGGGTGCATATGTTGAATGTGGAGTCCTGAGGTATACCTCAGGCACAGGTACCCCTCCTCAAGTATCACACACCTTTCCTTTGTCCGTCCCTCCCTCCTTCCTTTTTTAAAGGGAGGGTCTATCACCGAGTTTGCTGATTAGCTGATGTTGGCTGGCCAGCCAGGGAGCCTCAGGGTCCTGCCTGTCTGTACTTCCCCAGTGCTGGGGCTACAAGCCTGTGCCAACATGCCAGCCTTTGCTTGCTTTCACGTTAGTTCTGGGGATCGGTTCAGGTCCTCTTGCTTGTGTGGTGAGCACTTTGCCCATGAGCCTCCTCCCCAGCCCTCCAATCACTTTCCTTTCTCCCTTTGTGTCTCAGAATCCGCTATTACAGCGGATTCTTGCAGTCAGCTGCTCAACACTTCCACCAAATCTTTCCATCCAGTTATTATAGTTTGTAGTTCTAGACATTTGTTATTTTCATCTTCCTAATTGTGTATAGATGTTTAACAGTAATGTTCAGCTTATTGTGCGTACAAGGGCAGCATTTAAATGCCCCTGTAAAAAATTTGGAGTCTCTGTCTCTGGTAGGTGGGTTCCCGGGGCTGTCATGTTCCTTTGAGCACACACCCTCCTTTCACGAACACAGGATGTTTGCAGAGTCTTTGCATATGTCCTAAGAATAAGGAAGGACTCCTGTGGCTCAGCTTGTGGCCCCTCAGACATTTCCTCTAACTCTATGTGTTCTCAGCTGTGAGAAGCTGGTGGCACTGTGACCCGATACCCTCGCCACCCACAGTTCTGCAGCAGCCACCACCTCTGCCTCCAGCCAGATACCCAAACTACACCAGTGTTCAGAGCACAAAGGGGTGAGACAGAAAAAGTCTGCATAACAGTCCCAGATGAGTGGAAACACAGTGCAAACAAGCTCTGCTCTTTTCCTTCCATTCCCAGGGGTAGCTGGGCCTGGCAGCTACCTTGAAGTCTGCACAAGATGCATGGATGTGGGGGGGAGGGGTGACTGCAAGCAAAAACACCACTTCAGTACATGTGCATGCATGTGGAGGCCCGAGGACAACTGCTAGATGGTCCTTCAGGCACTGTTCATCTTTTTATGGGGTAGGGTCTCTTGCTACATACAGCTGGACCAAGTCCTTCTGTCCCCTTTGGTTTTGCAGCTGTGCTCTGACAGTCCTTGCTATAGACCTAGTAAGAGTATTTGGGATATCATATGCTTCCTGATAAGTACTCTAGCTTCATAGCTCTCAGTTTCCTTCTCTGTTGAGCACTCCAAGTCCTCATCCCACACCCTGAGCCACACACCAGGTCCTCAACCCACACCCTGAGCCACACACCAGGTCCTCATCCCACACCCTGAGCCACACACAAGATCTTCATTACACACCCATGTCACATTTTCCATTTCACTAACTTTCTCTTCTCTTACATTTTAACTTGCTCTTCACATACCCAAAGCTTACATTACTTCTAGAAATTTCTTTTGACATGCTGTTCATCTTTGAATGTCTTCTTTCATGCCTTTAAGAATCCCAGGCTTCTGGGCAGTGGTGATGCACACCATTAATTCTAGCACTAGGGAGGCAGAGGCAGGTGGATCTCTGAATTCAAGGCCAGCCTGGTCTACACAGTGAGTTCCAGGACAGCTAGGAACAGCTAAGAACAGCTTACTCAGAGCTGTTTCAACAAAACAAAACAAAAGACTCCCAGGAGGTCTCAGGCATGTCCCACTGTTGTTAACTGCAGCTGTGACTTCTTGGTTGGATCAAGAAGGAAATGTGCTGTCAGCTATCAGGGTCACAGGCACAGTGTGTCACCTCAGAGTTACTAGAACAGGTTCTGAGAGCCCTTAGGGTGCTTAAGACACTTGGCTTGGTGGCAATAGTCTCTAGGCCTCTGCATCTCTGGCTTTCTTTTTGTGTGTTCATATGGGGGGGGTCAGAAGTTAATCTCAGGTGTTACCCCTTTAACCCTCAAGCAATATTCATGCCCTGCCACAGAGCTAGCCTAGTTAGGCCTAGGCAAGCCTAGGCTGGTTGGTCAGTGTACCACAGGAATCCTCCTGTCTCTGCCTCCCCAGTGCTATTGTGACAAGCAACCCTCACACCCACCTTCTCCTGGTTCTGGGGATCCAACCCATGCTTGTAGGACAAGCACTTTACCAGCCAAACTATCTCCCCAACTGTCTTTGCTTTCTTTTTAAGAAATGGTATTAATTTTTATTTGACATATATGAGTGTTTTTCCTTCATGTCTGTCTGTACACCATGTGTGTACTTGGTGCCTGTGAAGGTCAGGGCATCAATTCCTCTGGGACTGAGCTTATAGACAGTTGTGAGCCGTTATGTAGGTGTGGGAGTCAAACCTAAGTCCTGTGCATGAGCAGCCAGTGATCTTAACCACTGAGCCATCTCTCCAGCCCTATTTAGTTTTCTTAAGACAGAGTCTTGCTATCTCAAACTAGCATTTGAGATAGCCAAGGCTGATCTCAAACTAGCATTCCTCCTGTCCCTGCCAACCAGGCTAGTGCTAGGACTCTGTGCTCACTGTGTCATCCCTGTAGGAGCTCAGAGCATGGCATTGGTTTTCCATTTGGGATGGGACCTGGATGAGAACTTACCACACTGCAGAGGAAGGGCCAAGGGCACAGAGTCCTGGGCACACAGGTAGATGTAGGCAGCTGCCAGGTGGCAGGCAGATTGCAACTCCATGGGATCACAAGTATCCTGGACACACAGACTGAGGAATGGAGCAGGGTCCACCTGAAACCAATGCCAGCCCATCACTGCTCCCGCCCATCACTCATAGGCTAGATTAGGCTTCTTTCTGTGGTTTCTCTGCTGTGTGGCTCTGTCCAGGAGCAGCCTCACACTCACCACCTGGAAGCAGTTCCCCAGACTGGAGCGGGGTTCTTGGAAGAAGGCCTGGCAGGTGGTTCTGTGTCCTGAGCATGGCTGCTGCATCCTCTCTACAGCACCACAGTTCTCACCCACCTGGATGGGAACACACAAAACTCGAGCCTCTTAGAGCACCACTTTTCTCTTGGGCACACTACCTAGTATGCATCAGTCTCAGCAAGAGATGCCTGTATCCTTGGGGCTCCTGCTTCATTCTGGACCTGAGCAGCTATCCTCCATTGAGCCTAGGGGTAGGTGCAGCAGGAAGGGCTTTCCTGCAGCTTACCTGCCAGGCCCGGGTGAGCTCCTCCAGACTGGCAGCTTCCGTGCCATCTGGTAGCATTAACTCATCATCTGCCTCATTATTGTTGGTACCCAGAAGGCCAGCAGATACACCTGTAGGGCAGGAAGGACCTGCTGGGAAAGCCTCCCTCTTCCCTCCCCATGACACCAGACCTTTCAGAAGTGAGGAGAGGAAAAGGGGGATCTAAAGATGGTATCTATGCCTTGCTAGTGCTTCCCCCACTTCCCAGCCCACAGGGTCAGTTAGCAAGTTTTCTGGGCACCTCTTGGGGGTATAGCTGCATGATGGGACCTCATGAGAGTCAACTTCACTCTGTATGGACTGTCCCCAGGGAAGAGAGCCAAGCTGGCTCAGAAGCCCTGGGCCAGGGAGTGAGTCACTCAGCCTCTGCTGGGTCATCTGTAATGGAACAGGAAACACCAGGACTGAGAAGTAGACAGCCGGCTGTGTCACACTAGAAAGGAGGCCAGCTGTCACTGCCACCCCAGCAGGAAAGTGGCCAGTCAGCAAAGGCAACCTTTGGGATTATCTTCAGCTCTTGCCCATTGGCCTATGCTCTTCTCCACCAGGAATGACAACAATAGTGTTACTTAGAAAGGGGTATGTCACCCTCAACCCTGGAGTCTGGCCATAGGGTAGCTAGAAAAGGCCCTTGTGGGTAGCACCAAACTCCGACCCACCATGGTGCCACAGGCTCAGCGTCAGGCTGCAGAGGCCTGCTGGCACATCACAGAAGACAGACACACCATCCTCGCTGCGCAGCTCAACCTTGGGTCCAGTGCTCAACATAGCAGGAGGTGGGTCTAAATCCCAGCAGCTGTCCTGAGGCCAGGCAGTGTCGTACTGCTTGTAAGCCTGTGGACCACACAGGGATAAGCTGGAATCACTCCCAGCACCAAACCTGTAGGCAACATGCAGACAAGCAGCTCCAGGGAGCCCCTCCCACTCCCGAGCACGTACCTTTAGGCTAGGATACAGAACGAGGGTTGTGTGGTTCAGCTCCACATGAAGGGCCGTGAAGCCTGAGCTTGTGCGGCTCAGCATCAGAGAGAATGTTTGGTGAGTGAAGTCCTTGGCTAGCAGGAAGCTGCCACAGCAGGGACCCAGGCCCCACACCTGCCCATCAAAGGTCACCAGGTATCTGGTGCCCACCACCACGGCGTATTCTGAGAAGAGGTCAGGTCAGCTCAACACTGAGTAAACCCACTGCCCAGGAACAAATGTGCTCCCAAGTCTGGGGACTCTAAGACCCTGAACTCAGGGTCTATCACACAGTAAACCTCCCTACACCAACCTGGCACTATGCTTCCTCTGTAGAAGGACTCGGGCTCAGACGTCATGCTTATAGCCCACACAAGTCAGCTATGGTACCCCTCCTACTCCACACCGGGGGAAACTGAAGTTGTACAGCAGCATGAGCCAGATGCAGGCTTCCCAGGGCCTCCCAAAGGCATATCGGGGCCCCAGGCTACAGACACTCCCTCCCCAGCAAGCCTGCATCCAATTAACGACCTTCCAGCTACAACTGGAGCTCAGCTCTATTCCTCCACCAAGGTCCTCTGGGAGAAGGCTGGCCTCAGAAGGAGCCCTCAGCTGTGTACTCCCTGTTATATTCTGGACGAAATCCAGGGTCTTTAGCCCCAGATGACCTCACCAAGCCCAGGAACTTGTAGGGCTGGCCTGTGACACCACAGGGTTTGGCAGGCTTTCCTGTGGCTGCTTGTCACCAAGCCCTACAGGGCTTGCTAGGCCCTTCGCTCCACAGGCAGAAGGCTTCCCAGGGAGGAGGTGGACAGGCCAGGCAGGACTTACGCTTGAAGGGGCTCCTCAGTAGACGCCGCTGGAACCCATAGAACTCAGCCAGCATGTTAGCCTCATACAGCCTGCGGAGTGGCCGCAGGAGTTTCTCCTCCACCAGGTAACTGACCACCTGGGCCACATCCAGGGGCTCGTCTCCCACCAGCAGAAGTGGTAGCCTTACCATCACAGAACGGTTCCTGGAAAGGACACAGAGGAACTGGATCCCCTAGGAAGCTGGGGATCACTGAGCCTCACCTCCTTTCCCTGAAGGATGGCATTGTCACAGGAAGGAAAGGGGATCACATTAGCAGACTGTCCCCTTAGTCTGCCTCTGTGTGGGGAACTGTCTTCAAAAGATGGACCAAGGCCCTGTAGAAAGGACACAGCTGTTTGATTTTGAGCCCTGCTCCGGGGGTTGGGAGGCAGTGGGGTGATGGGATGGGCACGGACACTGAAGAAGGGGTAAGTCCAATCATGGTGTTGTGTCACAGGCTCAGTAAGTTGAAGGACCAGAACAGGATCCCAGCCAAAGGGAAGCTGGGGGACGGGGAAGTGGTCTCTGAGGTTTCTACAGGTAAGGGGAAGACTCTAGAACTTTCCCAGGCTGTGAAAAAGAAGCCCAACAAAGCTGGAGTTTGAAGGAGCAAAGAGGCAGCTGATGCTGGGCTATACGGTAGGAAGGGGGGTGGGCACTGGGCATGGCCACCACAGAGCCACAGGAACAGGTCTCTACTGTCACGAGAGACCCCATGCTGCTGGGGCATTACTCTTAACAAACCCTTCTAGGTTTGCAGCTGTCTCTCCATTCATTTTCCTAGGAGATATGTCCCAAGTTTTCAGGTGGGGAAATTGAGGCAGAGTAGACACAAGCTTTCCATAACCCAGGAGGCACCATTCTGCCACCTTCTGGGATAGAAGGGAACTGCAGGCATTCTTGGAGGCTCCTACCTGTGAGTCCTGTACTACCAATTCTCCATAGCTAACCTCTTATCACCCAACTGCACCTAAGGTGCCAGCACCCTGCCCCAGTCCTCCACAACTGTATGAGAATAATTGCTGTGGTTCAAGCCACCACAGTTCTGGTTACACAGCATTGGTCATACAAGTACAGAAGCCCCTGCAGCCTTGTCTCTTGTGTATAAAGGGACCCCCTCATCCCTTTATAGAAACCATCTGTCACTCCTTTTACCACCTACATCCAGTTGAGTCTCAGTCCTCTTCAGGATGACATTAAAAACACAGCTGGATTCCGGCTGCCTCTCATCCCTTCCATGCTGCCATTGTTCCAGCCACCACATTGTTCAAAATAGGGCCCTACACTCTGTCCATCTTCACAATCTATCCTCAGTATGACCCACCTTTCCTTCGACAAAAACACTCATTTGTTGTGTGTGCCCATCTCCAAGCAGGAGCCAAGGCCCTAGGCCACCTGAAGCCTGCTCAAGGCCTGCTGGCTTCCTTACTGTTCTTCAGACAGGTGCCATGGTGCCACAACCCTTGCCCCTGCCTCTGCACCATTTGTGTGCCCTACCCAGAACTCCCTGCTCAAAGCTCACCTTCTGGGCTGGGACAATGGCTCAGTGGTTAAGGCGCTTGCCACACAAGCATAAAGGACTGACGGTCAGAATCTCACATGAATTCGGGGTGAGCATGACAGCACTTGTAATTCCATTTTCAGAAGGCAGAGACGGGTGATTCCCCAGAGCAAGCTAGCTAGCAAGATTAGTCCTACCAGTGAGCCCCGGGTTTGATTGAGGGAGCCTGCCTTAATAAATAAGCTGTAAAAATAATAAAGATCAACTTCAAACCTCCACATACATGTGTACACATGTGTGGGCCCACAGAAATGTATACCACACACATTCCCATTCTTAGCCAAACTGCACCATCAAGTGTGTCCCTCCTCTTCAAGCCACTTCCTGGCCAGTGTCTTCAGTAGCACATGCTACCTAACACACAGTCAGGAACAGGGACCCTGCCCCTCAGACCATATCCAGGCTGCTAGCCAAGAATGGCTTTACCATAGCTAAGGCTTTTGCAAAACCAACTAGAATGTGAACAAAGCTTGTGCAGAGCCTGAGCCTCAGTTTTCCCTGCCAAGTGAGGACCACCTGTGTGACAGTGCTGTCCTAAGTGAGATGGACCAGGTTTTGGCATTTGCTGTGTCCCATCATGTAACAGGAACATAGGACCCACAAGTTCCTCCCCACTTACCTGGCTGAGTAACTGTACATGCTCCGTAAGGGTTTGTAGAGCTGCCTCAGGGTCCAGGAGACCTCAGCCTCAGCCCAGGACAGTGTATGGTAGGTCGCCTGGGTAGGGGCAGGGACAGCTGTCAGAGCCACCCTCAGTGAGCCCATCCCCACCCCACCCTATCACACACACTCTCACCAGCTCCAGGGCACCCATCATGGCTCCCAGGAACGCCTGGATGGGCCTCCAACTTCCTGGCAGCCGGAGCAGCCAGGCCTGCACCCACTGCCTGGCCTCCTCAGCCCGCTCTCGCCACACCTCATCCAGGGGCCTCAGCATCACCTCCAAGTAGGCCTCCTTCAGCGTGGCCAGGGGCTCTGCAACAGGTAATTGCCTGAGGCCCCAGAGCTCCTGACTGCAGATGAGAACCTCTACAGTGCAAGCCAGTCATGGTTAACATCCCAGGCCTAGAGGACAGGGAGCCTGTGCCCTGCAGTAAGGGATGGAGTAGAAGTAAGGCAGGGCACACTAGGACTGCTGACCTGGTTGCCTGGAATTGGTGGGAAGGGCCTGCTGCCCCCATGGTGCAAGTGCCTCCCCAGGCTGGAAAGCTGTGACAAGCCTGAGTATCCGCACGGGGTTTCCCTGGTGAATGCTTCCTACGGGTATCACAGTTCAATCCAGGGGGAGTCAATGGCATCCAGTGTGACACAGTGAAGCTCCGGATGCTGCATGTAGGGTCTCCCCATTGACAACTCTGCTCTGCACCCTTGGGCTTCAGTGAGTCACAGTCATGAGGATACCTGTGTGCTCCTGGCCAGGCACCAACACAGGGACCCTGGCATAGTTGATTGAGCTAGGGACAGACAAGTCCCCACTGCCTGTTTTAGTCCTGGACAAGGGTCTTAGGGGCTGAAAGGAGGACCAGGAATGGTCCTTAATTGTGGGGAGGCCAGGTTCTCAGCTTGCTTGGGAGCAGGGTCCTCAGGGCAGGCCTATGTACTAACCAGGACAGAAGCCTCACTGGAGCCCATAGACAGATACCCAGTGGCAGCCCCGGAAGCCTCTATAGCTAGGCTGTGTACATGAGAGAAGCCAGGCAGAGGACGGATGGAGCCTGGGCCGCAGGCATTACTTTGGAGTCTACAAGGATGGAGAAAGCATGCCAAAAGGGCACAGAGGTTGCAGAAGCCTATGAAATAAGGTTTGGGGGTCTAAAGAAATTAGACTGCTATCTTGACTGAGGTAGTGTATGAGAACAAATCTGAAGGCCTAGGGCCCCTAGGACCAGGGCTGGGGCTGGACTAGGACAGGAGTGTGCCCTCTCCTAATACTCACGCTCCAGCTCATTCTGCAGCTGCGCCATCTCTGCCTGCAGATGCTCCAGGTAGAGAGGCAGGTGGCCAGTCAGCACGTGCTTGGCCTGACCTCGGGCCCACAAGGTGGCTACCACCTGGCCACCTGCCTGAACAGCGCCTAGCCCCACCTGGGTCAACTGCACCAGGCACTCTGCTGCTCCATCCAGAGTACCCACCGGCTGTACCTAGACGGGGAAACCAAGGCAAGATCAGGGGGGAGACTATGGAGACAGCACTCTCCAGCCTTTCACACCTGGGAAGGAGAGCTGCGGACACAGGCCAGGCCACAGGGTTCCCTACATGCTCCCTTAACAGGGACTACCCACCAGGTTCCGGAACCTGCTCACATAGTCATCTAGGCTTTGGGTCTTCTCTTCCAGCTGGGCTCGTACCTGGGAGCCAATGGCTGTCATCCTGGACTGTGGGGCAGAGGGACAGGTGAGAACTAGAGAAAGGGTCCTCTAGGGACTGGAGAGTGTGTAGGCTGCCCTAAACTGTCCACTCTGTTTCTCCAGGCACCGTTGCACTCAAGGACTCTTGGCTCTGGGCCAGCAGTCCTCCATCCCAGGCCTGCTTACCTCCATGTAACTCAGCAGGGCACCATGACAGCCATGCGCAACTAGGAGGAGGCTCTGGTTGACTGCCCGCAGGGTCAGGTGTCCCAGTGGCTGGGCATGCTGCCCACTCTTCTGGAGCAGGGCCTCCACCTCCACGGCTCTCCTGTGGGTGCATGCCTGTAGCATCACACTCTCTTCTCTGCTCCCTGGAGCTAGGAAGGGACTGAGGTTGCATCCATGCCTTCTCTACCCACCTCCCCAGTGTCCTACACAAAGCCTCAAGATATTAGGGTTTAAGAGCCTTGAGCTGTACCACCTAAATGGTCCCTTCTCCCCTTCTCCTGGTATACTTAAAGTCCTCACTTCACACTCACCTCTGGATAGACCAGCCGGGTCCAGCCCACCCCTGCCACCACCCCCACGGCGTTACCTGACTCAGCAAAGTAAATACAGATGTGGACAATAAGTTCACCCCAGATTGTATGTGTGTGTGTGTGTGTGTGTGTGTGTGCGTGTACTTCTAAGTTCTCAACAGGACAGGAATAGGGATTGCTTGGACAAAGGTGGGGCCTGGCTTAGCAGCTGACCTGGGGGCCTGTTACCCTCACTTACCTTCCACATGGGCAGCAGAAGCCCGAAGACAGCTCAGGGCCCAGGACACCAACAGCCTTAGTGTCTCATCCTTATCCATGCTACCCTCCAGCTGGACCAGGCTTTGGGAAGCTGAGGTAGTGATGCGGCCCAACAGGAGGAGCTGCTGAGCCCTGGGCCCTTGGAGCTATGAACCAGACAATAGAGATGGGTCTGGCTGCTGGGGCTGCTCTGGTCTCTGGCCTCTGCCTGTCCCAGGCTCAGGGAAGAGCTAAGAGTGTATCAGTAGAGAAGGGATAGAAAACCCGCCCACACGGTTCTTCCAGGAGCACTGGGTTCCCTGTCCTCCACCCCTGCCAAACAGCTCAGAATCCTACCACATACAGTAAAGCATATGTAGCAAATCCCGCCTTGTAGGTGTCTGCCCACCAACCCAGTCAAGAAGGCTTTGCACACTCTGTAGACAGATGCTATTGGTCTGGGGGTTTCAGGCACTTCTCCTTTGTCAGTCCCAGTGTCCAAGGGCACATGTGAGTAACATGTGGCATGGAGCCTGGGTCATTGTCTTTGCCAATTTGTAGGCACCCATCCTTGAGGGAGGAGGCACAGGGCAAATGTTTGTCAACTGGACCAGAACAATATCAAAGGCTTCAAGGTCCCAGGGAAAGGGGCCATTGAAAATGAGAAACTTGAGAAGGGAGCCACTTCTGCCCCCCCCCCCCCCCCCCCCAGCTGCCCTATATTCTAGGCTAGATCCTGTAACTGAAAGCTGCGTAACCTGAAGTAAGGGTATATCACCTTCTCTGAGCCCCAGCTTTCAGCTGCATAGGACCAGCGGTTCTCAAAGCTCAGCCAAAGTCAGAGGCACCCCTGAGTCTTAGGGGTTGGGCTGCGTTCATCAGTCTGATGTCTTTGCAGAGGTAAAATGATGCAACAGTAGGTTAAATAGACCACAAATGCAAAACGCTGCAGTGCTGAAGGAGGTACACACTGCGGGCTGGGCCAAGGCTGCGCATCTCAGAGTCTCCAGAGTGGGGTAAAGGGAATGAAGGGTGGGGACCATGCATCTTGGGTGTCTAACAAGTGTTTGGCCTCTGATTCCAGGAGTGGCATCAAGCACCAGTTTGCAGCTAGGGCAGAGCAGGCCTGGTTGTAAGTTAAGAAGTGGCAGGCCTAGAGACTCGTGACCTCTGCGCATGGCCTCATCTAGAAATGTCATCTGTGATGGCTATTCTTGGTTATCAACTTGAATACATCTGGAATTGACTAAAACCCAAGTGGCTGGGCACACCTGTGAGTCATTTTTTCTCTGCCCCACCCTGGCGGGGTTTCTCTGTGTAGCCCTGGCTGTCCTGGAAGTCCTCTGTGGACCAGGCTGGCCTTGAACTCACAGAGATCCCCTGCCTCTGCCTCCATAGCGCTGGAATTAAAGGTGTGCACTGCCATTGCTCAGCACAGGGATTTTTTCTTAGATCATTTAAAGTGGGAAGTTCTATTTTTAATCCAGATCTTTTGAGGGGGGGAAGAGCCACCTTTGTTCTAGCTCGCAGCTTCTGCTGGCAGCCTATGTAAGGACATGGAAGAAGGAAGCTCTCTCGTTGCCTGCTCGCTCTCACTGGCAAGTCCATCCTTTCAATGGCATTAGAGCTTCTTTGGGATTATGGTGTTTACTGGAGACCAGCTGAGACTTCTAACCACATGGCCTGAGAAACTACTGGGTTCTTGGACCTTCCATTTGTAAACAGCCATTGTTGGGCTAACAGCCTCTGAGTCACTCTAATAAATCCCCTTTATTCATATTCCATCAGTTCTGTTCCTCTAGAGAACCCTGACTGATACACCATCCCTGTTCCATTTGAGAAGAATATAATCTGTCTCCTTGCTATAGGAAGGCAAGGGCCGGTGGAGTAATGGAGAAACCCCTCTGTGCACCTGGACAGACCCAGGGGTTCAGTAAATACTCCCCAGAAAGGAAGTACTGGATCAGCAGGGTGTAGACCTGAAGGTCCATTGATGGCCACTAGATGGCAGGGCAGCCCATGCAGTGGGGTTGCTAGCATAGACAACTGGGAGGGATTAGGCATCTACCTCCAGCTGCCCAGAGAAGTCCGGTGCATTAGGTCGGCTGTGGTTGTAGAGGGTGAGGCTAAAGTGCAGGCCCTGGTCAGGTTCTGGAGCAAGACCCAGATGGTATTGAGAACGCAGCAGGAGAGCACCCTGATCCAGACTGTGCTCCCCAGAGAATGAGAGGGCCTGAAGGAAGACATCAGAGGTTCCAGAGGTCAGAAGATACAGGCGCCTCCCCCCTGGACCCTGCTATGATTCCTTACACCTGGATTGCTGTAAGCAGGCTGTGGGGGTAGCAGATCTTACTGCCACACCCACAACCGTCTCCAGCAAAGGCCCTTAAACACTGAAACATGCCTATACAGGTGCCTGTGTGTGAGTGAGGCATGCCTATACAGGTGTTTGTGTGTTGAGTGAGGCATGCCTGCACAGGTGCCTGTGTGTGAGCGAAGCATGCCTGCACAGGTGCCCTGTGTGAGTGAAGCATGCCTGCACAGGTGCCCTGTGTGAGTGAAGCATGCCTGCACAGGTGCCCTGTGTGAGTGAAGCATGCCTGCACAGGTGCCCTGTGTGAGTGAAGCATGCCTGCACAGGTGCCCTGTGTGAGTGAAGCATGCTGTGTGAGTGAGGCATTCCTGCACAGGTGTCTGTGTGTGACTGAGGCATGCCTGCACAGGTGTCTGTGTGTGAGTGAGGCATGCCTGCACAGGTGCCTGTGTGTGAGTGAGGCATGCCTGCACAGGTGTCTGTGTGTGAGTGAGGCATGCCTGCACAGGTGCCTGTGTGTGAGTGAGGCATGCCTGCACAGGTGCCTGTGTGTGAGTGAGGCATGCCTGCACAGGTGTCTGTGTGTGAGTGAAGCATGCCTGCAGGTGCCCCGAGGCCACTTGTAATCCCTGCTCCCATTCTTCCCACCGTCCCCCAGGCCCTAAACATACAACTTTGGTCTGTCCTGTTTTCCTCCACTCTGGACAGCTCTCCAGGAGAGTGGCACTGCCTTGCCTCTCACTCAGCAGAAACAGCTTTCATGGCACAGTGGAGCGAGCAGGATAATGAGAGACTTTGATGGTTTGTTAAACCTTAAACACTCGGCCTGCCCTTTGCAGAAGAGTCTGTGGCCCCTGGGAGGTAGGGGGTGAGGAGGTGAGTAGATGTGTGGTGGGGAGGGTGGTGGATGGATGGATAGATGGAGGGTGGGAGAGCAGATGGATAGATGGAGGGTGGGAGAGCAGATGGCTAGATAGATGGTGGTGGGGTGGGTAGATGGACAGATTAGCAGGAGGGTGGGTAGTGTGTAGATAGCAGGAGGGTGGGTGGGAAGGCAGGTATGTATGTGTGTGGATGGGTGGGTGAAGGACAGGAAAGAGTAAGAGATGGATGGATAGGAGGACCTGTGAATGGTGGGGGGGCCTCAGGCAACAAGCTCAGGGTAGTGGCAGGAATGGTGTGTGCCTCAGCAACGGTGGTGGTGACAGCTCTCGTTTACACACCCTCCTGAATATCACAATCTCCCCTATACACATCTTCCTTCTCTCACGTAAACTAACAGAGAAGACAGGTGCCATGCAGCTGGTTGTGAAGAGCCAGTGACAGCTCTGCCTGGTTTGGTCATGCCCTGCCTGTCCCACGTGCTCCCCCTCCTCAGGTCCCCTGGTTCCCCTGTACCCCATCCTTCTCAGCAGACTCACCCTGGGCAAGTTGCAAAGCCCCAGGTGGAGGGTGTGACGTAACTTGTGCATGTAGTCTGTTTCCACTGTCCCTTGGAAGCTGTGCTTGGCACAAGGGGCCGAGAGGATGTGCTCTAGTGTGACCTCTGCGTGGACCTTGTCCCACTGGGGCAGCTGACGCTTCTGGAATAGCTCATGACATGGGGGTTATCACATAGGAGAGAATGTCCACAGTACCCACAGGGGTGACTGTCACCCACACAGAAACCAGGTGCCAGTGACCCCAGCCTCAGGGCCCCATGTCTCAGAAGCTTGGGGAAGTACAGAAGGGCTGAGAGGTACACTCTCAGCCCGATGTTGCCATTTCAGTACAGTCTGGCTTTTGTCTCACACACTCAAGAGCTGCACTTAGCCCCACTGGAAGCCCTAGTTGGTTGGGAGATACCGAGCCCTGCCATTTCTGGGAAGGTGAGCCCTCCCCTGCCTACCACCCCACGACCAGCAGACCTTCAGCACTTCCAGCACTGTCTACCACTAATCTAGTGTTGATCTACTTCCTGGTAGGACACGACTATCGTACCCATTTCAGATGAAACAAGGCTCAGCCAGAAGACTGAGTAGCCTAGATCCCCAGCATAGCCAGCACTTGAACCCAGAACTACACTGCAGTAGTAACTACGCTCCCATAGCTGGCAAGGCCCCCTGTAGATGACCTGACCTGAGTCTGGCTCTCTGTGCCTCACCTCATATGTCACATTCTGCTGCAGCCGGTGTCGGCCCCAGGAGAGATCAAGCTGCTCACTGAACATGACTGGGGTCTGAGTCAGGGCCCCACAAGCCTGCAGAGGGCCCAGGCCCCAGGTTCCCTGGAGCTGACAAGAACAGAAAGATGAGCCAGAGGCCTGCTGGGAGGCCCAGAATGAGGACCCTAGGCAAGAGCTCACCAGAGAGCCAGCACATACCTGACCTAGGGAGGCAGCTAGGCAGCCATCCCAGGCTACACTGTTCATAGAGGACCTCTCAGCCCAGGTGACCTCCAGAGTCACAGGTGAGCTTCTGTCCCTTGATTGCTGAACCTGCACGAGGGAGGAACAGAGTTGAGGCTGTCACAGCCTCTGAGGGGAGATGCTGGCTAGATTGTAGCTGCCTTCATCTTTCCTGGAGAGGAAGTGGAGGTTACAGGGGCTTCTGCCTTCCTTGTAGGAGTCCAGAGCCCCTTACTGGGAAACTGGGAAAGGTCCCTCCATTGATGACAACAGTCCCTTCTGGGCTCTGAGTGTCCCGCCCTACTGTCATCCAGCCTCTTCCTTCAGAAGCTCCTCTTAGCTCTGGCCTCGGCCTCTGTGCTTGCTATCCTATAGCTCATTTTCCTGGGGGGTCCTTAGGTGATAGCCTTGTTTCCCACAAAGGTCTCACCTGGCCTTTCAAATCCAGCTCCCTGGATACTTGCTCCATGATACTTGTCACAATTTCTGAGTTTTAAAAAATTTCACTCACCTGCTTGTATTCTGCTCTAAATACTCTAAAATACTCTTAAATACTCTAGGAGTATTCTCTAAAATACTCCTGCTCACTGGTGGTAAGAGGAGGCTCAGAGACACCACACAAGTTCAAGGATACACAGTGGGCTAGGGAAGCCAGCCACCTCACTCAGCCCTCCCTGAGGTAGCTAGGTATGCCAATTATCATACAAATGAACTCAGAGCCTCTTGAAAACCATTTTCTTCATTAAACCCAGAGTTTAGTGTGGTGGCCCACATCTTTAATCCCAGCACTCAGGAGGGAGAGACAGGCAGATCTCTGTGGGTTTGAGGCCAGCCTGGTCTACAGAGTGAGTTCTAGGCCAGGCCAGTCAAGGCTATTACATAGAGAAACCCAGTCTTGAAAAACAAAAACAAGGGCTGGAGAGATGGCTCAGAGGTTAAGAGCACTGACTGCTCTTCCAGAGGTCCTGAGTTCAATTCCCAGAAACCACATGGTGGCTCACAACCATCGATCATGAGATCTGGTGCCCTCTTCTGGTGTGCAGATATACATGGAAGCAGAATGTTGTACACATAATAAATAAATAAAAATCTTTTAAAAACAAACAAACCCAGAGTCTGCAGATGCAGAAACTGGGCCTCCAACATGGGCAAACAGTAAGCATTGCTGAAAGAGCAATTGAGTAGAGGACCCTCCAGGTCCCCAGCCAGGCATCTGTGACCCTGGAGAGTGCCCCCTGCTGAACAGGGCTTCCCACCTCCCCAAGCCCGAGGCCTGCAGATCCCTGCCTTCTGAGGGCTGCTGACCTCTGCCCCACCTGAGAGGTGGAGAGGGTGGACAGGGTTTGTGGGGGCTACAGGAGCAGGGGAGCAACACCTGCTGAGCTGAGCCTTCCTTGCTGCCCCAGCCAAGCCCTTCCCTGAAGGCTCAGGGAGACCTGGTGTAACAGCTACATGCCTGGGGGAGTGGCTTAAGACAAGTGCTGTGTGTGAGCAGACAGGTGTCACCCTGGCTGTGACCCCAGAGGAGTGACAGCAGCTCTCTGTGCTGTCTCAGGTTCTGAAAACAGGGTTTAGAGGTAGAATGGATGGCACATCAGCTGTGCTTGTCATGAGAGACTGAAATCCACATCTCCTGCCCCACTTTTGGACACCTAGTGCAGCTGGCTGACTCCCATCAGGTCCCTGGGCAAGGTGCCCCCCCACCCCTCCCAGGGTCTCCTACTTCTCCTGCTGCCTACCTGGTCTTTATTGTCCCAGGCCACAGCCAGGTCACCATGGTGGTTGTCTCTAGAATGCTCTGAGGACAGGTGGAGGCTGCAGTGGTGTGGCAGGGACAGAGACAGCTGGTGGGAGAGCTCCACTGTGGGGGACATGAGAGGAAAGGGTGGAAGTAAGGTCACAGCTGTGTGTTAGGGTCATGGCAAGAGACTGGTTCGGGGACCCAGCTGATAACAAAGCCATTCAAGCAGGTGGCCACATTCCCTACTCTATAGAGCTCGGTCACAATGTCACTTAAAGCATCCTAACTGTCCCCATGGGACCTCTGTTCTCTTTTTCTTCTATCCCAATCACACTGAGCAGCCAACCCACACCAACCCAGAGTCGCCTCTGAGCCCCAGCCCGGGGCCTCAGGCCATGCCACTTGTTACTTGAGGCCAACAGGGCACAATACCCAAGCCTTGGCCTTTAGGGGTCTGTTGCCACTTCCTCTCCTGACCCCTGATTAGTCACCATGGAGCACACCCTGGCTGACTGTTGATGGCTTCAAACCAGGCTTCAGGTGACAGCCAGAGGGTACTGAGATCAGTAGAGATCCCAGAGATCCAGAGCCCCTCCCCTTAGTGGCTGCTGACCTTGAGACCATGAACCTACCAGGGGCCTCCCTGCTGCTCCTCCTACCACTTCAAGCCACTGTGTTTCATTCAGGACAAGGGTTTTTTATTATTTATTTGCATGTGAACATGAACATACATACTTCACTGCATGTGTGTGCGAGATTGTCTCCTTCAGCTTGTGGGCCCAGCTCAGGTTGTCAGGGTTAATGGCAAGTGCTTCACCCACCAAGCCGATTTGCTTTTGTTGTTAATTTTGATTTACTTGAGACAAGTAGCTAAGAATGACCTTGAACTCCTGACCTTCTGACTTTTACTTCCTGGGAGTTGAGATTGCAGTCATAACCACCCCCCACACACACACACACGTTTTTTTTTTAAGATTCTGGGAATCGAATGCACTCTACCAGCTGGACTTCAGCTCTACCCGCTCTGTGATTTTGCTGACATGGGGGTTCCTAGCTCTCTGCCTTTTCTCTCTGAGGGCTGAGCCTTGACTATCTTGTGTCCTGAGGATTCCCTAGGGCCTAGAAGAGCACCAAGGACAAGCAGGCACTCACTCATGGCAAGTGAGAGCACCCCTAACCCCATGCCTCCTGCTCCTCATCCACTTACCCTGAAGACGGACATTCCCCGAGAGCTCTGAGAGGGCGCTGGAGAGGCTCCCATTGAGGGCCGCCTCCCTGCCATCCCACTGCACCACGTGGTACAGGATGTGGGTGCCTTGTGTTCTCTGGAACAAGGTCCTCAGGGCCAGCTCTGTGGGAAAGGTGCTGAGCTGGAAGACAATGGGATAGCCAGTGCATGGCCTCTTAGAGCTGAGCCACCAGCCTGAGGTGGGGAGGGGCAGACAGGTCCAGAAAGGAAAAGGAGCTGTGTGTGGTCAGAATCACAATGCTAAATAAATCCTAAATGTGAGCAGACAGTATAGAGGGAGAGGTGGGGTGGCATATTTCTCCCAGAGTCTGGAAGGAAGGTGGTTGTAGTAGAGACTCCAGCCTGGCACTTCCTCCTGCCGTCCCCATCCAGCCTGTTCCAGCCAGGGGCTTCTAGCCAGTTCTCAGAGTCATCCCTACCCCAGGTGCTTAGCATAGGGCGTTCTTTCCCCAGACAAGCTTGTCATTTAGGATTAGCTCAAGGTGTCATCTCCTCAGGTGACACTTCCTTTTATGTGGCTTTTGTCACCTGCCTCAACTAGATTACATATTCAATGACAGTCAGGGCCCATCAGTTCTGTCCTGTGCTATATCCCACCTTCATTCTGGAACAATGCCTAGGATTAGGAGATGATCAATAAAGAATTAAGATGAGACACACAGCTAAGAGTCCCTTCCAGCCAATTTGCCCCCTTCAGAGCCTAGCTGGAAGGGACTCTACGCACCTGCAGGAAAGTCTGTTGCAGCAGGATGACACTGGCGAGGTCGTCCTTAGCAGCCAGTAGGCTGGTACTGACATGGAAGCGGCGCTCTTCCATCTCTAGTACAAAGGTGCCTTGGGTCTCATCCTTGGAGTACTGGAGCTGGTGAAGGGAAAAGTGTAGCAGAGAAACCATCAGATCTCAGCCAGATGATGCTTGGCTCCGGACTCTGTTCCCAGAGCTCCAGAAAGGGACCTAAAGCTTCCTGAGATGAACAAACTGATGAAATAAGGGTCTTGAGTCTAGGCAGACCCCGAGGTGCGATGCCAGCTGCACTCCTCATGCTCTTGTGCTGTAGCAGTGAACAGCCCACAAGGATCTAGTTGTGGTATCGCTTGTGACCACAGAGGGCAGTGTTGCACAAGGACAATGCTCAGAGTGGTAGACCAGGCTCCAGGCTGGCTCTCCTAAGGGTGGGTTGAGTCAGTGACAGGTTTTTGGTTTCCAGAGCCTTGGCCTTTTAATCTTATGGCTAAGGATAAGGATGCTTACTCTTCCACAGGACCCAGGTTCTGTTCCCAAACCCTGTTGAGTAGCTTCTAGCCTGTCACTCCAGGGGATCTGATGCCCACTTGTGGCCTCTGCAGGCACCTACACCTGCATGCACATAGCAATACATACAGACATACACATACACATAAAAATTTAAAACAATAATAAAAAGTCAGGTTACAAAGAGAAACAGAGATTCCAGATCTCAAGTTGGCCTTCAGATTGATTTGTCCTACTTGGAAAAGAAAATTTTATTTTGGGGGATGGGGGTGTATGTACACATGAGTGTGCATGTGTGAGGAGGCCAAAGGCTAATGTCGAATGTTTTCCTCACTCATTCTTCACCTTGTTTTTTGAGACAAGGTCTCTCACTAAACCTGGAGCTTGTTGATCAACTCAACTAGCTGGCCAGTGAGCTCCAGGGATTCTCTGCCCCCTCCCCCCAAAACACACATCCTTGGATTATAGGTGTGTGCTGTTATGTCTGTTTGTCTATCCATTCTTCCATCCATACATCTGAGATAGGATCTCACTATGTAGCCCTGGCTGGTCTGGAACTCACTATGTAGACTAAGCTGGCCTTGAACCCACAGAGATCCTCCTGCTCTTGCCTTCTGAGTGCTGGAACTAAAGGAATGCACTACCACACCTGGCTGTGCCTGGCTTTTTATATGGGTACTGGGAATCCAAAATCAGTACTTTACACGCCCCCCATTTGATTATTATCAGTCTTGTTTGAATATTTACATGTCAGGACCACAGTAGCTATTGTCCTGCAGTGACAGGACCCAGTGGCTTCACAAGGGACAGGGTGGCTTGTGGCTTAAACACACACACACCTGCATTTGCTTTCTGGCTTTTCCAGCCAAGTTTTCAGATTTCTGTTCAAGGATAACAAAATAAAAGTGGCATAGTACAAAGCATCCTGCACAGGTCTGGGTCCTGTCATGGGTTTAAACCTAGGACTAAATATTTAAGAGGCCTTACTGAACAGTTGGGAATTTTATTATCCAAGTGTTGTTTCAGCATTCAAGTTCGTATCAGGCCTGAAGACACGGGCCTGTAAATCCAACACTTGAGGAATCTGAGACAGGGAAGTAGTAGAATGGTGGTGAGTTCAAGGTCAGTATGGACTACACAGCGAGTGTGATGGCTTGAAAGAAAACAACCCCTATAGGCTCAAAGGGAGTGGCACTATGAGAAGATGTGGCCTTGTTGGAGTAGGTGTGGCCTTGTTGGAGGAAATGTGTCACTGTGGGGGTGGGCTTTGAGGTTCAGATGCTCAAGCCTAGCTCAATGTCACTCTCTTCCTGCTGTTGGATCTGGATGTAGCTCCTTCTCCAGCACCATGTCTGCCTGCATACTACCATGCTTCCCGACATAATAATAACAGATTAAACCTCTGAACAGTAAGCCAGCCCCAATTAAATGTTTTCCCTTATAAGAGTTGCCATGGTTATAGTATCTCTTCACAGCAACAGAAATCCTAACTGAGACAAAATTGGTACCAGGAGTGGGGTATTGCTGCCATAGACCAGACCATGCTTTGTTTGGAGGAATATGGAACACTTTGGGACTTTGGACTAGAAAATCTACTGGGTACTTTAAGCAGGCCTTAATGGGGCATACTAGTAGGAGCATGGAAGACAGTGGTGCTGAAGGTGATTTGAACCATGGGAGCCTGGCTCAAGAGGTTTCAGAGGAGAAGAATATTAGCATGTGGTGATACTTTGGTGAAGAATATGACTGATTTCTGCCCTTGTCCGAAAAGTCTGCCTGAGGCTCAATTGAAGAGTTATGGATTAACAGCTTTGACAGAGGAGATTTCAAGACACCCTGACTGTATTATGTGGCTATTAGTGGCCAGTCTTCTTGTTTTATTTTTTTGAGACAGTGTTTCTTTATGTATCCCTGGATGTTTTGGAACTCTGTGGACCAGGTTGGCCTGAAATTCACAGTGATCCACCTACCTCTGTCTCCTAAGTGATGGGCTTAAAGGAGTATGCCACCACCACCTGGTTAGTGGCCCATTTTACACAGATTTATAATGAAAAGGAGCAAGCTAAGCATGGAAAATTACAAAGCATACTGTTAGAGGAGAAAAGGAGCTCCAGGAGGTAAATGTTAAAGAAAAGCCAGATGCTAAGTGGAATCATGAGCAAGACTCCACCAGGCTAAACTCTAACTTGTGAAAAGGAATTAAAGAAAATCTTAGGACCAAGCATGTGGTACATACCTTTAATACCAGTCCTCAGAAGGCAGAGGCTGGCAGATCTCTGAGTTCAAGGCCAGCCTGGTCTACAGAGCTAGTTCTACGACAACCAAGCTTTGACAATGAAGGAAATCATCAAAAAACAGAAAACTGGTGAAAATGTGTTTGAACAAGGGGACCATGTTCCAGCCCCAGCAAGAAGCAGAATTTGGCAGCTTCGGCCATGTGGTTCTGGCTTTGGAGTCAAGGATACACAAAAGGGGTTATGGAATCTTCCACCATAGCTAAGGAAAGCTGCCGAGGTCAGTCCTGTGTCAGGAGTGTCCCTGCATGGAGGCCTAGAGAGCCATTGTGTGAAGCTGAGAAGGTGAAGCCTGGATTGTGTTGGAGACCCCAAGATGCTGGAGATGATGGAGTTGTGGGATTCCTGCCAAAGAAAGCCGCTAACAGGGAGTGGAACCAGCCCAAGGAAAAGAAGTGTATTGGAGTCAACAAAGCTGAAAGGAGTTGGAGATCTGAAGAGCGTTTTCACATCAGACATGGAGATGCAGAGTTTGGAGTTTGCCAAGCTGGGTTTCAGTCTTGCTTTAGTTCAGTATTTCCTCCTTGTGCTCCCTTTCCTCCCTTTTGGAATGGTAATGTGTATCCTGTGCCATTGAATGTTGGAAGGATGTGAGCTGCTTTTTTATTTTGATTTTATAGGAGATTACAGTTAAGATTGCATGAATCTCAAAAGAGAATTCAGACTTTTAAACATTGTTGAGACTGTGACAGACTATGGGGACTTTTGAAGTTAGACCGAATGCTGTTTTGCATTATAATATGGCTACCAATCTATGGGGGCCAGGGAGTGGAATGTGGTGGTTTAAATGAAAATGGCCCCCACTAGGCTCATTGGGACTGGTACTATTAAGAGATGTGGCCTCATTGGAGGAAGTGTGTGGACTTCGAGGTTTCAAATGCTTAAGCCAGTGCCACTCTCTCTTCCTGCTGCCTTCAGATCCAGATGAAGAACTGTCAGCTCCTTCTCCAGCACCATGTCCTCCTGCTTGTCACCACACTTCCCACCATTCTAATAATGGACTAAACCTCTGAACCGTAAGTCAGTCCCTAATTAAATGTTTTCCTTTATAAGAATTGCCATGGTTATGGTGTTTCTTCAGAGCTATAGAAATCCTAAGACAGTGAGTTCAAGACTAGCCTTGGCTGCATAAACAGACTGCCTCAAAATTTTAAAAATGGGTTCAAGGGTGTAGCTCAGTTGGTAGATGACAATGGACTAAATCTCTGAACCTGTTAGCAAGCCCCAATTAAATGTTTTCCTTTAGAAGAGTTGCTGTGGTCATGGTGTCTCTTCACAGCCATAAAACCCTAACTAAGATACCTGGTTTCCAGCCCCAGCACTGCATAATCTAGGTGTGGTGGTACACCTATATTCATCTGAATATCTCAAATTCAAAAACACACTCAGCTAAAAAAGGAAGTTCTAGCCTGAGCTACATAAGACCAGGTCTCTAAGGAACTAAACATCCTGATTTTTGTAATTGTACTGTGTTATATAAAAACCCTTGTTCTACAAAACACTTGAGGTCTTTAGGAGTAAAGACATAGCCTCATTAACTCAATTACACTCAAAAATGTGTAGGCTGCTCTGTCTCATGGTGACTTCTTTGTTATTGATTGAGACAGGTCTCATGTAGCCCAGGCTGGTCCATAATGAACTATGTTGCTCAGAGTGACCTTGACCTTCTGCTCCTCTTGCTTCTACCTCCCTAGTGTGGGGGTTACAGGTGTGTGCCACCATGCCTGGTTTATGGGGTGCTGGGGCTAGAGCCCAGGGCTTTGTGCCACCCACTAAGCCACATGTGGGTGTCCAACAGTAACCTGTCTGTGACTGAAGCTAGTCTAAGTAAAACTTGAGTAAGAAACTAAGGTGTTGTGAGTTCAAGACCAGCCTGGTCTACAAGAGCTAGTTCTAGGACAGCCTCCAAAGCCACAGAGAAACCCTGTCTTGAAAAACAAACAAACAAAAAAAGAAACTAAGGTGTTCTCCTTTGACTGTGGTACTGAGAAAACACCCACTCAGGGGAGGGCTGCTTACAGTATGTGCTCTGTAAACAAAGGTGGCCTGGACATGATCAGGAGGGCTTTGGACAAAGCCTGTGGCTGGTAGGAAAATTCAGTGGCCAGGGATTGGGGTGGGAGGTGCATAGCTCAGTGGTAGAGAGCTCAGCTATCGTGCACAAGGCCCTGGGTCAGGCATAGCACAGGAAGTTATAGGCAAGACAAAGGGGACGGCAACAGGAAGAATAGGAGGGCAGGAGAAGGCAGGGGAAGAGAGGGGAGGGGAGAGGAGGGGAGAAGAGGGGAGGTACTGGCTAGTTGGCAGGCCTAATCATTCATTCTTTACCAAGAAGCTATCCTATATTGGTCCCTGTGGCAAGAGTTGGCATTCCCTATAGGAACTCCTTATTTGGGGACTCAGAGACAGACAAGGACATGAACAGTGACAATGCAGAGGCAGCCTTCAGCCATGGTCAAACAAGCCATCCTATCTGCCCAGACCTCCCTGTAAGGCATTCAGCGTATGGTGGTGGAGTTGGCATTGCTCAAGGGCCAGGGCATCTGCTGCAGCTGGTGGGGGCACGCCAGGTTGGGGGGGGTGTCAGGCATCAGGCACCAGGGCGGGCAGACCTCCCAGCTCCAGAGGGTCCCCTGGGCCCCTCTGGAATGTAAACATTGGATGTTTGGGAAAGTCAAAGCCTGAGTTTTGGGGGTGGCCTATGGGGCCCACTGAAGGCCTCTGACAGACAAGGGTGTACACACACCCAGCAGCCCAGGCTGCACAGGACTGCCTCTGGCAGTGTCTGGAGCTACTTAGAAACCAGGGGTGCTGGGGCAGTTACCTTGGCTGTGGCAGAGACTGAGCGGGGACAGCAGTCCAGGAGGGAGGAGAGGTGGTGTCCACCCCACAGCAGCAGCTCTTTGCTGGAAGCAAGGAAAGAGAGGGTGGAGCTGGCATGAAGGCATCCGGTTCAGCACTACCCCAGGTCAGAGGCCCAGAGGCCCCAGATGTGAGCAGTCCATTCAAGTGTGGTCACAGTCACCAGGGCACTGGGGCATGGGTCTCAGCACAGGTTCCACCTAGCTCTGGCACCAGGAGCCAGTTTCTTGTCCTACACCCTTAACCTCAGTTTCCCTATAAAGGGTTAGAATTGGCTCTGGACTGTGTCTTCCAAGAGCCCAAACTCTTAGGTCTGCATAGCAGGAGCCTTCAGGGGTGTGGGCAACGGGACTTACTTAGGCCTCCCAGCCTCTTCCCAGGAACCCTTCACTGGCCCTTCCACCGGTTGCTTATACGTGGGGCCATGGTCTCTGCAGCTGGGGCTGTTCTATGTACCCAAGGGTGTTCAGCAGTCCTCCTCTCTTGGCTTAGCAATCAGAAATTTCCCCAGTCACTGCACAGCCTCACCCAGGTGAGAATCACAGGGTATACCTTTAACAAGTAGGGCCTGAGCTCAAGAAGGGGAGCTAGTAACCCACACCTCTCTTAACAGGAAAGTGTCCCAAGCCCCAAGCCAATTCCACTAAGACCAGTGAGAAAGTGTGTACGTGTGTGTGTGTGTGTGTGTGTGTGTGTGTGTGTGTGTGCTCATGCATGCTGTCCCAGAGGCCAGGGAATTTTTAAGAGCTTGGTGACCTTGACAAAGCCACTCTGCCTCTCTTAGCCTCCCGTTCTGTAATCTCAGTGGATTGTGGTGGTTTGGGGAGCCATCATGTCTCATTGAGGCCCAGCAGGGTCCAGATGTCAGATGCCTCCAGTTCACCTCCTCCTAGGCAGCCCCCAGAACCATCAAGAGCTCCCACCTGTTGGCATGGTTCTGGCCGTGGACATGGAGGGACAGAATATCTTGGGTGTCGCAAGTGATTTGCAGGGAGGAACTCATGTCTTCCGTGGTCCAGAGTTCTCGGAATAGTAACTGAGGTAGGGTGGCAGAGAAAACAAGACACATACTGTTGGGGTGCTGAGGACCTTAGATATCAGTGGAGATAGCTATGTGACTTGCAGCCCCAGAGCAAGACCTGCCCAGCCTGCATGCAGGCAGGCTCTGGCTCCTGGCTCCCCCTGGACACAGGGCTCATGGTCAGGGCTCAGAACCAGATGGACTGGGGGTAAGGGGAGTCTGGTATTCTCAGTTGTGGGGGACACCAGGAGCTGCCTTTCCCTTCTCAGCCGAACTGTTGAACAGACAGCAATGGCTGGAGGTGAACTGTGGGCCTTGACACCAGGACAAGGCACAGAGGCAGGAAGAAACACGGCCAGGGTGCAGCCCCATGCAGTGGGGACCATGGAAGCACAGGGTTGAGTCCTCACTCCACTGCCTGCTTGCCACATGAACTTGAGCAAGTCACCTAAACCTCATGTGTGACTCACATTTTCACAGCCAATGGTGTCCCAGAATTCTTAGCTAACAACATAGATCTAGTGGTGCACGCCTTTAATCCCAGCACTTGAGAGGCAGAGGCAGGTGGATCTCTGTGAGTTCAAGACCAGCCTGGTCTACAAGAGCTAGTTCTAAGACAGCCTCCAAAAGCCACAGAGAAATCCTGTCTCAAAAACCAAACCAAACCAAACCAAAACAAACAAAAAAACCAACCCCCCAAACCCCAAACAAAACAAAACAAAAAACATGGATCTGCACAGTTCCATGTGACAGGAGTATTACTATTCACACATGAGGAGACTGGAGGCACAGAGAGGGCAAGCCATCTCCTCAAGGTCACACAGCTAGGGGGTGACAGAGCTGGTCAGGGGGTGACCTGAGGTAGTGTTCACAGGATGTGCTGTCCTGCACCACAGCAGGTGTCAGAAGGACTAAAAGCATGGGACAGCCTGATTACTGTTCTTAGCACTGAATACTGAGCCCAGAGCACTAAGCAATGCTCATAGCACTGAGTCATATCTCCTTGGCAAAACAAAGTTGGACTTCAGCTCTGATTCATTACTGGACAGGCAGAGAGTAGCTAGAACATGGTCATAGGACACAAGGCCTGCGGAGGAGTTTACTTCACAGGCATTGGCTAAAACTGTCTGTTTTTCTGAGACAGGGTTTCTCTATGTAGCCCTGGAACATGATCTGTAGACCAGGCTGGCCTTGAATTTGAGATCCTCCTACCTCTGCCTCCCGAGTGCTGGGATTAAAGGCGTGCACCACCATGACCAGGCTTTAACTGTTTCTTATTTGTCTGTCTGATTGTTTAAAGAGCCTCTGAAAACTACAAAGTGTGGTGACCGCTTGTCAATCCTCTGCTCTGCACAGGGGAAACTGGATGAGGGGTAACACATTTGGAGAGTGGTGGGCTGGCCCTGTGGGCCCTCACCTGGCTGCTGAAGGGCAGGCCCAGTCTCTGGAAAGCATGCACCGTGTGGCTGGTATTCACTGTCGCCTCCAGTGTGCCATTTGGCAGCCAAGTCAGCAGGGCTGTCACATCCACACTCACCTTGCTGTTCCTGCCATGGAGGACCACATGGGCCCAAGTCTGGGTCTCTAAAGGCAGAGTGACAAGAACCATGGGAACTTGAACTCCCCTCCCTCCCTGGAGAGGAATGCAGAAGAGACTGTAATGAGGATATGCTGCAACCCATGCATGTTGGCAGAAAGGCTACCAGATCATTGTCTGACCTCAGGCTAGCTGCTCACCTTCCCAAGCCCCCAAGATATCATCTATCACAAGACATCCCCTAGACCCTCCTCTGAGAAGCCCCACCCCATTCCTGCCTGCCACCCTTCACGGCTGGGTATCTTCATCACATCACAAGGCACAGCAACTTGTGCCTCATGGGGACAGCAGCCTAGGCAGGCGTTATCTGTGCTGGCGGGTGCAGCTGTTGGCCTAGCAGGCACTCAGAAGCACCTGTTGAGAAACTCATAGAAGAATGAATGTTTTTTCCTGAAACTGGCACGGGCCAGATACCAGCAGCTCTCCTTCAGTGACAGACTCACAGGTCACCGAGAATCTGGCCCAGGCTGCAGCATTCCACACCTGCTGCCATGTGGACAGCTCTGGCAACTTTTGCCCCCAAGTGGGGCTACCTCTCCATGGCTGTCACACACAATCCCTCCAGAACAGGCAGGTCCACCCTGTCTTGCACCCCCACCTGTCCTCTGCTATGTATGGAAAATGACTGACAGACCTAGGAGCTTAGAAGTGGTTCCTACTGTGTGTCAGAAGTTGGGGTCATGCTAGGTAAGGCTCACCACTTAGGTCTGAGCCCATGGGGATATCCAGTGCCTTGAAGCCCAAGCCTTGATTTCCTCATCTGTAAAATGGTTGCAGCCCACCCACCTCAAGACAGCCTCCAGGTGACATCACCCCCAAGGATCTGGGGGGTAGGAGTGCACTGGGTTAGAAAACACTCATTTTCTTCTTGCATCATCCATAGTCAATCACACGTCTGCTATGCTTAGAGTAAAGGGAAGGGACATGGATCTTATGCTTGGGGACTCCTGGCTGTCAGGGACACCATGACAGCTAACACTGAACAGGAAGTGTCACTGTGGGCTGGGGCAGCTAGGCATAGAGAGCTCTGGAGGAAGGGAGAGGCTGGGGGGGGCTAAGAACTAGTATAATCCCCAGCAAGCCTTCTCATGAGTGATCTCGGGCCCCAGCATGAGAAAAGCCCCCATTTAGCTCCCCCACCCCCTAAGGAGGCTGAAAGACAAAGATGGAAACATTTGAGGTCAGAGAAAAATGATCCAGGTGATAGGGAAACCACCCCGGGTCCAGAGTAGTCCAGAGCCAGGGCCTGCATCTATCCGGAGGACAGAGGAAGGCAGAATATGAAGCCAGACTCTGGAATCAGACTGACTGAGTTCAAGGCCTGGCTTCATTATAAGCCAGCTGTGTGGCCTGAGGCAAGAGACTCCACCTCTCTGAGCTATAGGGAACAGGTTGAAGACCATGAAGGTTGGGATGGTGTGGGGGTGAGAGCGGTGCTCTGAGGCCCTGATGGTGAGCATTGGCTGTCAGCTTCAAAGGATCTAACATTACCAAAGAGCTCAGTCTGTGCACATGCCTCTGAGAAACTTTGTAGAACTGGCAACTGTGGTGGGAAGATCCACCCCGAATGTGAGCACACACACACACACACACACACACACACACCCAGCCCTGACAGGAAACAAGAGGAAAAAGTGAGCTGAAAGCCAGCATACATCACACTCTGCTTCTGGACCGGCTTTGTGATGTGAGCAACTGCCAAGAGCTCCTGCTGCCTGGAACTCCTGCTGCCTTGACTTCCCATTACAATGAACTATAAGCCAAAGTCTGTCTTCCTCCTTTAAGCTGCTGTTATCACTCTCACAGTGGCCCTTCTAGAGCCGACTTCCAGTGAGTGAGAGAGCTGTGCAGTCACGGGGCACTCGTGCATGACAGAAGGCTTGCCTGGCTGGAAGTGCAGGGTCACTGCTGGCTCCTACCTTCTCCTTCTCTTAATTACGGGTTGAGCTGTGTCCCTACTCTAAATTCTTACCTCATACCTGTGAGTGTGACCTTAGAAAATGGTCTTTACAGGTGTGACTAGATAAAGCAAGGTGACAATGGAGGTGTTGGTATCCAAAGCCAATCCTGGTGTCCTTGTAGGAGAACAGACAGACACAGAAAGGAGGTGGTCCCATGCAGACAGAGGACAGGCTGGAATGATCTGTGTAGCTAGGGGACATCCTGCCAGCAGAAGTCCCTTGGGACTCCTGGAGGGAGACCAGGCCACCTGTATTGTGATTTTAGATGCCTGGCCAGAATTCAGAGTAAATCTCCCGAAGTTTCTAGCTTCCTACTTTGGGAAATTGTGTATCTCTAAGGGGTAGCCTGTGGAGGACCAGGCTATCTTGGTCAGTCCTACAGCCCAGAGCCAGCTAGGCCTGCCTGGGTCAAGGCTGGGACTAGATCTGGGCCCAGGGGATGCTGCCCTGATGGGGAATGTCCTTTTGTACATATGTTTCTTTTATTGGTTGATGAATAAAACACTGTTTGGCCAATAGTCAGTAGAGGCAGGAAGATAGGCAGGGCTAGGAGACGAGGAGAATTCTGGTAAAGGTAGGCAGGGAAAGCCCACCAAGAAGAAACACCATGTAGAGCCCAGGAAGACAGGACACTCAAGGTGTTCTCTGGTAAGATAAGGCCATGTAGAAATACATAGATTAGTAGTTACGGGTTAATAATTAAGAGAGAATTAGCCAATAAGAAGCCCTAGCCATTAGTCAACAGTTTAATAATTAATATAATGTCCATGTGTTTATTTGGGACTCAAGGGTGGTGGGGCCTGGCAGACAAGAAAACTTCAGCAATACTGCCCTCCGGATCCAAGCTCACCCTGTATCTGTAGTTCAGCTTGCAGGTTGGCCTCATCCGGGAGCCCGGCCTTCAACAGGACCTCACTGTCGTGCTGGCTGTGGCCCCATAGCTCCAGACGGCCCTCATGGGCCCAGTAGTTTACAGAGCAGTTGATGGATAGAGGGCCTGTTGAAATATATGTGGAGTGCTCAAAGCTGGCGGCACCATCACGAATGTCCACAGAGACCTGCAGGGATACGATAGGGACGGACTATCCCAAGCTGGCCACATCCCAGAACCCCAGGGATTTCAGGACTAAAGCATGGAAAGAACAGGCCTGAAGTCATACAGGTTCCCATCAGTGACGTAGGGCTCAGAGAGTTCCAGGGAGGGATCCAAGGAGAATAGCCAGAGTGAGCCTGGGAAGGTGAAGATGTCCAAATGGTGGAAAATAGGGTCACAAACCTAGGACTGCTCAGCTCTTGGACCTGATCTTGCCAATAAAGTTTTATTAGAATATGGCTCTGCTTCTTCATCAACTACTGTCAATGGTTGCTATCCCCTATGGGAGACTCCCATGGCCTATAGGTCTTCTTCTTCTTCTTCTTCTTCTTCTTCTTCTTCTTCTTCTTCTTCTTCTTCTTCTTCTTCTTCTTCTTCTTCTTCTTCCTTCTTCTTCTTCTTCTTCCTTCTTCTTCTTCTTCTTCCTTCTTCTTCTTCTTCTTCCTTCTTCTTCTTCTTCTTCCTTCTTCTTCTTCTTCTTCTTCTTCTTCTTCTTCTTCTTCTTCTTCTTCTTCTTCTTCTTCTTCTTCTTCTTTCTCCTTTTCCTCCTCCTTCTTTCTTCTTTTTTGAGGCAGGGTCTCTTTATGTAGCCCTGACTGGCCTGGAACTCGATCTTTAGACCAGGCTGGCCTTAAACTCACAGAGATCCACCTGCCTCTGCCTCCAAGTGCTGGGGTTAAAGGCATGTGCCACCACACCTGGCAGGTTTTCCCATCTCATCGCCTCTTAGTGAAGTCTGCTGGCCTTTGCTGTAGCTCATTGCTCCTCCCTGTTCCACCTACAGCTGTCTCTGGCCTTAGGTAAAATCTCCACCCCCATTACTGAAAAAGAGATGAGGATTGGGTTAAGGTGGGCCGTAGCTGCCTGCAGTGTTGGCTGTGGATCAGGATTGTTGGTGTTACCCAGGCATACAGCCTCAAGCTGCCCCAAACCAGCCAGATCAGATTTTCATTTAAAAAAACTATTATTTTATGTATATGGATTTTTTTTGCATATATGTTTGTGTATCACATACATGCAGTGCCTGGTGTTAGAAGGTGCTGAAGCTCTGGAGTTACAGATGGCTCTGAGCTGCCATGTGAGTGCTGGGAGCTGTCAGAGTCCTCTACAAGAGCAACAAGTATTCTTTATCACTCCACCAATTCCCCTGCCTCCGATTCACTCTTTCTTTCTTTCTTTCTTTCTTTCTTTCTTTCTTTCTTTCTTTCTTTCTTTCTTTTCTCTCACTCCCTCTCTCTCTCTCCTCCTCCTTCCCTTCCACCCTTCCTCCCTCCCTCCCTCCCTCCCTCCCTCCCTTCCTTCCTTCCTTTCTTTCGAGACAGGGTTTGAAATCTGTGTCCTGGATCTCGCTCTGTAGACCAGGTTAGCTTTGAACTCACAGAGATCCGCCTGCCTCTGCCTCCCAAGTGCTGGGATTAAAGGCAGGCGCCACCAACGCCCAGCCAGATTCACACTTTTAAAAACTCAATTTCAGAAGATGTTTAGCCTGTAGGTGCATGGTGAGCTTGGACAGAGTGGTGTCACTTGTATCAGAGTGACACAGGAGCCCCTCTCCACTGGGTTCTAACATGTATCCACCCCCACAGTGCTTCCCCAGCTTCTGAGGCCCCAAGGTGTGACCAGCTCAGCTGGAATGTCTCCATCCTGGGCTGCCTGCCAGGCCTCTGCAGCCTCCTTCAGTGGACCTTATGGTCAGGTAGAATGGCTATGCAGGGACAGAGGTACCTCTGTTTCCCATCCCTCATGTGTCCCTCAGAGCCACATCCAGTGGGACAAGCCCATACAGCCACTAAACCTGGGTAGGCCTGTAACCAGTTTCCCTGGAGAGCTCTCACAATGTTGGCAGGCAGTCCCAACTGTGGGCCCTGTGTGCAGTTTACCCTCAGCCTGGGTCTTAGAGCTGGGACAGGGCAGACACCACCCTACATTCATCACAATGATCTGTAGGAAATCAATTCCTCATCTACACCCAGCCAGGGATAGCTCAGAATTAGCATAGCCCTGGAGTCTACCTGACCTAAGATGCTTACAGCACCCACTACTCTTGCTGCCATGACAGAGGTTGGTGAGAAAGAACTCTTAGGTTCTGGACTGATGTCCAACTGCAAAGGGATAGTTCATGGACCACCAAGAGGAACCAAGGCCCTGTGGAGCTGGAGACCAGTGCATGCCACAGGGTAAGGGGGGTGGCTGGGGACAAGGACCACAAAAGTCAGTTCAGCTAGGGCTTCAGCCCTAGCCTATACTGCCAGAAGTCCCCAGAGTTACACAGTGTTAGCCTCTAGTAAGCCTCCATGACTCACTACCCTACCCAGTCAGAGCCCTAGTACCTGGAGAGGCCACTCTTCAATGTTCCCCTGGCACAGATCCAACAGCTTAGCAGGCAAGGTGTCTCCATTGCAGGAGACCTGTGGAGACAGCTGGTGGGAAATAGACATTTCTTCCCTGACCTGACCTCAAAGAAAGCATCTGTGCATTCTGACACTAGACACTGTTCTAGAAGGTTCAGTGACTGTCAATAGCTCACCTTGTAGATGAGGAAAGAGGCATAGAAATCCACATGCTCTCCATGATGATTTGGCCAGTCCAAACCACATGACTCCATGTGTGAGTGTGTGTGTGTGTGTGTGTGTGTGTGTGTGTGTGTGTGAGAGAGAGAGAGAGAGAGAGAGAGAGAGAGAGAATGTGTTCGAGAGTATAAGTGTGTATGTGTGTGTGTATTATGTGAGTGTGTGTGTGTGTGTAGTGTGTGTGTGTGTGTGTGTGTGTGTGTGTGTGTGTGTGTGTGTAGGGACTGGATCCAGGACCTCACACAAGCTAGGTAAGCATTCTATCACTGGAGTCACAACTGTAACCCTCTTTCTAATTTTCTTCTTGAGCTGGGTGGTGGTGGTACATGCCTTTATAATGCCAGGACTCAGGAGGCAGAGGCAGGTGGATCTCTGTGAGTGGAGAATGAGTTCCAGGACAGTGGAGGCTATCCAGAGAAACCCTGTATTGAATTTTTTTTTTCTTTTAGAGACAGGGTCTCACTAAGTTGCCCAAGCTGGCTTTGAACTTGCAATCCTCCTGCCTCAGCCTCCCAAGTAGCTAGGATAATGATCCTGCCTTTCTAAGCCTGGCTCCACTCTTCACAACCATATGAGTGATGATGACCATATGAGTGACAGTGACCATATGAGTGATGGTGTCCATATCAGTGACAGTGATCATATGAGTGTCAGTGGATGACTTCTTTAGCCCACTCACTGTTGGGCGGCTTCCTTGTGATGGCTGCTAGCAATTATCAACCTCAGAGGATATAGAACAGCAAACAGATAAACCTCTGGGTGTGTCCCTGAGGATTTTCTAGATTAGGCTCAGGTGGGAAGACCTGCCTGAATTTGGGCAGCAGCATTCCCTCGGCTACACTCCAGAACCGAATCAAATGGAGGAAGTGAGCTGTATACCTCCATCCATCTCTCTCTGCTTCCTGACTGCAGATGCAGTGTGACCAGCGGCCTCATCCTCCTGCCTCCATGCCTTCCCTACCACCAGGGACTGTGCCCTAAAACTGTGAGCCAAGACAAACCTTTTGCCAGGTACTGTATCCCAGCAACAAGAAAAACAACTATTTCACTTGTCTAGCCTACAAGGACCCTTGATTTCTGTCACATTGAGTGAGCCAAAGCCCAGTCCCCTTCTTACCCACCTGAATGTGCCCATGGCCATATATGGAGAAGGGGACAGCCCTGTGTCTGTGGCTGGGAATGGTGGGGCTTGAGGGGTCAAGACTGGCATTGAGGTGACAGTTTGCACTCCACAATTCCATCTGTGCTGAGCGGTTGGAGGATTCCTGGGCACTGGGCACTTGCAACCCAGAATTGGAGGCTGGTCCTACAGGTGAGACACCAGAACAGATGGCAGTGGGTGGAAGCAAAGAGACCATCAAAAGGGCCCAATCCAGCCTGCTGTGTAAGAATGGAAGCCAGAATTCTGCAGGACTCCTGAGCCCAAGACAGACTCCTAGATGCCCACTGTCCCCAAAGACTCCAGGTGTGTCACACAGAACTTCCCCCACCCCCCAGAAGTGCTAAGTTCATCTGATCCACTGCAATTCCCATCCATATTTAGGGTCAGACCTTTGTCCCTGTGGGCTCCCTATTATCAAGAAAAAGGCCCCAGTCTTATAACAAGGGACTGGGGTGGCCGAGTATCTACACATTGCTGAGACATCTTGGGTCTCTCCAGACAGCTAAAGAACAGTCCCTCGGAACTAGGACAGGTCAGAGCTGTCCCATAAGCACAGGTCACAGAAAGGCCTGGAGCCACAGCTTTGGATTCCAGGGGTCTCTTTTGCCCCTGCGCTTGGCTCTAGAATCTCAGACTCTGGGAGAAACCACACAACTGAGAACCCTCCTACCTGCATCACCCAATGGGCCCAAGTTGTGAGTCAGGTTGTCTGAAAGCTGATGATGCCCAAGATCCCAGGTGCAGGTCCCATCCAGGGCCAGGCTGATCAAGTCACCATGGATGCTGGCCTGGCCCCCAAGGGCTCCAGTGTAGGTCTGCTGCCGCCCTCTCAGCTGGAGCTCTGCCGGCAAGGCCTGGCTGTAATTCTGAGTGATGGTGCAGGTCATGCTGTGCAGACTGCCATTCCCTGTCTCCTCATACTTATCCCGCAGGAGGAAGCTCAGCATGGCTGAGTCAGTGGCCACCATAACAGAACCTGTTGGGAAGGGGAGGAAGGAACAGAATATGGCATGGGAAGTTGCTAGCTCTGTGGCACTGAGAGGCTGGGTAAACGGATGTAGGAAGACCCACCCTCACTGTAGGCAGCACCACCCCATGGTCTGGGGTCCTAGACTAAATAGAAAGAAGGCTTCTGGCTTTGGAAGCAACGGGACCAGCTGCCTCATGCTCCCTGCTGCCACACCTTCCCTGAACATGATGCTGTAACCGCCAACTGTGGGCCAATACGCCCTTCCTTCCTTAAATTGTTTTTTTGTCGGGTATGTTGTTACAGCAATGAGAAAGGTAACAAAGACATCTGTATTACAAAATGTGAGCCTTTATCTCCATCCTTGACATGCGGATAGCAAGGGTCAGGCGCTATGAGAATCTTGAAAAGAAAATGCCAGCCAATCAGGTTTGCAGCCTGGGAACAACTGATGTATGGTTAACCGACATGTTTGACAAAGATTCAAAGGTAATTCGATAGAGACCAGAAAAACTTTTCAATAAATAGTGCTGGAGTAATTAAATATTTAAATAAAATTGCTTTTGCTATTATTAAATTAAATAAAGATAGGCTGGGGATATGGCTAATTTGGTAGAGTGTTTGCCTTGTATCCATGAAGCCATGGCTTCCCTCCCTGATGTGGTGGCACATACCTTCCATCCCCTCCCTGCCCACACCAAAGCACAGCATACCCTGGGCTTGTAGAAGGGCAGAGAGTTTGGGTCTTGAACCCTGGGCTTCAGTGCCCTGTGTGTGGGAAGGATGCTGTGGTCGCATATACTTTGTAGGAAGGGCACTGTCTTCAAACGTACTTGGGTTGTGTCTTATTGTGAAGCCCTGACCTCTGAAGCCTGGTAATGCTTCACTCCATCAAAACACCGAGTCAAATGAAACCTGAAACCTACAAGTAGAGTGCATACAGCCTGGGAACGAAATTCTATCTCAGATAGTTAGGTCCTTGCAAGGATGGGGCAGAACGGAACCCTAGCTGACTGCTTAGCTTCTGTTCGAGTGTGTGCCTACAGCCTACAGTGAAAGAGAGACACTGACTTCTGGCCACTAAGCTTGACTTCCTCAGACATGTCATGGAGAATTCTGAAACCGTGCATTCTACCTGTGTTCTGGCTGAACACAAATGCCAATCTGTGGCGGATCATTGCCTTCTGAGAAGGAAATAGCAGGGGGAAGGAGGAGGATGGAGAGATGGATCAGTGGTTAAGATCCACTCCTCCAGAAGACCCCAGCTTCTGGCCTCTGTAGACACTGTATGCACATGGTGCTGACATACATGCAGGCAAAACACCCATAAAAAAGAAAAATTAGCCTTCAAATTTTTTAAATGTCTTCAAAAAAGAAAAGGAAAAAGGCCTGAATGAAGCTTTTGTTGGCTTAGTTTGTTTCTGAGACAGCGCATCACACAGGCTAGCCTCAGTCAAGATCATCCTTCCTCAGGCTCCTGAGTATTGGATGACAGGAGTGTCCCACTGGACCTGGACAGAGCAAGCATGCTTGAGGTGGCTTTGTGATTTGGCTTGAGTGTGGAACGCAGGCATCCCTCTCCCCTAAGGCTCAGGAGTCAGAAGCTTGGTGCCCAGTGTGTGTGACATGGGAGAACGCTTGAAGTAGGTGATGTAAGGGTAGTGAGGAGACAGTGGGACAGGTAGAAACACGACTCACACATTCATGTGAGAATGGCAAAGCAAAAGACAATGTCTCCAACTAGTAGAGGGAGATCAGACTCTTGGTGCCATTTCCAAAATTTCCCTGATGTCTACAATGATGTCAGAATAGCCAGTCTGGTGGCCTAACAGTCACACATCTGACTTCAGAAGATTGAAAGTGGGTCAAAATAAGGGCTGGAGAGATGGCTCAGAGGTTAAGAGCACTGACTGCTCTTCCAGAGGTCCTGAGTTCAATTCCCAGGAACCACACGGCGGTACACAACCACCCATAATGAGATCTGGTGCCCTCTTCTGGTGTGCAGATATACATGGAAGCAGAATGTTGCATACATAACAAATAAATAAAATCTTTAAAAAAATGAAAAAGAAAGTGGGTCAAAATAAAAAGCACTGCTGGGCAGTGGTGGTGCACACCTTTAATCCTAGCACTCAGGAGGCAGAGGCAGGCAGATCTCTGTGAGTTCAAGGCCAGCCTGGTCTACAGAGCTAGCCTTAAGACAGCAAAGGCTAACAAAGAAACCATGTCTCAAAAAACCAGACAGACAGATAGACAGATAGATAGATAGATAGATAGATAGATAGATAGAGCACCATAGAGTGCTGGAGACAGGGTACAATGGATAGAGTGCTCACCGAGCATGCCCAGAGCTCTGGATGCAAACCCCAGCCCTACAGAAACCAGATATAGTGGTGCACTCCTGTAATCTCAGAACTCAGGAGGTAGAGACAGGAGGATCAGGAGTTTAAGTTCATCTTTGGCAACATAGAGAGTTGGAGGACAGCCTGGGTTACACAAGACCTTGTCTCAGAAAACAAAACAAGAAAACCACATGACACAGCTTCAGTCTAAAAATCCAAAATGTTCTAAAATCCAAAACTAATGGATCACTGACTCCATTGTGGAGCACTTGGGACTTGAATATTAAGACTTTATGCCAACCCCAAAGACCCTGAAACACAAAAATACTCCCATCCCAAGCATTTCGGATAAGGAGGTTCTTTCAAAATAAAATTGGGAGTGGGGCACAAACCACAGTGCAGATGTGGGGCTCAGAGGACAACTTGCACCTGTGGATCCTGGGAAACAACTCAGTTCTGTCACGCTTGGCAGCAAGCACACCTCGACTGGGTCTCTGGCCCAGGTAAGTGCTGCTGGTCTGTTCTAGAGAGTACACCTGAGAGGCTCTGTGCCCAGGTGCCCCCTTTAGAGGTAGCCTGAATGTTAGCGGCACTGACAAGTCCTACACAAGGATGTCTCTGCAGTGTTGTCAGTAGGAGACTGTCTTTACTAAGTTCTCTTGTGTCGAAGTCGATCTACCCTGGTAGTCCACAGGAAGCATCTGCCCAAGATGCTGAAGGCATCTGTGATGGCTATATCTGTAATTAACTAAAACCCAGTGGCTGGACACACCCATGAGGGATTTTTCTTAATTAAATCACGTGAGGTGGGAAGACCTACCTCTGATCCGGGCCACACCTTCTGCTGGCAGCCTATATAAGGACATGGAAGAATGAAGCTTTTGCTCTCTGCCGGCTTGCCCTCACTCTAGATGGCAAGTCCATTCCTTCACTGGCATTAGAGCACACGTCTGCCAGATACCCTCATGGACTGAACAGCTTCTGGAATCTTGGCCCTTCTGCTGTAGACAGCCATTGCTGGGCCAGCTGGATCACAGCCTGTGAGGCACTCCAATAACCCCTTATACATTCTATCAGCTCTGGGCCTCCAGAGGACCCTGACTGATACAGTGTTTCTCAGCTCTCACCTTCTCTGAACGCCATCTTCTGCTTTAGCATACTCTTGAGGCTAAGGACACGGGGCACTTTTGTCCAGCCAGCCACCGAGTGTTGGGCAAGGCTCCACAGGCTGAGGACCCAGCCTCCCCGTCTCCCCTCAGATGTTTTGAGGAGCAGCTGTGCTGAGTCCTGGTCCACCAGCACCTTGGAAAACATCTGTACCCTAGGAGGAATGTGATGGGGATTATTATGGTCTTCTGCAGGCTCAGATGTCCGAACACTTGGTCCCCAGCAGGAGGCGCTGTTTAGGGAGAGCTGCAGAGCCTTTGGGAGGTGGAACCTTGGTAGAGAAGTGGGTCATTGAGGGCTTACCTCACTTCCTGTCCACTCTCTTCATGCTCCTGCTACAGCTTTGGGCTGTTCCCTCTGTGGTGGACTACACCCTCAAACTGTGAGCCAAAATAACTACTTTCCAAAGGGGCTTCCCACAGTTGTTTTGTTCCAGAACCAGGAAAAGTAACAAACACAGAGATGGTAAATGGGTGGCCATTACTGGAAGTCCCAGGGAGACCATTGCAGGGGTGCTGTAGCAAGGCTTCATGAAAAGGGAGGCAGGGAAGTTGGGCACCCAGACCATAGGCTTTGGAGTCAGGCAAGCCTGGGTTCAAAACCCAGGGGTGCCACTCTCTAGCTGTGTGCCCACAACATGGAGACCTCTCTAACTGTCCAGTAGGGAATCAGATGGAAATACTAACCCAGACACGCACGAACCCTTGTGGGACCCTTCTTCACACAGAAGGCCATCTCTCTATGTTCCTTTTCAAGGGGCCCTTACCACTTCCCCCATTAAGAGACAAACAAGGCAGGCCTTGGGACGTGGGCTTTGATTGATAAAATAAACTGGAGGAGAGGCTGCAGCTTGGTGGTCCCTACCCTCCTAGTCCCCCAGCCTGGCACACATCTGGCTGAGTGGTGGGCTTGATGGGAACTGGTTGTGCAAAGACTACAAGCAAATAATACATCGGGTTTTTTTTTTTTTTTTTTGACCCCCTGCTTCAGCGCTGTTACAGATCCATCCTAATGACACACCGCCCCATACACAGTCACTGCCAAGCACCTTATCAGACCCCTCCCAGGAGCCCTGTGAGGGCTAACCATGCCATAATCTCCACCATCCAGGCAAGGAAACAGAGGCACGTGGCAGTAATTGGCCTGGAGCTCGTATGCTTACATTACTGTTTGTGCTTATCTTTACAATGCCTCTTCTGTGAGGTGGTTTACAGCTAAATGAACTTGGATTATTTGAGCTGGCTCCTGGCCCCTCAACAGGTTTTGTTCATGGTGACAAATGAGAGAAGTGCACTCCTGAAGCCTGATGTTAAATTTACCCTGCTGGGGTAAGGGGCACAACTCTTTTCATCACAGTAAATTCTGTATGGCACATAGTCCTTTGAGGTATGTTTTCTCTGGTGCACAGGCACACAGCTATGTGGATGTGAGCTTCCTTAGAGCTACTACAGATACTGTCATTGGTTGGTTTTTATTTTTTGTACTGGCAGCTAGAAGCTCAGAGCCAACCTCCAGAGCAATACTATGGCATTGCATTTTCCAACCAGTGTCACCTTAAGGGCCACCCCCTTTCCCTCTACATTTCATTTCCCATCTTGCCAGTTGCCTCACGTGTTTTATTTGTTAACCTAGAACAAGGCTGGTGAACCAGTTTTTCCACACTGCTTTTACAGTCAGGTTTTACTGGATCGTGATCCTGCTCTTTGTTTCCTCGTGGCCCACACTGCTGTGTTCTTAGCCTGTCACCAGATACCCTCAAAGCTAGAGAACTCACCATCCAGACCTCGATTGAGACCCGTCTAGGTCCCGACCTAGAACAGCCTCTGCCATGGTGACAGATGACAGAAGTGTACTCATGTTTAATAATCTGCCTCAAATCAGCGTGGTGACCACAACTTTAATTCCAGTACTTGGGAGGCAGAAGCAGGTGGCCCTGTGTGAGGATGGAGCCAGCCTGGACTACAGAGTGAGTTCCAGGACAGCCAGGGCTACACAGTGAGGCCCTATTTCAAAATAATAATAATAATAATAATAATAATAATAATAAATATTTTGCCTTATAGATGGGGATAAGGATATAATCAGACAGATAGCTGAGCAGCTGGGAATGAAAATCCTGGGAGCCAGAGGAACGAATAACAGTCCTGGTCCAACCCAGCCCCCGGTCCCAGGTTCTCAATAACACGACATTTTGGGATGCCAATGAATGGACAGAGAGGAGGTGGCAGGAACAGGGCAGTTCCTGTGACTGTCTGGTGACATGTTTTCTTCTTTTGGGAAAGACAACATTTGAGGCAGGGTCTTTCTTTGTGTCTCTGCCTGGACTCGAACTCACCATCCTCGAGCTTCAGTTTCCACAGTGTATGAGTAAAGCAGTGTGTGGAAAGCTAACGCTACCCTCCTGTCCGCTCAGAGCCTTCTTACCAAGACCGTTACACCAGCACTGATCCAGGTGGTCTCAAGAATCAGGGCCTGCGGGGATGGCTTCGCCCAACAGTACACTAGCCTAGATCCCTGGAGGTCCTAGGGCTTTCTCAAGGCACACAGGGGCTGTTACCTTGCTGGGGTGACCATGGAGGACAACTGTAGCTGAAGGGCTCTGGGGGTGCTGAAGACAGCCTGGTGGAGGGAGGCCCTCATGTTCCAGCCCCGGCGGCTCCTCCTACGTTGCTTGCTAGTGTCCACCTCTAGCAGAAGCAGCTCACGGCCAGACACATGCACAGACAGTGACACGTCCACTCTGTGCTCCTTGTGACATCCTGTGGCAGCCTGCACCTGTAAAAAGGCAGAGAGGGCAGGATGCTGGAATCGATGAAGGGTCAGCAGAAGCCTGGAAGAGCATGACCGCCCTCTAAGAGACACTCCAGCCCAGGGCAACTCCAAGGGCTGGCTCCCTGATGACAAACAGGAGAAACCAGGCCAAGGTCCCCAAGCCTAGCTTCTGAGTCCGAGCCCTAGCTGATCCTTAGTCCAGAGCTCATGTCAGTATTTGACAGAGAAGAGGACACCTAAACTGGCACATGCCTGTCACCCCAGCACTTAGGCTGAGGCAGGAGGATTATGAGTTGGAGGACCCATGAGCCACAAAGGGAGACCTTGCTAGTGATGAGGAAACACCTGGGGGCAGTTCAAGGTCATCTCAAGAGCAATGTCCATACCTGTAAGCTGGGTGGGAAGGCAAGGCCGTCTAGAGGTTGGAACTGCAAGGAAAATGCCAAGTGGGAGCTTGATTTGTTCAGCTGGACCGAGACCTATTTGGGTATGATAGAAAAGAAGAGGGGTAAGCTTCCATTTTCCTTAGTAAGGCACTGGAGAGCTGGTGTTGGGGTGCCCCTAGCTCCCCTCATGTTGCCCCTGCCTCCTGTTGGACTCTGACCATGAATCTCGCACTGTGCTCCTAGCTCTCTACTTTGATGAACCTCATACTGCTCTGCTGGGTTAGTGATAACACCCAGTTTCCTAGCTGGCAAAACTGAGACTCAGAGGCATTAAGTGACTCACCTAATGTCATACAGCTGGTAAACATAGGACTAGGAACTGAACTTGAAGGAGCTGGGCACCCACTGGCTTCAGAGCTCCTTGGAGACAGAGACAAGTCTAAGTCACCCATGCCACCTGTGGTGGTTAGAATAGGTATGGCCCCCATAGAATCTCATGTTCAAAAGTTTGGCCCATAGGGAGTGGCACTATTAGAAGGTGTGGCCTTGTTGGAGGAAGTGTGTCATTGTGGGGGCGGGCTTTGAGGTCTCATATGCTCCAGCTACACTCAGTGTGGAACATAATCTTCACTTCTGCAGCCTGTGGATCTGGATGTAGAACTCTCAGCTCCTTCTCTGGCACCATGTCTGCCTGCATGCCGCCATGCTTCCCAATAACGGACTAGACCTCTGAAATTGTAAGCCAGCCCCAGTTCAATGTTTTCCTTTATAAGAGTTGCTGTGGTCATGGTGTCTCTTGGCAGCAATAAAACCCTAAGACAACACCAGCAGAGGCTGGCATAAGGCAGATGCCCAGTGTGCACATGGGAATGAATGAATGCAGAAAAACACCCACAGCAGCTACTCTAAGGGATTTTCCTCCAAGACCCACAGCTAAAATATATTTCGAAGATTTCCCCACAACCAAGTGGGATTTCCTATGAGTTCTGGCTAGGAATATTGCCTGGAGTGATGGTGCTACTGAAAGGCCTGCCCCTCAGAGACACCTCATGAATTCTCTACCCTCTTCCTGGCAACTGCTTGGATCCTTGAGTGGGTACATGGGGCAAGGCTGCTTGGAGCAGTAATGTAGGTGTGTGGGGCAGGGCTTCTCTGGGCTGCAGTGTGGATGTGGGAGCCAGTACTACTCTGAGCCACAGTGTGGGTGTGTGGGGCCAGGTTGCTCTGGGATGCAGTGTGGTCAGAGAATAAGGCAAACATCTACTCAGGAGACCCATCAATGCATCCCACCTGAACAAGGACTGGGCTGCTAGCTTCCCAGACCACCTTGTCATCCTCTTATCTCCCCATCACCTCATATGTGGCCCCTTCTCTCTGGATGTGGTGACTGGAATACTTGATTCCCTGTTGGTGGCTGTTTGGGAAGGATTAGGAGGTGTGCCATGTGGCAGGAGTAGGCGTGGTTAAAGCCTTCCTAATATGCACCCTTTGCTTCCTGCTTGAGGATCAAGGTGTGAGCTAAGCACTCAGCTGTTCCTGGGCCATGCCTTTGCTTTACCTTCATGGACTCTAACCTCTGAATTAAATGCTTTCGTTGTAAGTTTCCTTGGCCTTGATGCTTTGCCACAGCAATAGAAACTCAACTAAGAGACTGGCTATTTTTATTTTTTGGAGAAAGGCCTCATGTAGCTCAGCCTGGCTCCAGACTCTGTGTAGCTAAGGATGGCCTTGAACCCCTGACCCTCTTGTGGAATTGCAGGTGTGCACCACCATGCCTGGGTTAAGCTGTGCTGGGGATGGATGTCAGGGCTTCGTGCACACCAGGCAAGTGTTCTACCAACTGAGCCACAGCCCTAGTCCCCTTCAGCAGATTACTAAGACCTTTTTTCCTCACATGGGGGCAGAGTCCCGCCTCTGACCTGGGATGTGGCGTTGTGGTTGATAGAAGCTTGTACATCTGTACTGAAGTCAAATGTTCCTTGTCGACGACGCCTTGTGAGGTCAAAGCCACCATTCAAGTGGAGGGTCTGGGGAAACAGCCAGGAAGAATCACACCCTTCACTCTTGAAGGCCCCGCTCAGCTCCCCCAGCATGCTCCATGTTTTCTTTTGTTTTGTGTTATTTGTGTGTGTGTGTGTGTGTGTGTGTGTGTGTGTGTGTGTGTTTTTTTATAAAAAAGTTCTTTAAAAAAGTGTCTCAAGCTGGCAAGATGGCTCACAGGTAAAGACACTCCCCTCCAGTCCTGATAACCTGAGTTCTGTCCAAGGGTCCACACAGAGGAAGGAGAGAACTGACTCTTTCAAGTTGTTCTCTCACAGATATACATGCACAGGGCTGCATGAGCATAGTCATATATATAATAACTAAAAAGGTACAAGTTTAAAAGGAAAGCACTCACATAACCAGGCCAAACAGTCTCAGGCTGCAGCTAAGGAAGACCTCGAACCCCCGATCTTCCCTATTCACCTTTCTGAGTACTGGGATTAAAGCCATGCACCCCATAGCAGTTCTCAGACTCTTCTTGACAGATAATAGCTAATGTTTGCTCAGTCTGGGGACACTCACCTGGGAGGAATGGGTGGCCTCCAAAGCCACACTGTGCTGGATCCCTCCATGCTGAGAGCTGTCCTGGTGTAAACCCTTTAGATACAGAATGACTTTCTGGTTGACTTTTAATGTAGCCTTGAGCTCACTGTTCTTAGACTGCATGTGTGAGAATCAGAGGTATGGAGAGAGGTCACCATCATGTCCACAGGCAACAGAAGCAACACCAGAATCCAGAGGCCAAAAGCAAGTAGCCCAGGGACTCATGTACAAAATGTAGTCTAGTCTCTTGTATTTACAGAAGAGGGAGTGGAGACAGGTGCATGCTGGACCTTCCAGCAGGGCGATACCAGTGCTCTGAGCTAGAGGTGGTGGGGCTTAATGGAAGCGATGTTAAGACTCTCCCCACAAAGTGGGGCTCAGTCAGTCTATTTTCTTCACTGCTAGCTTCCTAGTACTTAGATGCCAACATACAATAGGTACTTAGTAAATGCAGAATCACTAGTTCTAGCCTGAAATGACAAGGTCAAAGCTGAACTGTAGTGGTCGAAGGGCACAGAGGAGGAAAGGGAACAAAAAGACCCACATCCTGATCCCTGGAGCTTGAGGCAACATGGCCTTCCGGACAAAGCAGATTCAGGGATCTGGAGATGGGGACAGGTTTCCATCTTCGTCTAAATGTGAAGATCATATGAGGACAGCAGGAGGGACATGGTCGGACACACAGAGAGTGAACTCTCCTGCTGTCTTTGGAAGAGCCAAGGAATGCAGATGGCCTCTGAAGCAGAATGGGAAAAGAGGGGCTTCTTCCAAAGAATTTCTGCAAGCAACTCTGTGGTGCTGGTTCCAGTTTTAATCCAGTGAGATTCCTTTGCTCTTCTGAGCTCAGGGACTGAAAGACATTTGAAGCTGCTACATTTGGGGCAATATGTAACCCAACAAGAGGAAACACAGTATCAATTATTCACCCAGCAGCTGCTGGACGCCAATGATACCATTGCTGGTTGATTTCACTCCTTCCTGTGTGTACTATGGAGAATTCCAACCACCTGCCCCCAGGACTCATACATGGTTGCTCACACTATATAAACAAGCATGGTTTATCTTGGAACCAAGGTGGCAGGAAAGGAAGCAGCCAGGGAGGGAAATGTGTGTGACAAAACTTTTTGGTTCTTTTCTGAGTGCAGGGGTAGCACCCAGAGCCTAGGCAATCACTCTCCCATGGAGTTACCTCCCAGCCAAGGCACAGCTCTGAGTAGAGCAGACAGCCGGAGGACAGTAAATGGAGGACTCTCCAGCCCCTGCTCCTGGCCAGATGCTGTCAGCTGGAATTTGAGTCTAAGCAGGACCAGACCTTCTTATTTTTCTTTTCTTATAAACAGCAGAGATCCTGGCTTCGTCTAAAATCTCCTAATTCTCAAGATAGGCAGGCCATAAAAACACACGTGTGGCTGTGTTTGGCTTGGAGTGTCACTCGGCAATCTCTGGCTGAGGAACCCATAAAAGCCGCTGGGAGCCAACCCATCAGGTGTCTGGCTTGACATTCTGTACTGTTCCCCTCAGATATTACTGGCTAGCATTGGAGGAACCACTGAGCCTCCCTACTCATGGGAAGTGAAATCCTTTAATCTGCTCAGCCCACACTGCCCGTTTGGCTCCATCTTCCCTCCTGGAGGAGAGAAGCACTATTTTATTCCTTGTGCTCAGTAAAAGCTTGTTGGAGATTGTGGTGCTTCCACCCCCTCCCCAGAAAGTCAGGAAAAAATTGTCTAAGGAGACTTGGCAAACATGTACCTAAATGCTTAAAGGGGAAGTTACCAATTATGTTCTGAGCTGTGGCTGCTGTGAGAAAAGGGACATGCTGCCCACTTCACAGGAAAAGGAACTGAGGCCCAGGTATACAAACTTGTAATGACATACAGGCAATGTGCGTCTAGGGTATATGTCTAAAGCTTTGCAAATCAAGACTGCAGACTGTAGCCCACTGGCCAATGCAGCCAGTTTTGTTTAATAGATTTCTAAAGGGCTTTAATTTTTTATTTATTTTTAAATTTTATTTTGACACAGGGTCTCACCATATAGTCCTTGCTGGTCTGGAATTTGACCAGCCTCAAACTCCCAGAGGTCCTCCTGACTCTACTTTCTGCTATTTGAACTTTTAGTCATGTGTCTGTGTATGAGTGCAGGTGCCTGTGGAGGCCATCAGAGGCCATCACATGCCTGGGGCTGGAGTTAAGGGTGGTGTGGCTGCTGAGAGCTGGACTAGGGTCCTCTGAATGAGCAGTAAGTATTCTTAGCTGCTGAGGCAGCCCACCAGCCCCATACAGTTGTACTGAGACACAGTCACATGCACTCACTAAACATTTGCTTACTGTACTTTCACACTGAACAGGGACATGAAGTCCCTGTAACAGAGGCCATGAACCCACAGGCCTAAAAGAGACGCTGTTAGCTCTGAAGGCTAACATACTATCAATAACATCAAGCTAACTGAATTACAGTGACTCCTCAAGCAATTATGCAGCATACCCCTTGTGGTGTGGAGAAATGGTGACTGGGAGAACCCATGGGAACATTACAGAGAATCAGAGCAACCAAGATGGGCAGAAAGATCATGTAAATGTAAGTGGATGTGTCATATAGGTGTTCAAAGCTGAATTGGGAATGGGGATGAGAGGGACTGTGGGGAGCAGGCAGGAAAGTGTACCAGGAGCTCTGAGGTGTGGCCACCCAGATGGCAAAAGGGAACAGAAGCTGAAGAAGCAGTGACACCTCCAACCTCAGAATGCACTGAGGTCCTGAATCGGGAAAGACGCAGGCTAGGCAGTGGATGGCCTGGGTGAAGCCACTGTGGCAGCAGAGACCAGAGTCAGGCTTGCTATCCTAAGACAAGCTGTAAGGAGCAGGGGTGTAACTGTGCGAGCATCCTGTAAAGGTCACTTACATTGCTCAGATTCCAAGCCACCAGGCACCCCTCCAGGCTCCTGGGGATAGTCTTATCATTGAAGGGATGGGTCAGGCCTGTGCAGATCTGGGAGAGACATACATGTGCAGAGGTCAGCGGGGGCCCTGCTTCCAGAGGCCACCTTCCCTATAGCCCACTCACATAGGGGTGTCCAGCCTGGCGGCTCAGCACCACAGTGTGTAGGATCTCCTCCTGGCTATTCAGGACAGCCTTGGTCTCCAGGGAGTGATGCTGGCGCTGTTTGTCCACCATGAAGGTCCCCTGCAAGAGGAGGCTCTGAGGGACCAGGAGGTGCCAGGGGTGCCTGGGGTGGAGAAAAGACCGGCCACAGACATTAAAACAGCTGGCAAGATCGGGGAAAGCTGTGTCCTCCAGTCACATGTATCTTGTCTTAAACTCACAGAGAGTGACACTGGAGGGCACACAGCAGCCCTGAGCACTAAGATTTGCCCATCAAAGCCTGGCATGGAGCTAAGGAGATGGTTCAGTGGTTAAAAGGCTTGCCAGCAGTGAGAAGACAAAAATTCCAGCTGGGTGTGGTGACTCATTTCTAATCTTGCCTAGGAAGGGGCAGGTGGGACCCCAAAAGCAAATAGACATATTGGTAAGCTTAGGCTTTGGTTGAGAGATTTGCCTCATAGAACAAGGTGGGAAATGATTGAAGATGATTCCTGAGATTAACCTGGGCCTCCCACATGCAAGTGCACATACATGCCCCCATACATATGTAAACACACACACACACACACACACACACACACACACACACACACTACACATACATAGAAAAAGACAAGGAAATAAGAAGCCTAAGATGGAGGCACATGCCTGTAATTCTGATGTTTAAAAGCCAGAGACAGGCGGATCATGCATTCTAGGCCAACCTGGGCTACACACTGTAACCCCATCTCAGCATGCATACACACGTATAGTTTGCCAGCCAACCCCCATCTGCCATCTCACTACACCAATGAGATCAGAGTTGGAATGGAAGCCCAGGACCATATCTGAAATCCAGACTCAGTCTTCGCTAGATGAACAACCTTGGGTAAAGGACCTAATGTCCTATGCCTCAGTTTCCTCACCTTTAAAGTGGGGCAATATAATGGCAGTCATTCTCGTCTCCTGCAGAGTGGTCATTTAAGATGACTTCTATGTACTAAGGTCAAACATTCCCTTCTTTTCTTTTTGGTCTCTGTCACTTTCCTTGAGACTGGATCAAGGCTTGACACATAGCACGTGGCAGTAAACACCAACCAACATGGAAACATGGACAAATGAATTCTCTGCCAACTCTTGGCCTGTTTTTTTTTTTTTTTTTTTTTTCACAGTTCTGATAGGGGAGGCAACTCTCCCAAGGTCACAGAGTGTCAGAACCTGGGTTCTAGAAGGGGCCTTCTTCTAACACTTCCTATTTTCTGAATGGACTTGAACTTTTGATCCTTCTGCCTCTGAGTGCTGGGATTATAAGCGTGTGCCACCAGACCTGGTCTAAAGTACTGAGGACTGACGTAGACCTCCATGCAGGCTAGCCAAATATTATCAGCTAAGCCACAACCCAAGCCTGAACAGCTTTCAACCATCCACTCTACAGTAAAGCACTAAGATTCCTGGGAGCAGCCCTCAGGCTCAACCATGAGCTTCAGACTGCCATTCATACCTCTGCCAACTGATGGAGCTGTGGGAAGGAGCTGCAGCGCTGTTGGCCTGTCACCATGTGATCCTTTTGAACTGTAGTACAGTTTCTTTAGAAGGCCCCAGAGATCCTCCATACTGGAGGAATGGTGTTGTGGACAGCACCCTAGGGGTGATGGCTTCAAGGAAGGGGCACATACCTGAGGAGCAATGTTCCCCGCTTCCGGTACAAAGTCTTGCCTCGCTGCAGCTGCTCTAGCTCTCCCTCCAGCTGCAGGCCTCGAGGCTGGCCCGGGACACTAGTCCCCAGGACTGTCAGCAGCACCTGGGTCTTTGGGGGCTGTAATGAGAACAGAGCTTGGGGGGGGGGTGAAGGACCCACTGCTGGGGGAAGCCAGCGGCTGACCCTCATACATAGAGGGACAAAGGTTGCCTCCTACCACCTGTGCCCTGGGATTGACTTTCAGAATCAGTAGCCTGGCTGCAAGCCTATGGCCAGCCCACAAGCTCCTCAGGACCAACTACCAAACTCTACCTCCCAGCCACCCCTCCCACCCACCATCGTCTGGAACTTCTGGGCTAAGGAAGCTGAGTCCCCACTCCTTGACTAACAAACATGTCTGTTGTCTAGAAGAAATTGATGCTCAAGGAGGCCCAAGGTCACAGGCCAAACAGAGAAGGGGAAGGGGACCCAGGGTCTCCCAACTGCAAGGGACACTTGGCACTCACCTTCTTTGTATGCTTGTAGGCTGCTGTGAAGTTCAGCTCCCGTCGGAGACTCTTCAGCCAGCAGTGCAGGACCTTCCTGTCCTGGCTGTTCTCCGCATGAATCTCACTCTGCACAGCTGTACTCCAGGCTGACTCAAGCTCACTCCTGCTGTGGAAGAGGCCTGGCATCAAGGTTGTCACCATGGAAACCTGCAGGAGGCCAGGTGAATGAGCAGGGCCTTTGAACCATTTATTCCCTCCTGCGACCTGCCCTGTATTCTCTTTTCTACTCGGTGAACTCCTGTTCATCTTTCACAGCTTCTCCAGCCAAGACTGTCTATGCAAGACCTTCAGTGAGAGGAGGTGGGTGGGCTGGCTCTTCCTTATAGGACCCAAAAGAAAAACCTTACCTATAACTCTGAGCCAAGCAAGTACAAAGTACTCCTCTTTGATTTAGGGTGGGACTATTATCTTGCTAGAGCCACCATTCTTAGCAGACACCATCTCTGCATTCCAAGGGATACATTCTGGCAAGTAGCTTCTGCTCCCTAGGTCACCCTGTGGTCTCCAGAGCCTGGAGGAGTGGGTGTTACTCTGATTTGTACTGGAGTTGGAGGAGGCCTATTGACCATGGCCCTTCCTCAGCCCTCAGCCCCCAGCCCAAGCCTCACACAGTGCCCTCTACCCTAGAGCCATGGTTCAGGTCACACACTCTCTCAAGGCCAAATTGGGTAAAGCCATTGCTGTGAAGAGGCTTCCCCATCTTAGCTTCTCCAACCAGCTGCTCAGGTGGAAACCACAGTGTGTCATTATCTCTTCCTTAAAACCCATCATCCACTGCCACTCTGCAGCAGGCCCAGCCTCTCTGGAACCTGAGCTCATCTGAGTTACCTTCCCCACCAGCTGGTGGCCCATAGGAACCAGCTGCCACCTCTCTTTCACAGTCCTACCCTGGCTTTCCCTGACACCCAGCCCCCTCCTCACATCACCTGAGATCGTCAGGAATAACTCACCAGTGTTGTCTACCCAGTGCTGCCCCAGAGGGGACTACACTGTCCCAGAGGGGACTGTGCTGCCTCAGAGGGGACTGTGCTGCCTCAGAGGGAACTGTGCTGCCCATGAAGGAATCAAGTCGCCCACAAAAGCTGAGGTGGGCTGGACCCTCCCTGCTCCTGCACTGCCCCCGGAAAGAAAGGGCTTGGAGCAGGACTCTGGTGCCCAGTTTAGGTGACAATGCCTGTCCTTCCCTACCATGCTTCTGCTCATGGTGTGATTAGAGAAAAGCCCTTCAGTGAAGTCACTGAATAATGCCAGCTGTGCCCTCAAAGCTGTCACTCTGGTGGCCTAATGTCTACAAGGGACCATCTGACACCCACCCACCCAGAAGCTACTAAGCAAAAATACAGGACTGTCTTTATGGAGTCTCTTTTTAGATTCTCTTGGTAACAGTTCTGGTAACTCTGGCTGCATCCAGTCCCTGTGTCTGTGGGGTGATATTAGCCACAGGCCTCCAGTTTTCCCTGTGTGTAGGAGGTGTCAACAGCAGGGAGCCCAGCTCCTGTGCAAGTGATGACAGGGGGAGGCAGCAGGACACAGGGCTTGTCTAGGTTACAAGAGGCCCTTGTTCTATCTTCTCCCAGCCCAATACACACACATTCAAACATGCATGCTTACACACACGCACACACACACACACACACACACACACACACACACACACACAAATACATAAATCCATGTGTGTGTGTGTGTGTGTGTGTGTGTGTGTGTGTGTGTGTGTGCGCGCGCGCGCGCGCGCACAGATAGGCACATATGTACACACATACATAGCACATACACAAATATGCACAAACACTGTCTTAAGGTTTCTATTGCTGTGATAAAATGCCATGACCCAAAGCAACTTGGGGAGGAGTATGTTACCCCATCACTGAGGGAAGTCAGGGCAGAAACTCTAGGAAGGAACCTGGAGATGGAGGCGTGGAGGAGTGTGCTGCTTGCTGGTTTGCTCCTGGTGGCTTGTTCAGACTGCTTTCTTATGTCCCTGAGGACCACCTGGCCAAGAGCAGCATCACTCACAATGGGCTAGGACCTCCCTCATCAATCACTAGCTACAAAAATGCACTATAGACTCCTCTACTGGAAATCTGATGGAGGCATTTTCTCAATTAAGTTTAATTTGTGTAAAGCTGACAAAAAAACCAGGAAAAATACACCAAGCTGTGTACACACATGTATATGCACAAGCAAAGACATTTGTACACTTGTACATACAGGTACGTACATGAGATGACAGGGATGCAACCTGTACTGCTCACCCAGAGATAGGTGGTGGCTTCGGTGTACACCTGGATCTTGACTTCCCTGTCATGGTCCTGGCTCCTGCAGGTCATGCTGATCACCAAATCCTTGAGAGTCCAGGCCTTGGCTAGTGTCAGCTCCGAGACAGCCTGGAACATAGCCCAGTGTGGCCAGTTGAGCCTGTGAGCTGCAGACACTGTGAGCCATGGGCTGTCCAAGTTCAAGGCTCCTGCAAGAGCACAGAGAGAAGCTGGTGTGTGGGACAAGAAAGTGATTGGCAGGTACCAGGAGGTCACCCTTCACAGTCTTATCACAGCCGTGCAAAGCTGGGGGTTCCTGGGTTTGGGCATTAGAATTCCTTTATAGAATGAAAGGAATGTGAGTTTTGGCAGGAACTTGGATTGTAGTGCATTTGCACCTGTCAAAACTCCCTCAGTGGCACCCTAGAGATTACTGTGTTCCCTTCTAGTTAATGAAACACAGGTTACAATGCTTGGGTTTAAACCCTGCCTCTGCTGGGTTTAAAGGCATGCGCCAACACCTGGCAAACCTTTTACACTACAGTATGACACTGTCACCTATAAAGTTCACGTCTGAGAACTGTAACTGGGTTGAAAGCAAACAAAACACTAAATATGGAGTGTTTATGAGGGTCCTATGGCCTGCAAATGTCAGATGATGACCTTGGGTCAAGAAAGGGGTCATAGCAACTATAGTTAAGATGAGGCCATGCTGAAAAAAAAAAAAAAAAGAATCAGGCGGATCTCTGTGAGTTCAAGGCCAGCCTGGTCTCCAGAGCGAGTGCTAGGATAGGCTCCAAAGCTACACAGAGAAACCCTGTCTCGAAAAACAAAACAAACAAACAAACAAACAAAAAAAATGAGGCCATCCTGGAGGCTGGCCCTTAATGGGCCCAGAGATACACAGAGATTGACAAATGACAATGACACAGAGATTGGCATGAAACAGCTGCAAACTGAGGAACAATTCTTGACAGCCTCCTGAGCCATGAAAGAGCAAGGAAGTGCTCTCAGGGTCCGGCAGAGCAGCATGGGGCTCTGATGACGCTTCAACATGCATGGCCTTCAGGACTACAGAAGGCTTTCTGTTTTGTTTTGTTTTTTTAAGGCCCCTGTTAGTGACCATTTGTTACAGCAGCCATTGGAAACTAGTGAATCTGCCTGGAAGCTCCTGGAAGGCATGCTCCATCTGAACACAAGAGCATGCAAAAGATTCCAAAGGCCCCAAACGCAGACAAGTGGCAGGAGCTCCTAATGGGACAGCAGAGGGGGCAGAGGCAATGGTACCAGAAGACCTTTCAAGGCAACTCTCTGAAGTAACTAAAGCCCATAAGCACTCAGACATGCCTGAGAGGATTCTGGGAAAGTTGCTAAAAGCCCTGTGAATAATTGAAAGGAGAAAAACAGGAAACTTATCAAACATGAAAAGACATAATTGTAAGCACCGTTCCTACACATCCTGCCAGGAAGACGTGTACACGGTCCCACTACATAAACACAGAGCAGTAGCAAACAGCTCTTTCTGGAGGATGGGAGGAAATGGATATTTGGAAAAGGACCCTTGTGAGAATTGGATTCTCATCTTCTTCCAAGAATGCCTACTGAAATGCAATGGCAGTTGTTTTCAAATGAGTATCTGAAGAAATAGTTGAGACAATTCACACTAGTTACTTCCGGGAGCAAGACTTGGGGTCAGAAGACAACAGCCGGTTCCTTCTATAAGCTTTACTGTTGAAAATGCACTTCATGGAATTCAGATTTTAAATGGCAAGCAGGCTACCAACTCAGTTCCATCCCCAGCACTGTATAAAACTGGGGCATGTTTATGCACACTTGTAATTCCAGCCCTTGAGAAGCAGAGGCAGGAGGATCAGAAGTTCAAGGTCATCCTCAGCTGTATGAGAAGTTTGAGGTCAGATAGACTGACCTATGTAAGACATTATCTCAAAACAAAACAAAACAATAACAACAACAAACAAATAAAAAGCAATTTAAGTACCTCTCTGATCATAGCATGAGCCCCTGGGGAATACTAACCTAGACTCAGAAATGCCCAATGAATAGTCTAAATTCTGGCTAAACTTTGTATTGCTTGAATAAAAACAAAATCTAAACCTAAAAGGTTGTTTTAGAAACAACTATAGCAAACAGAAGTGGGAAAAGGTATTTTGCAATGGAAATAAGCAAAGGAACTAGAGCAACGGCCCTGAGGTTTAGGGAACAGCAAAGAGGTCAGAGGGCTGCAGATCTACAGGCTTTAGAGAGATGGGGGAGATGGTGTGGAGGAAGATGACAAGGAAACACACTCGGATATCTTTGTGCCTCAGGACACATGAAAGGTTTGCCTTGAGTAAGACCAGCACATAAATGAAAAGGTGTTCCAGGGAGAAGATACAGTCTAGTAGAAGCCTGGAAGTCAGAAGCCAGTAGCTCAGGAGGGCCCAGAGTTGGCACTCACCTTCCCATCTCCAGAGGGCGGCCTTGGATGTGTCCTTCCAGTGCAAGCCTGCCACAAAGGGAAGCTGCCCATTGAACAGCACCTTCAGGTATGTGCTGCTTTTGATATGGGGCTGCCGGAGGCTCAAGTGGTACAGCTGTGTGAGGCAATCCACTTGCCTCTCTGGGACCTGCAGTGCAAGCTGGAGATGCACCCCAGGCACCCCGTCAGTCACCACTCCAAGCCTAGAGCACCCCACTCTTCCATCCAGCCAGGGCTCACAGGCCTCAGACCTGCCCTAGCCCACCACCCCCTGCATTTCACCTCTAACTAGGCAGCTCAGGAAGTTGAAAGCAAATCTGGGCTAAGCACAGTGTGGTGGCACATGCCATCTCTGACAAAGCCTCACACTAAGGACACGGGTGAGGAGATAGGTAAGGCACTCCTCAAGCCTGATGTCTGCGAACATCTCTGCACTAGGACATGTCCGACACCCCCACACCTTTCTAGGCTAGTTGGCAAGGTCATGGCTCTGCTCTGGCTGCAGACTCACCTCCAGGAAGTAATTACGGAGGGCTGGTCCTGAGTCATTCTTGAAGGTCTGTCTGATGCGCAAGAATCTCTTGTTGCTACTCGCAGCCCACTGCTCCCCGTAGCTGGCCTCCAGCTGCCAGCGTAGGTGGTCCAGGCCTTGTTTGTGCTGTAGCTGGACCTGGGGACACCAATAGGGAGATCCCTGAGGAGGCTTGCCACACAGCCCAGAGCCCTGCTGCCCCTCCCCAAGATGTCAGCTTGCTTTTCTTCGGACACAGGTTCTTCAGAGGGGGCAATGCACACTTGATTATTCCTTGATGTTGGGGATTTGCCCCAAGGCCTTCTACATGCTGGGCAAGTGCTTTCACCCGGATTGTGTGTGTGTGTGTGTGTGTGTGTGTGTGTGTGTGTGTGTGTGTGTGTGTCTGAATGTGCATAAGCATGTGTGTTTGTTTCAGTGTAGAGGCTAGAGGACAATCCCAGATGCCATTCCTCAGGTGCTATCTGCCTTTTTTTTTTTTTTTTTTTTTTGGTTGGTTGGTTGTTTTTTGAGACAGGGTCTCAGACTGTAGCCCTGACTGTCCTGGAACTCACTCTGTAGACCAGGCTGTATATCTTTAATCCCAGCACTCAGTAAGCAGAAATTCCACAGCCTTACCTTGTGTCTTTTTTTTTTTTTTTAATACACAGCAGTGTAACTTTTAAATTTTATTATTTTAAAAATTAATTAATATTTTATGTATGGTAATGTCTTGGCCTGTATCTATGTGCATGCTCCCTTCATGTGCCTGATGCCCTTGGAGGCCAGCAGAGGATATAACCAGAGTTACAGATGGTTGTGGGCCACCATGTGGGTGCTGGGAACCAAACCAGTGTCTTCTTCAAGAATAGTGAGTTGTTGGGTGTGCATACCTTTAATCCCCGCACTCAGGAGATAGTGGCAAGAGAGGACAGCTTAGCAGTTAAGAGCAAGCGCTTGCTGCTCTTGCAGAGGACCCTAGTTCAATTCTCAGCATCCAAGTCTAGTGGTGCAACAGAGGGAAATCTGAAACCCCCTCCCGGCCTGTGTAGGTACTGCACTCACATGCACAAAGCCACTCACAGGCACCCATAATTAAAAATAGGGGCTGGAGAGATGGCTTGGTGGTTAAGAGCACCAGCATCCCTTCCACAGGACCCAGGTTTGATCCCTATGGCTTCAAATGCCCTCTCCTGGCTTCCATGGGCACTGCATGCATGTGGTACACAGACATACATGCAGGCAAATCACCCATACACACAAAAAATAAAGGTTAAAAATAGCAGGGTGGTGGGAGAGCACACCTTTTAATCCTAGCACTTGGGAGGCAGAGGCAGGGGCAGATGGATCTCTGTGAGTTTGAGACCAGCCTGGTCTACAGAATGAGTTCCAGGACAACCAGAGCTGTTACGCAGAGAAACCCTGTCTTGGGAGAAAAAAAAAACTCTCTTTAAAAAAGATAAAGAAGAAAGTAAATTAATAAAGATGACCTGGCAATGTGGCTCAGTAGGAAAGCACTTCCCCAGCATATATGAGGACCTGGGTTCAATGCCCAGACTATACACAAATAACCTCTCCCCACAAAAGCAACATCCTTGTCCCCCTTTTGTTTGCCCTTCTAGCTACTCTGCTAACCTCCCATGACCCCTTTCCTCTCTCTCCTGCCCAGGACCTTGGTACTCACCCTCCCCTCTGCCCAGAATACACTTCTATGGGGATAAAGTCACCTTATATTTTAATTTTCAGCGGAAACATTACTTGACCAGAGAAGCCTTCCCACGGGCGCCATCCCAAACAAGCTTGCCTGTGTTCAGCGCTCCCAACCCACTCAGGCAATTATGTTTTCCATGATTTCAGTTTTCTCTGTTACTTTGCCTATTCCAATCAACAAGGTGGCAAGCATTGGCCCTGTTTCCCTATGGTTCTCTGTTCCAGGCTGGGTAGACAGTAGGTGTTTAATAAAAGCAACCCAGCAAAGAGCCTGGAGCTGTGTGACTCACCCCTCCAAGAATGAAGACAGGCTTTGAAATCCTCAATTCCCCACCCAGGCACCAACCTTGTGACTGATGATTGGGAGCTGTGTGCAGTGGAACTCGTGGGCCAGCTCCAACTCATGGGTGTCCTTGGGGCCATTCTCCATCCTCAGCCTCTGGTGGGTACTGCACTCGTGGGCGACATGCCTCTTGTGACCTGTGTGGGTCAGCCCAGAGCCCTGCCTCCTTCTGCCCAGCATGTCTGCCCAGCTCTAAGGAGAGGTGAGCTACAGCCTGACTCAGGGCTTCAGGCACCCTAAGCAAGCACAGCAACAGGGCACCTCCACCCCCATTTTGCTTTTGGAGACAGGGTTTCATGCAGTAAGTTGGCCACTGGTTATGTATGTGGTCAAGGACATCTTAGACTCCTGGTTCTCCTGTCTCCAATTCCTATGTGCTCAGATTACAAGTCTGTGACACTATGCATGGTTTATTAAATTCTAGGGATGGAACCTTGGTCCATGCAGCTGGACAAGCATTCTACCAACTGAGTTAAATCCCTAGCCTCTTGATGCAGCTTTCAAAGGGACAGATGAGCAGCCCTCCAATGCACACTGTTGTTCGTATTTAACAGTGTCTGATCAAGGGCAGTGCCAACAGAATACCGGCAGCATGGTGAAGGTGGCATCTTAGCCCCTAGGCACAGTGCAGGGTACATTCCCCCGGGGCCCCAGTGACCGTACCCAGGAGGCCGTACTTGATCCTCAGGGTGCTGTTTCCCACAGGGCCATGCTGCTCCAGCAGGCCCTGTATGTGGAGCTCTACCACACCAGGGACCTGCAGCTGAATGCTCAGAACGGCAGACTGCAGCCCAGCCTCGGCCTTCTTCTCCAGCAACACTGTGGGACAGTTGGCACCGTCATGGGTGACTGTCCCCTAGCACATTTCCCACCTTAGAGACTCAGAGACCCCACCCCTGCTTCTCCTGTGTCTCAGGAGCATTGTCAGCAGGGCACAGACAGTGTGATCTCCACCATCTGGGGGAATTGTGTCACCTCAGTAGGTCGCAGCCTGTTAAGAGTGATACATCCCAGGTGACTGGACATACCTTACTTTCTAGAACTTTCAGCTCTGAAAAGTCTGTCATGCTGCCAAAGTGCATAGAGCTAAACCATGCTACAGGACCCCAAAATGCCTACACTAGGCAATCTACAGCCACTGCTCCAAGTTCCTCCAGTCCAGGCCTGGGGAATCTTCCAGAATGTCACAAGGAGCATAACCAAGGGCTAAGCTGACTAGCACCAGGGCCAGAACTGCTCTCTTTGGACCTGGCTGGGCTGTGTTCAGTTAGCACCCTGGGGCTAGGGATTTAGCTTAGTTGGTTAGGTGTGTATATAGCATGCAGCCCTGGGTATGATTTTCCACACTGAAACTTGGGTGTGGTGGTGCACACCTGTGACAGGAGGGCCAGAAGTTCAAGGTCATCCTCAGCTACCCAGTGAGTCTGCAGCCAGCCTGGGTAATAGACTATCACAAAACAAACCTACATGATGTGTGTTCTAAATCAAGAAGCTAAATGTGCTTCTCACAGTGGGTTAGAGTCAAAATGGTCCAAAGCTATCACCTTAGACAGCTGCCATTTTAGGGTACCAGGGGTGGGATAAGAGAAGGAGGTCAGTGGGCAAGTGGGTAGGAGCCCACAGGGGCTGGTACCCCTTAGATGGGCATCAGTGTGAAGGAGGCTTAGTTGGTGAGGGTCACATAGGAGACTGGGCCATCCATCTCCAACCTGACCACAGAACAATGGTACTGGCTATTACCTGTTCCATGAGCCCAGTCATTCAGCGTGCGCCTCAGAGATGCAGAGATGGACAGACTGCTGCCTGTCTGCCATGTGATGTTTCCATCAAGGACTATAGGTCTGCCTGCTGTTACCAGCTTTGCCTCCACCTGAGCCTCAAACCGTTGGGTCTTGTTGCCTGACTCTGGTTGCAGGTCACTGTGGCCCTGAAAAAGTCCCAGAATCACCTGGGGGACAAGCACGTCCTGGCTCTGATCCTGTGGTCTCGAATCAGACAGGAGAAGGGATGGAGCTTACCTGATGACCTTCTACTAAGACCTTGGCCTCATTTTTAAAGACAGGGTCTCAGGTAGCCAGGCTGGCCTCAAACTCCCTATGTAGCTGAGGATGACCCTGAACCTCTGAGTGCTAGGATTACAGGTGTGTGCCACCAAGGCAGTGTTTGTGGTCTAGGGATCAAGCCCACAGTAAGCAAGTGCTCTACACCTGAGCCACATCCCCAAACCTTGGCCTGGGTTTTAAAACCCTGAATCCCTTGAAATAGGTTCCCTAGTCCATAGTCAGGGGAAGCAGGAGGGACTCCCCTGCCTTGCCCCACCTTACCTTGTTACAGGACAGACTGGCTGCCCAGGCAATGCCTAGAATCTGAGCACCTCTGTGACCTTTGACCACCCTGGTCTCCGTCCCAGTCTTGAAGCCTGGGTCACTGCAGTGTCCTCCTCCTAACCCCGTTCTGGCCTCTTTAAGATGTCAAGATCAGGGTACAGTCAGGAACTAGGACAATGTGGCAGAAGCACAAGGCCACCCTTGAAGCTTGCTGGGGAACTACAGACAATTGGAACCATCACTTTCAATGGCAGGTGCCAAGCTGAAGGGATAGCCACAGGCCTCTGCTGGCCACCATAGTCAGTGGACACAGAGCTGTGGGAGTAGAGACCGGAGTGGTGGTGCACACTGCAGTCCTAGGACTCAATGTGTAACAGGACTGTAAATGCAATAACATCCTGGCCTACAGAATGAGTTTGAGGAGAGACTGCTCAGTAGTTAGAGAACTTGCTGCCCTTCCAGAGGACCTGCCTGGGTTTGGTTCCAGCACCCACAAGAGTGGCTAATAACTGCCTGTCACTCCAGTTCTAGGGGATCTGATACTTTCTTCTGGTCTCCGAGGGCACCAGACATGAACATTGTACATATACATACACTCAGGCCTACACACATACACATAAAAGCATGTTTTGAAAAAGAAGAGGAGGAGGGAAGGAGGATAGAGAGGGGAGGAGGAAGGGGAGGATGGAGAGGAGAGGAGGAAGAAGTGGCACAGACAGACATAGTAATTCAGACTTTAGTCCCAGTGCTAGAGAAACAGAGACAGGAGGATCACAAGTTCTAGATTAGCCTGGGCAACGCAATGAGACCTGTTTCAAAAGACAAACAGATAAGAGACAACATGGTCTATACATGTGTGAGTATGTGTGCATGCATGTGTGTGCATCTGTGCTTGTGTTCACACAAGCATACACTCCCTTTTTACAATCATGCCTGCAGGCCATGCACTGTGCGTTCTGGTGAAAGCATCCTCAGCTCTGGATCAGGGGCTGTGGGTGGCAGCACATCCCAGACCTGGCACCCACAGGAGACTCCAGTTATAGTCCCCGTGTCAAGGGACAGGCAGCTGGTCTCTTCAGGCCAGTCACTATGTATGACCCCCAACATGCCACACCCCACCAACTCAGCTGAACCCCACACAGCTACCTGAATTCAGGGGCTCACCTGCCCCAGTTCCCTCCCCTGCTCTAGGGCTTCCTGAAATCTGGGGTTGGGAGGACCTGGGAGCTATAAAACAGGCTTTAGTGAGTTCCACAGCTCCAGATGCTGGTGTTACTGCAATGGTCAGAAGTGTGAGAGCTGTGGAAGACACTCTGAGAGGCCACCGAGGACTCAAGGCTCTGGGACTAAGACTGAGGAGTCTTAGCCTAGGCACCGGGGCTTGGAGGAAGACAAACTTTTCTGCTAAGTATCTCCCCACTAGGCACTCAAGAGGTAGAGGCAGGTGGTGATGAGGGTACGGGTCAGAGGTCAGGGGCACCTCATCTGGAAACAGGATCTTTGTATCTGGTGGCATTAAAAGAGGTTATTAGCCTGAATCCAGTATGACAGGTGTCCCCTAAAAAGAGGCAATTTGAAATGACGTGTAGAGGGATGACAGTTTGACTGAAAGGGGAGAAAGCCATCTCTGGGAATTCTGCAGTTACGACCTGACAGGTCTGGGAAACAGGCTCCTCAGAGCCTCCCCAGAGCAGCCCCTCTCCTGCTTCACACTCCCCACTGGCCTTCAGAGCTAATGGGGGTACAATGGGTTAAGTCACCCAGTTCTGAGAACTTCAGTCTGACTTCAGGAAACTTGGGGGTGACCTGTTTAACTTGTTCTAATATCTACTGTAAACTTGTGAAAACTTCTATTATTGTTCTTTTAAATATTTATTATCTGTTTATGTGCAGAGAAGGACCAGTGAAGAGCACAGAGGTCCAGACCAGGCTGGTGAAACCCACAGAAACAGCTGATCTGAACATCCGGGAACTCTTGCTCCCCAGTCTGATAGCTGGAATACCATCATGGGACTTATTCAGACCCCAGGAACACGGGTTTCTGTGAGGAAACCTCAGAAATCTATGGGACCTCAGAAATCTATGGGACCTCCAGTACTTATCCCTAGCATAGGTATGGACTTTGGGAGCCCATTCCACATAGAGGAATGCTCCCTGAGCCAAGACACATGGGGGTGGGCCTAGGCCCTATCCCAAAGGATACAAAAGACTCTGATGACACCCTATGGAAGGCCTCACCATCCAGGGGGAGCAGAAAAGATATGTGACAGATAAGGTTTTAGTTGGGAGGGGAGGGGAGGATGGGGGGGAGAAGGGAACTGGGATTGTCATGTAAAACAATCCTGTTTCTAATTCAAATAAAAAAGGTGAAAAAAATATTTATTATCTGTTTATGTGCATGTGTCTATTGTGTGCATGTATCTACTGTGTGTATGTGTCTATCTATTGTGTGCATGTGCACATGCATGCTGTTTCCCATAGAAACCAAAAGAGGGTGTCAGATCCCCTGAAACTGGAGTTATGGCAGTTGTAAGTCACTGGGTGTAGGTGTTGCTCCTCTGCAAGAGTAGCAAGCACTCTGAACTGTTGAGCTATCCCCAGCCCCCAAACTTTCTATTACTGATTCCACACATTTTTCACATCAGTGCTGGGTGTGGGGTGGGGGGCTTTGTTGGACCAGGACATTGGCTGGGGCAGGGAGACTTGGGGTGGGAGTAGGGCTGATGCAGGTGTGTCAAGAATACAGAGCAAACCTTGATGTAATAGACATCCCTGTCGTCAAGTACCAGCTCCAGATGGCCCATGTGCATGCTCTTGAGAACCTCCATCTTACCTGGGGACAAGGCCAAGTTCAGAGGCTGAGGCTCCCCCTTCTATCTCCTCAGCTGCCAAATGAACCCATGGGTGAGTGTGTGGTAGGCACACTGCCCACAATGCAGCTGCCAAGGTGTCAGGTAACCAGGGAGAGTGCCATTCTCACCGTCCAGCTGAATTTTCTTTTGGGGGTGCAGCAGCTTGAGCCGGCACTTCCTCTGGGGCACACTGTAGCTGATGTCCACCCCAACGTCCCTGGCCACTTCTGACTGGGGTGTACCCATGAAGAGGTGGGCTGTGGCTTCTTCAGGGAGCCAGCTGTCCTTCTGCAAACATAATGGGGTTCCTCTTCTGAAGCAGTACCTCCTATCCTAGCAGGAACAAGCCCATCAAGCATTTCCCAGCCTCTGAACAGCAGCATGGGAGAGGTGGTTTTCAGGACAGCCTAGCACAGGACTTTTGATTTTCTCTCAGTGTTGGAGCTCAAGGCTTTGTTGCATGCTAGGCAAATGCTCTCCCACTGAGCTACACTCAAGCCTCTCCAGGTCTTGATTGACAGGGCAAATGGCCAGAGTGGGGCTTCTGCAGTACACAACTATAGCATCCTAGCAATGCTGCCTCATCCCAGGCTGGCCCTGTGCAGGTCCTTCCTCTTTCTCATGCTTTGCTATGCATAGAGGACATCTGTAGACCTCAGGACACAGCCCTATGCTCTGGAGTCAAAACTCTACCACCTTGTGCTTGCTGTTACCAACCCTGTCCCAGAATCTCTGAGGGCGAGGGTTGGTGAAGCCAGGGTCAGCCTCTATCTTTCCTAGCCTTTTCACTTCTCCTCTGGCCCAAGGGCCCTTGTTCAAACTTCCTTCACCCCAAGCCTCTGCAAGTGAAGCTCTGAGAAAATCAGCTTTGAGATCAAGCTGCTTCTAGAACCCAGAGCCAGGGCTGGGGTAAGGCTCTGTGGGACACTATAGGCATTGCACACATGCACAAGGTCCCAGTTCCTCCCCCTATACTGCAAAAGAGTCAAATAAAATACCACATCCCTGTTCACTCATTTGGCACTTCTTGTGAAGCTAGCCTGAAGCATGGGGAGCCCTAGGTATGCAAAGCTCCTGCTCCTAGGGGCTTACACCCCAGAGTTGGGGGGCACACAGCAACCAGACACAGAATCACGTTTAGGAGAGCAGCCAGAAAATGTTGTCATGTAGGTACATGAATGACCCTGAAAGAGATATGTGTTTTATGTGGGGTGGTAAGGGACAGGCTACCTTTGATGGCCTGTGAAGAGAGAATACAGAATATGAGGTTACCTGGCATTGGAAGAAAGAGTGTCTCAGGCACAGGAAAGAGCCAGTGCAAAGGTCTGGGCACAGGGATGTGCGTGACACATTGAGTGAGAGTTAAAGTGTGGTGTTAGAAAGAGTCAACACGTGCAGAGGTCCTGCAGCAGAGAGGAGCCAGCTCAAAGCCTCGGAGTCAAAACCCATGTCTTTGTGGCCAAGTTGTTGATGCTGATGTGAATGGGGAGATCCACAGCCAACCGGGAGGGAGGGGAGCATTCCACACTGCCCACCTGGAAATGGAGGGTGTAGGCAGCTTCCAACAGGTACAGCTGCAGTCCCGGGTCTTGCTTCTTCAGAATCAAATCCATGAACACGGGTGCTGAGAGCAGGGAGGGCTGACCAGGCCCTGGCCAGGCCACATTAGTACACAGCTGCCAACCCCAGGCTTGGGACACTACAAAGACAGTTGAGTGACAGTTGCAGTTAGCAGAGCTCAGGCTGTGGGCCCAGCCACCCATGTTAGCATTTCCTTCTGAGAACCAGTGCCATATAGACATTACTCCTGAAAGACAGGCCTGTATAGGCCAGGGCTCCTCAGCCTAAGCACGCTGTTGACATGAGGCCAGTAATCTTCTGAGACTTTCAAATATATTATGCAGTGTTCTATATCATTCCTGGCCCTTACCAATCAGATGCCAGGAAGTAACATCAATACCAGTTACAGATACCTGCAATTTCACTAGCCATTTCCTTAATTGCTACCCTAGAAGGCAAAAAAAAAACAAAAAAAAAAAAAACAAAACAAAAAAAACACTGAAAACTACTGATGCAGACTTATTATTTTTAATGATTTGTTTCTCTCTCTCTCTCTCTCTCTCTCTCTCTCTCTCTCTCTCTCTCTCTCTCTCTCTCTCTCTATGTGTGTGTGTGTGTGTGTGTGTGTGTGTGTGTGTTTCTGTGTGTGTGAACATGTGAGTGCAGGTACCCCAAAACCCCAGAAGATCCCCTGGAGGTAGAATTACAGGTAGTTGTGAGCTTTCCACTGTGGGTTCTGGGAACCAAACTCCAGTTCTCTGCAACATCAGCAAGTGCTTTTAACCATAGAGCTATTTCTCCAGCCATAGGATGATTCTTTTCGTTTTGTGTGAGACAGGGTTTCACTGTGTAGCCCCGACTGCCCTGGAACTCAGTCTGCAGACTAGATGGCCTCAAACTCACAGAGATCCACCTGCCTCTGCCTCCAGAGTGCTGGGATTAAAGATGTGCACCACCACATCCAGCCCCTGGACCATTTTTTTCTTATAAAATTACTTTTGTTTTAAGCTACACAAACATCTTTCTCTGGAATGTACCAAAATGACTTGCTTGTGGGGTTTATAGTTTGGAATAAACATAGCTAACAAAACAATTTCATTTCTATTGTGCAGAACTGCAATGTAAAAATGACTTGTAGTATGTGTTTTTCAGAAAGCAGGTAATATGCTGAAGGAACGCTACTGCTGAAGTCTACTCGATGGAATGAATGCTCCAACTGGAACGCCTCAGAGTTCTGGGGGATGCCTAGTTTCCACCACAAAGCCACCAGGATTTGATCAGTCTCCTCTAGTTTTATCTAGAATGGTTTGGCAAAGAAAGATTCCACATGTCTTCACGTAAAATGCTTTGATACAATTTGTGTCAATTTCAGAATGGGAGACATAATTTTGATCAATGGCAAGTTCCAGCTCCCTTCATGGCTTGAGGTTCCTTGGCAAAGAAATCTAGGATGCTAGTGGCATACTTCACAATGACTCTGAGGCACTTCTCAATGTCACCCTTCCATTCCAGACCCAGAACTCTGTTCATGCTACTCACTGAATTGGCATAATTCTGAAAAACTCCAAAAAGATAGGCATAGCATCTAGCCCAGGCATGCATTAGTAAATCCACATCGACCTCCTCCTTTCTCCAGTGGCATGCAAAGCCCTGGCATCTACATCAGCCAAATCTCAATTTCCACTCAAATCCTCCCAACAGTCACCCTGGGCAAGAGAAAGCAATGCCATCTGCAAGTCTAGATGTACCAAGGTGTTGTCTTGACTGGATCTTTTTTTAGATCTTCTCTGTAAAGTCTAATTTCTCTGGTTTCTTTATTCGATACCAGTCCGAGTCCCTTCATGTCCCACAGGTTATTTGCATCAAGCTGGGCTGCTGAGTTTTAGCCCTGAGAGCCTCTTCCTCCAGGTGACCTGTGAGGGCTCCCCTCTGAGCTTCCTCTTCGTGTGTTCCCAGAACTGTACTGTCTTCCCCTGCATTGCTCAACTTTGGTTCTCTTGGTGAGAATGTCGGTGATGATTACGTCATCCACACCTTTAACTGTTATAGCTTTGTGCAAGACAGAAACATTCGAAGATGGATTAAAGCTAGGGTAGGGGCTCACTGCTGACCTGGGACCACTTCTGGATGATATCATGGCTTGAGTGAATCTTAGTTACTTTTCTATTGCTGTGAAGAGACACCATAATCAAGGCAACTTATAAAAAACGTATTTAATTTGGGGGCTCACAGTTCCAGAGTGTTCACAATCATCATGGCAGCAGGTAGGTAGGCATAGTGCTAGAGCAGTAGCTAAGAGCTTACATCCTGATCCACACACTGGAGGCAGAGAGAGGGAGGGAGGGAAGGAGAGAGTGTGGGAGGGAGAGGGAGGGAGAGAGCGAGCACTAACTGGGAATGGTGGGAGCTTTTGAAACCTCAAAGCTAACCTCTGGTAACACACCACCTCCAACAAGGCCACACCTCCTAATCTTTCCTAAACCTTTCCACCAGCCAAGGAATATGCATTCAAATGCAGGAGCCTATGAGGGGATAATTCTTATTAAACCACCACAGAACATGTTCCTCTTCTTGATGGCCAATAAACCAGGCTTGCCAGAGGAATTCTGATGTCATTTTTTAAAGATTTATTTATTTATTATGCATACAGTTTTCTGCCTGCATGTATGCCTGCGGGTCAGAAGAGAGCACCAGATCTCATTATAGATGGTTGTGAGCCAACATGTGGTTGCTATGTATTGAACTCAGGACCTCTGGAAGAGCAGTCAGTGCTCTTAACCTCTGAGCCAGCTCTCCAGCCCCCGTCATTGCCATTTTAAAGAAGAGTCTTTTTATTTCCCTTCTTCTAAGGATCTAAAGAGAGACTTTGTTCTGAAGGTTTCAATCTCCCTAGACCTTTAAAGTAGCAATGTGCTGCCAGGCAATCTCCATCATGTGCCATGCATGCTCCTAGGAACGGTCTAGCCCAGTCAGTCTGCTTGGGCCATCGTCCTGGTAACATCCCCACTTGGCTGAAGTGGAGATTAACAAACTGGCCAAGAAAGGATAGACCCCCACCCCTAATTGGTGGATCCTGAGGGACTCACGTGGCTTTACACAGCAATGTTGTGTAAAGGACTCACTCTGACCCTTTGCAGAGCTCTGTTACATAAGGCAGCTACAGCTGGGTAGAGTGACACACTCCTTTCTCAGCACTCAGGAGGCAGAGGCAGGTAGATCTCTGTGAGTTGCAGGCCAGCCTGGTCTACAACATGGATACACAGAGAAATCCTGTCTTGAAAAAAAATCAGCCGTTTCTCCCAAGCATCTTAAGAGGAAGGAAGAGCCAAATCCCATCTGATCCTGGCATCTGAGGCATCGATTACTGTTACTGGAGACCAGGTGCATCTTCTCTGCCCCTGGGAAAATAAGCCTTTGGACTAGTGCCACAAATCTGTCTTGTACATTCAAGAAATAAAATCACTTTAAATAATTAACTTTAAAAAGAAGGCAGTGGAGGAGGGGGAGGAGGGGGGAAAGGAGGAAGGAAGGCTGGCAAGACAGCCAGTGGGTAAGGGTGCTTGCTGCCAAGCCTGCCAACCAGAGTTCTCTCCCCAGAACATACATGGGAGGAGAGAAGAGACCCCCCCAAATTGTGCCCCCTACATACATACAAATAAATAATTAAATATGTAACAACTTTTTAAAGAAAGGAAAAAAGCACCTAAGGAAAAAAGATAAAGGATAAGAAAAGAAAAGAAGAAAGCAAGTGCCTTAGAAACACTCTGTCTCTAGTCACTAATCCTGTCTCCTCCTCCACATTACTCAAAAACAAAATCAGGATGAGGAGTTTGAGGTCATCCTTGGCTACATAGCATTGAGGACTAGCCTAGGCTGTCTCAAAAAACAATAAATATGACTGGGGATGTAGCTCAGTTGTATAACAGTCAATGCTGTCACCTTGACAGGATATAGAGTCATGTAGGGGCAAGTCTGGGCTATAAGGTATTGTTTAGATTAGGTTAGCCTCTGGGCATGTCTGTGAGGGGTTTTCCAGGTTAGGTTAATGAGGGAGGGGAGGCCCACCCTAATGTGTGTCTAGGACTGAATCAAAAGGCGATGGAGAACCAAGCAGCAGCATTCATCCCTGCCTGTGTCCTGACTACAGGTGCAACACTGCCAGTTGGATTCTGCTCCTCCTGTGGCCACGCCTTCCCCACTGTGTAAAAAATGATCCCCTGAAGATATGAGCCAGAATAAACCCTTTTCCCTTAAGCAGTTTTTGGAGGCAGGAGGATCATAAGATCTGCTGCTCATAAGTTTGAGGCCAGCCTAGGCTACATAAGACCTTGTCTCAAACAAACAAAAGTTTAGCAGACACCTTTGTGCATGAGCATTTCAAAGTGGCTGGGTTTCCTCAGGGTGCAATACTAGAAGCCAGGTTGCTAGGATACTAAATATCAGTGACACAGATACTTTTGGAGAGTAACTTGGAGGTCATTCCCTCTGCACCAAGGGCACCCATCTCAGGCTGAGAACCAGTTGCCTACCTTTCTCCTGGGTACAGGACTGGGACTCAGAGAAGCTGTGACCTTCACTTAGGTTCTTCACACTGTCCCCAGTGACAAGATACAGCCTGGAGCTAGTGGAAGAGGATGAGTCTGACAAATTGTCTTTGCGCACCTGCAGGCCACTCCCTGCAGTCCCTCCCCTGTGCAGGCCCCACCCACCCCATCTCTTCCCATCAGCTGTTTAATCCCCCCACCCCCCACCCCCTCAGTCCCCCCCCATCCTTTTGAAGGCTCTGCCCACTCCCAGTTCTCCTGGTGGTGAAGGCCCCACCTGAAACTGAGCAGCTCCACCGAGTCCTCTGGGGCATTCAGATGCACTTTGAGGTCCTGACCCTTCCTAGCTTGGATCCCACCATCTAGGCTGGCGGTGCCACGGACACGGGTCAACCATCTCAGCCCAGCCTGCCCCAGGGTCCCTTCAGTGCCCATTTGAGCAGAGACCTGAAGGAGGGCACTGAGAGAGAAAGAACAAGGTCTGTTGCCTGCACCATCTGGCCCACCTGCCAGCTGCCATCCAGCCCTCACTGTCACCAGCCCATTGTACAGATGGAGACACTGAGCCTCTGAAGGGCAGAACTGCCATGGCCGGGGGTCAGGACACAGCCAGGATGCTTGAGCCCCACTTCTAAGCCCTACTTTATCCCCACCCCATACCTCCACCCACGGCATACAATTGGTAGAGAGTGTGATATCTGTGCTTCAGTCACACCCAAAACTCCTCACAGACAGCTTGGCTGGGTGGTGGGGCAGATGGCCCAGAAGTGAGACCATGACTTACATGTATTCGGTTCCTCCCCTTCCATGCCACATGGCCTGGTCCTGTGACAGCCTCACTTGAATCCTTTTCCTTACTAACAGTGGGACTAAAAAAAGGGCCTGCCCTCCTTGCTCCATGACCACTAGGGTTGGTGAGCTTAGGTTTGGCTCCTCCTTGGAAGGCAGAATGTAGTGATTCTGACTAAAGACCCTGTGGCCTGACTCTGCTGTGCAGCCCTGAACATACAGCTTCACCTCTCTGGGCCTGTCTTCTTAGATGTAAAGGGACCTCATAGCCCAAGAAAGCCTCAGTTGCTTGGTTTAGCCAACAGCAGGTTGACAGGCAGGCTGCAGAATGAGTACCTCTCCACAGCATGTATGATGCCCAGTACCCCACATCCTCAAGCCCCTACTCACCCCAACTTGAAGAAATCTGTTACCTGGGCTTGATGTGACCACTCAGGGAGAAATCTGAGAGTTGCTGGAAGTCAGCCACTGCTTGGGCATGGATGCTGACTGTAGCCAAGGCATGTAGAGTGAGCCTGGCTGGAATGCCAGACATGGTAGGAAAGGAGAGTTCCCCTACAGCCAGACTCAGCCTCCGGGTCACCTGTACCTCCTGCCCCTGTGGCCAGAGAACCATAGCAACAGCCCACAGCCATGGCTAAGGACAGGTGACCTTAGCATGAAGTACAGTATGCCCACTTATCCTCCAAATACATTTCATTTCAGAGATACAGATGGGGAAAATGAGACTAGGGACATGAATGGTTTGCCCAAGGCCACATAGCTAGCAGGAGTAGGGCCATGCCGGAAATACAATGGTCTGTTTATTGATCAAAGGTGAAAGAAACATGTTGTTTTTATTTAACATCTCTGTTTGAAGACTCGGGTATGGCTCAGTACAGAGTGCTTGCCTAGCATGCATGAGGCCCTGCACCCCACCCCCAGCACTTGAAAAGATAAAAAGAGATAAATATCTCCATGTCTGAAGCAGGAGTCAAGACTACGGAGAGACCCACAACAGGCCCAAAGTGGGAAGTGGTGTGTGAGGGAGGCCTTGTGCTCAGGTATGGCCCTAAATTTCATGTCCCAGGGTCAAAGGGGCAGGAGACAGATGTTGGGGATAGAGGGGAGGGGCAGGGGTAGGAACCAGGTCAGAGAACTGTAATCAGAGGCAGACGGACTGGGATAGGGACAGGACAAAGACAAGAGGCAGGGCGCAATGTTGCAGAATATTAATTAAAGATGTGTTTTTTATGCTGTGGAACATTTGTTTTAATGATGCAAAGATGTGTTGCATTCTTTTATGTAATATTTATTTACCTCTGTGAAGCTGTGTTACTTTGCCTGTCTAAAACACCTGATTGGTCTAATAAAGAGCTGAATGGCCAATAGTTAGGCAGGAGAAAGTCTAGGTGGGGCTGGCAGGCAGAAAGAATAAATAGGAGGAGAAATCTGTGGGGAGGAAAGATCTAGGATCAAGAGAAAGAGGAGGACTTCAGGGCCAGCCACATAGCCAGACACAGAATAAGAAGGAAAGAAAGGGTATACAGAAATAGAGAAAGGTAAAAGCCCAGAGGCAAAGGGTAGACAGGATAATTAAGAAAAGCTGGCTAGAAACAAGCCAGGCTAAAGCTGGACATTCATAAGAAAGAATAAGTCTCCATGTGATTTATTTGGGAGCTGGGTGGTGGTCTCCCAAAGAGCCAGAGTAAAAAACAAACAAACAAACAAACAAAAAACCCAACCAACTACAGCTCAGGACTGGAGGCAGAGCATGAGGCAGGGCCTAGGTCTGGGGACAGAAGATGGAGAAAGGGGAAAGTGACAGGGAATGGAGGGTGGGGAGTAGAGACAGAATGCAGGAGTCATGGGAGAGGGGTCACAGGCAGGGATTGGACAGGGACAGTGGGGAGAGGACAGTACCTTGAGAAGCTTGATGGCGAGTTCAACCAGGGGCAGAGACCAGCGTCTTCTGTGGCCCCCCAGAGGCCCGCAGTCCAGGAAGCTCAGCTCATGCCCAAACACTTTGACACTCAGCTGGCAGCTTGGTGTCTGTCTTGCCCTAGACCGGTGGGCTACCTGAGAAGAACCCAGAATGAAAACAGAGAAACTTAGGGTGAACAAGGCAAAACTTCTGGAAGAGGAGGGAGGGTGGGCTGTTAGAAAGGTCAGGGGCATGCGGGGCCCAGCTCACCAAACACACCACACATGTTCTTTGACATGCATGGTAGTGCCCATGCCCAGTGCAGACATGTCTTCCTAGGATAGGTGTGTACACGAAGCTAGCTTGGATGAGCTGCGATGAGCCAGCTGTGAACTGTAGCTGCTTTTCCCTGGTTCCCCCTTCAACAACCCTGCTTGGATCCAGACACCTGAGCCTCACTCTGGTGCATGATGGTGTCCTACTCCCTCATCGTTTTCCATGCTATGGTGTGGACTTTATTTCTAACATTTGAAAGTTAGGAGATTTTATATAAAATCAATATTTATTTACCTCTGTGAAGCTGTGTTACTTTGCCTGTCTAAAACACCTGATTGGTCTAATAAAGAGCTGAATGGCCAATAGTTAGGCAGGAGAAAGTCTAGGTGGGGCTGGCAGGCAGAAAGAATAAATAGGAGGAGAAATCTGTGGGGAGGAAAGATCTAGGATCAAGAGAAAGAGGAGGACTTCAGGGCCAGCCACATAGCCAGACACAGAATAAGAAGGAAAGAAAGGGTATACAGAAATAGAGAAAGGTAAAAGCCCAGAGGCAAAGGGTAGACAGGATAATTAAGAAAAGCTGGCTAGAAACAAGCCAGGCTAAAGCTGGACATTCATAAGAAAGAATAAGTCTCCATGTGATTTATTTGGGAGCTGGGTGGTGGTCTCCCAAAGAGCCAGAGTAAAAAACAAACAAACAAACAAACAAAAAACCCAACCAACTACAGCTCAGGACTGGAGGCAGAGCATGAGGCAGGGCCTAGGTCTGGGGACAGAAGATGGAGAAAGGGGAAAGTGACAGGGAATGGAGGGTGGGGAGTAGAGACAGAATGCAGGAGTCATGGGAGAGGGGTCACAGGCAGGGATTGGACAGGGACAGTGGGGAGAGGACAGTACCTTGAGAAGCTTGATGGCGAGTTCAACCAGGGGCAGAGACCAGCGTCTTCTGTGGCCCCCCAGAGGCCCGCAGTCCAGGAAGCTCAGCTCATGCCCAAACACTTTGACACTCAGCTGGCAGCTTGGTGTCTGTCTTGCCCTAGACCGGTGGGCTACCTGAGAAGAACCCAGAATGAAAACAGAGAAACTTAGGGTGAACAAGGCAAAACTTCTGGAAGAGGAGGGAGGGTGGGCTGTTAGAAAGGTCAGGGGCATGCGGGGCCCAGCTCACCAAACACACCACACATGTTCTTTGACATGCATGGTAGTGCCCATGCCCAGTGCAGACATGTCTTCCTAGGATAGGTGTGTACACGAAGCTAGCTTGGATGAGCTGCGATGAGCCAGCTGTGAACTGTAGCTGCTTTTCCCTGGTTCCCCCTTCAACAACCCTGCTTGGATCCAGACACCTGAGCCTCACTCTGGTGCATGATGGTGTCCTACTCCCTCATCGTTTTCCATGCTATGGTGTGGACTTTATTTCTAACATTTGAAAGTTAGGAGATTTTATATAAAATCCAAACACATGGCTTCTGTGAAGACAGAAATATTAGTGTGTCTACCCATCCCTCAGTAAGGGATGACCAGAACCAAGAGAAGATACCAGTGTAGTGGATGACTGTTCTGTGCACCACAGTCCCTACCTTCCCTGTTGTCTTGCCAATAAGGAGATGGAGTATCTGTCGTTACTCTTTGTCTTAGCCAAATACTTCTTGGGATGTAAGTATGAAACATGAGAAGATAACAGGCTATGGAGACTGAATTCTAAGACAAAAATGTTTGTTTTGTTTTGTTAAACAGAGTCCCAAGTCGCCCAGACAGGCTCCAACCCACAATGAGGCTGAGGCTTGCCTAAAAATCCCTCCACATTCTAAGTGCTCAGGTTACAGGCACATGCCACCATGCCCAGCTAAAGAAAAAAAAAGGTGTTTATTACTAACCCACCTGGGCTTTGGGCTAACATCTGGTCTATGTATAAACATGTCAGTACACACCCAAGCCACCCACGTTGCTGGCTCTCAGATGTACACAGAAGTGGCATTTTACAAGAGCAAATGCTGGAGGCAGAGAGAGTGTCTATCATGGTCCCCACTCTCCAGAATGCACATGAAAGCCTGTGCCGGGAGTCTCTGCTAAGATAATAACCAGCAATGGGACCGGATCTCTCAGCTGAAGACAGGCTTCCAACTACAAGGCACATGCGGCAAAAGCACAACTTTTCATTTTATCTTTTGATAGGATCCCATGTAACCCAGGCTGTCCTCAAACTTGCTGTATAGCTAAGAATGACTCTGAACTCCTGAGTCTCCTGCCTCTATCTACTGAGTGCTATGATTGCCACCACGTCTGGTTTCATGTGGCACTGGGGATCCAGCGTGCACTGGAGAGGTGGGGGCAGGAGGGTGTCAGTGTAAGGCCAGCCTGGGCTACATGGTGAGATTTTTTTAACTCAAATAAAATAAAACATTTTTTTTAAAAACACCACAGGGACTTGAGAGATGGATCAGTCAATAAAGCACTTGTCATGAGCCCAAAGAACTGAGTTTGGGTTCCCACTACTCAAGAAAAACATAAGGCAAGCATATTAACAGTACAGTCAAGAGAACACCTGGGGCCAGCCACTCTAGTGGAATGGGGGTAAGCTCCAGGGGCAATGAGAAACTTGTATCCCCCAAAATAAGGTAGAGGGACTGGAGAAATGCCTTAGCAGCTAAGAGCACTGGCTGCTCTTGCAGAAGATCCAAGTTTAGTTTCCAGCCACCACATGGAGACCAACAGTTCCAAGGGATTTAATGCCCTATTCTGATCTTTATGGCTACTGAATACACATGGTGCACACACATACATACAGGCAAACACTCAAATATAAAATAAAAAAATTTAAAAAGGTATAGACTTGGTGGAAGAAGATACTCAAGATCAACACATGTACACACAAAAATATTCACATCCACATACATACTGTACATGTACACACATGTATGCACACACATACAAACATGCAAGCACATGCATGTACACACAAACATATACGCATACACACACATGTACATGCATGCACACACACACACACACACACACACACACACACACACACATCGCAGAAAAGCAAAGAAAACCCCAAACCAAACAACAAAACCATTCTCACTAAAAGAGAATAAAAAGATACACCATAAACTGTGAGATAGCATATAGGGTCATCTGCTTTTTGGTGAGAGTGATGCCAGTACTCTCAGAGCATAGTGTGTGTGTGTGTGTGTGTGTGTGTGTGTGTGTGTGTGTGTGTATGCGCGCACGCGCGTGTGCGCACGTGTGCACATGCGCTCATGTTCTCCACTTTATTCTTTGAGGCAGAGTCTCTCAGTGAAGCTGGAGCATCCTGGTTGGGCAAGGCCATCAAGCACCTGTCTCACTACCCCAGCACTGGGGTTGTAGGTGGATGCCTCTGCACCAGCTTTACAAAGCTAATTTTAAAAAGCAGGAGTCAATTGGCACCGTCAGAAGTCAGGCTCGGGGTTACCTTGGTTAGAGATGGGCGCTAACTAGAAGGAGTGCGGAGGGTTCCCTGGGGTATTGGCCTCACTGGTACACAGAAGTGGACACATATCCAGATAGGGCTTTGGAACTTTTCCATGTAGAGGTTACACTTAGACAAACACCTTTTCAGCACCAGGGAGGCCTAGCCAGCAGGTGTTCAGAAGGGATGCATGGGCAGCTACAGTCTTTCCAGGAACCCAGGTGGGGGATGGGGTGGTCAGCACATCAGATTTATTACCTTCTCCTGGAGGTTCTTCATCCTTCTGGATCTTTCTCCCGCACAGTCAGAGCCGTCCAGGCCTGGCTCTGGTCCTGTGTTCCCTGGCTCAGCCTCTTTCTTCCCTTCCTGCCTCCAGAAGGATTTGCTGCCCAGCACACTGTGGATGATATCTTCAGCATTTTCCAGCTGGAGTCCCAGCTGGAGAGAGAAACCAGAGGCTCACAAATGAGGAAGCCAGTCACACAGGTAGTCAAGGGCTGTGGGACTGGGAACAGGGCCCTGGGAGGCTAGCCTGGAGCATTCAGGGCTCCCAGGCCCAGGAAACAGGGAACAGCTTTGAAAATTTCAGGCAAAATTTCCTATGGACTCTTTGGCAGCTTCAAATGCCACCTCTTCTGGGCAGTCCTCCCTCTCACATCTGCATCCCAGGACACACATGTCACACCCCCACCTGGGTTTCAAGCACACAGCAAATAGGTAACACCCAGACCCTGTTGTGGAATCCCCTTGAGGGGCATGGGGACTCAGAAATTACCTATGAGGCATCTACTAGCCCGGATGATTCCCGGATGAATCCTTCCTCTGACTGTCCTCCCATCTGTCATCCCCTTGTTGACTCACCCCTCCCTCCACTCTGTTCCTCTCTGTGCCCCCACCCCTCCCTCCTCTCTGTTCCTCTCTGCACTCCTACCCCTCCCTCAGCTCTGTTCCTTGTGAACACCACTCTTCCTCTTCTGGACCTTTGCACTCAGTAGCAGAACTCTGACTTCAGTTCTGCAGAGGTCCACCTGACTGAATGTAGAGTCACCATCCATGGAAACACACCCTGGGTCCATCCATAAGGTGTTTACAAAGAGCTAGAGCAAGAAAGACCCACTCTGAACGTGCTCCATTCTGTGGACTGGAGTCTGATCTGAATAAAAAGGAGAAAGTCAGCCAGTGATATGGTCCAGCAGATAAGGGGCTTGCAGCCAGTGCTAATGATGTGAGTTCTATCCTCAAACTTGACTTCCTCCCTCCACATGTACATCGTGGTGCCCATATGCCGCACCCATGACGATAAATCAATATTTTAAAATAAAAGAGAGAAAGCAAGCTGTGCATCAGCACATGTGTACATTTACACGTGTGTGCACAAATAATACACATTCATTATGTGCTTCCCAACTGTGAATGCAATGTGGCCAGCCACCTCACACTCCTGCTGCCACCATACCTTCCCACTATAATGCACCATACTATCGAATTGAGCCAAAATAAACTCTTCTTTCCTTCAGCTGATTTTGCCATGGATCTTGTCACGGCAACAAGAAATTTACTATAATATCCATCCTTCCAGGCTCAGCTCAAACCTCATGCTCCCAAATAAACAGTTTACTTTCAGACATTTCCCTCTGTTGTAAGACACTGTTCAGAACACAGCCCGCCATATTCATTAGACCAGCTGTGTCTGCTCACAAATGGTCACTACTGAACTTGTGGATGGTTGATCCCTCATGGAAGGAGTGAAGAGAGTCATCACTCCTCCCAGCCAGTTATATGCAATTCTGTCCCAACTGTATGTGGCCTCTTGGCCTTAGAGAGGGACTAGAATATACAGGCTAAGAAGGCTAGGGACAGGGGTTCCATCTATGCTGTCATGAACTTCCAGCATGGCTGCTCTGTAACTAAGCTTAATGAATTCATTGGTTCCTCGGAGCAAATGCTGGTGAATTCACACTTTGGTTTGTCATTCAGACTTTAGATGGAGGAGGTAGAAATTTCTTAATACTTCCCCGCCCACGGAGAAAATTTCATAATAGTCTCTCAGAATGGAAAGTACCAGGAGAGCGGGGACCATGCCTTAATTGTTCATCACTATGTATCTAGAGCCGAGCACATTGCTTGGTACAGTGTCAGCTAGAAGAGGGATATTTCTCAATGGAGGGTAGGTAGATAGGTGGATAAATGTAGATGGGTGGGTAGGTGGATAAAATGTGGATGGATGAGTGGATGGAGACAGATGGAAGATGGGAATACAAATTGATGGATGAGTGAATATGAGTGATAGATGGATAGATAAATGGAGAAGGGAATGGATGAGTGGCTGGATTAGAAGAATAGATGGATGGATCAGAGATATGGATGGAAAGATAGATGGATGAGTGGGATGTATGAATGGATGGATGGATGAGAGGGTGGATAATGAGAGGGGTGAGCTAGATGGAAGGATGTTTGGGTAACATGTGTGGACAGATTTATGGCTGTATCCATGGGCAGGCTAGATGGGTCAAAAAATGATAGATAGAATGAATGTTGAACAACAGAATCAGGGGACAGGTGGACAGATGAATGGACAGATGGGATCACTCCTTGCCCTGTCTCCAGGACAGGCCCTAGGAAAACCACAAGCCCAGCGCTCTTACCTCCAACAAGTTGAAGGCCCAGCCAGCAACATGGACAGTGAGGTTTACTGTGGCAGAACAAGGGAGAAAAGATCTGGGGCAGAAGAGAAGGGTCCTCTCCAGGTTGCCTCCCAGGCTGCCAGATGCTAAGAGAAAAAAGAGGAACTAGAAGGAGGCTATACCCACAGTGTGTGCTGTCCCAGGGGAGGGTTAAGCATCATCTCCTCCACCTGATGAAGGCTGAGGGAGACGCCAGAGCACCCCTCCATACCCTACACTCCCCAGGATAGCTGAGGTGGTTCAGGTACCTCAGTTACAAGACTCCCTCAGCTTCCCCCACTGCCCACATGGAGACCTAACACAGGCCCTTGTGCAGCATGGTAAGTGCTTCCCCTGCACTCCAGCCCTCTACTTTTTGGGACAGGTTCTCACTATGTTGTCCAGGCTGACCCTGAACATGTTCCATGTCACCCAGGTAAGGGAAAGAGTATCCTTAGTGCCTGCATTCTTGGAGATTGGAGTTCTGGGGTCCCCAGGCCCTGTGGCCCCAGGTAAGCCGTACTTGAGTGGAAGGTGACATCAGAGTAAGATGAGTGTTTCCAGGTTTCCACCTGGAACTGCTGACTGAGGATGTCCTCAGGGAGGGAGTCCCGAAGGTCACGTTTCAGGGGATCATCTGTCTCCAGCAGCTGCAGGATGTGGCTCCACACAAAGGAGCCCACTGGGACAGAGTGGTAGCAACAGGCACACAGTTAGCCACTGGCCAGGACTCTCGGGCTCAGCCCCCGCCTGCCACATCCCCATGCCAGGGCTGCTCAGAACCCTGCAGCCTGAAGGTAACAGGAGTAGGATCCAGCCCGTGTACGGATCCTAACAAGCTTCCTTGAAGGCAAAGGAAAAGTATGAAATGGGACACCTCGGCTTGAAAGTCAGACCCAAGTCAGAACCCTACCTAGTTCAGTTGCAGGGATGCAAGCTGTGTTACCGCAAGATGTCACTGCCACCTCTCTCTACCTCATCTGTGAAATGGGGTTATCAAGCTGCATTTCAAATCCTCAATCTACACAGAGCCTTTTAAAACCTTGTGTATAAGCAGGTATACATGTATGCGCATGTATGTGGAGACCGGGAGACAGCTGCAGATGTTCTTGGCACCATGTTGTTTGTTTGGGGGCAAGGTTTCTCACTTTTCTCAGCACTGATTACAAACATGTGATGACATACTCTGTCTATGTGGGCTCTGGAGATCAAAGCCAGGTCCTTGCATTTACTCAGCAGGTGCATTACTGGCTGAGTCACCCCCAGGCCTCACTTATGTGACTTCTGAGTGCACTGGGGATGGTCACTCTAGCTCCGAGCCTCGTGTTCCTCATCTGTGAAATGAAGTAACATTTCTCAAGAGGCTATTGGCAAAGGTCAGTCAAGGCCAGAACCAGAACCAGAGAGTCTAATTATCTCAGAACAAAGGGGCGATGTGTGGTCCCTGATGGAGACCCTGCCAGGGTCCTGCAGGGTAAGGTGAAATGGGTGCATGAGTAGGCAAGGGTCCATAGGGATATCGCCTAATGGGAACCCTGGCATAAGATAATGTAAGCTCCCAGAAGGTGCAGCTAGAAGTTTCCCAAAGATCTGGCCATGGGACAGGCCTGACTTTTCGGGCCCACTGGGCAGCATGCAGGCTGGCATCTGCAGCTCCTGGGACACACAGGCAAGGAAGGGTTGTGCCAGGCTTGGAACCCAGATGCTAACATGCTATGCATTGCATAAATTTTTAAATTGTTCTTAAATTTTAATTGCAGTGCAGGTTGAAGCCAGGCCTTTCATATGTTAGGCAAGTGGTCTCTACCACTGAGCCCCAGCCCCACTCCTAGCCCCGCCCCCAGTCGCAGCCTTTGTTCTTTGAAAACAGGGCCATGGTATGAAGTCCAAGCTGGCCTGGAACTCATGATTCTTCTGCCTCATCACCTCTAGTGCAAGAATTACAGATGTGCACCATCATAGCTGGCCCGTTGTTACTGGGTTTGTGTTTTTCTTTGGTCAGCTGAACTTATCTCTTATATTCATACCCCAAGTTCATGAACTATGTTCAGAGTTTCCATTTAAACGGGACTCACTGATTGTCAAAGGGACCCAAGATTTGAAGCCACCATCTCTGTCTTAGTGGTTCTCTCTTCCTTGAATCAGGGTTTTCTGTAGACCAGGCTGGCCCTGTGTGTCTCTCACAGAACTGCTGTGCATCTGGCCAGAGTTGAGCAGACCTTGGTGAGATTCAAGGAAGCTGAGGACCTGAGAGAAGGGACTTTTCCCTAGTTATCCATGAGCAGGATGGGGACTGTGGCTGCCATGTGGGGAACACACTGGGTCGATTATCTAGTATGACTAGAGAAGTAAAGGGTGAAGGAACTCCAACCACACTGCCCCACCCCAAGAGACACACAGCCCCATCCGTAACACCCCATTCTGTCCTACTCACCCTGGGTGGACCGCTCAGTTGCCTGTGTGTGCTGCACCTGGGCAAACACCTCCTCACTGGGGCACCTCATCAGAGCCAGGTAGGCATTGATACGGAGCTCTGTGTCCTCCTCAGGAGCTTGGTACAAGCGAGACAGCACTGACCTCTGGTTTGGGAAAGACATCCATCATTCAGCACTCAACCCCACAGTGCCCCTGTCCCTACAGTTGACCCTGTGACGCCACCAGCTTCCTTGATGTCTCTACCATAAGCAATTTACCCAGCACACTGTCACCTGTGGCCCTACTGTGGGATGTAGTGGAACCATCTCTATTCCCCAGACCTTTTATCCTAGAGTCTGGTCAGTTCTCATGCATACCAATACATAACAGATGTACATGGATGCATTCCAATAAAGCTTTATTTACAAAACAACATAAACATAGAATATAAATGTCTTGGTGCTCTCAGGCCCAGTCCTAAGGAAGCCACCTCTAGACTCTATGACTGTCCATCAACCCTTCCTGACTTCCCTCTTGGTGTAGCCATGTGGTCACCCATTAGTATGTACTTAGCATGTACTTTCTGAGCACCTACTATGTACTTGATAGATGACTGATCCAGCCCCCATGCACTTGACACTCAGGTTCTAGAGCAAGGAGTGTTTGTATTTGAGATATATAACACATAAGGAAATATAAGGAGGCAAGACCAGAGACCTCTGGGGATTTAGGAGGTTCAGTTTCAGGTGAAACAGCAATGAAGATGTCTGAGTGAAGAGGACTGTGTGTGTGTGTGTGTGTGTGTGTGTGTGTGTGTGTGTGTGTGTGTGTGTGTGTGTGTGTATGTGTGTGTGTGTGTGTGTACCATGGGCAACTTCCCCAGTACACTGTTACCTGTGGCCCTACTGTGAGAGGTAGTTGGGCCACTACCCAGGTCTTCTGCATGAGCAGCAAATGCTCTTAATTTCTGGGATTATCTATCCAGTCTATCTCCATCTTATACTTTTTAAGATCTTTTATTTTATTTATGTGTGTTTGCTTGTATGAATTTATGTGCATCATGTGTGTACACACATGCATACATGTTTAAATGCCAGAGGTCAACATTGATTCCTTCCCTCAATCACTTTCCTCCTTATTTTTAAATTTTGTTTTATCTGTATGAGTATTTTGCCTGCTGGTAGGCTTATATACCATATGTGTGTTTAAAGGGGCCATTGATTCCCCTAAAACTGGAGTTACAGATGGTTGTGGGCTGCTCTGTGGGTGCTGGGACCTGAACCCAGGTCTTCTGCAAGAGCGCAAGTGTTCTTAACTTCTGAGACATCTCTCTGACCCCTCTCTGCCTTATTTTTTTAAGATTTGTTATTTTATTTATGTATGTTTCCTTGTATGAGTTTATGTGCAGCATATGTGTATGTATTCTATTTATGCCTGTTTCCATGCATGAGTTGTGTGCAGCATGTGTGTACATATTCTGTTTATGCATGTGTCCTTGCATGAGCTTATTACACCTATTTATGCCTGTTGCCATGCATGAATTTATGTGTGGCATGTGTGTCCAGGAGCCCATGGAGGCCAGATTCCTTGGAACTAGAGTTGTAGATGGTGTGGTTGTGAGCCACCATATGGGTTCTGGGAACTGAACCAAGGTTCCCTGTAAGGGCAGCAGAACCATTTCTCCAGCAGTTCTTCAACTTAGTTTTTAGAAAGATTTACATATTGTTTATTTAAGGTCTTCCACTAAGCCTGGAGCCCAGCAGTTCAGCTAGACTGGATGGCCAGAAAACCCCATGGATTCTCCCATCTTTGTCCCTCCACCTAGAGCTGGGATTACAGGCATGATCCACCATGCTCAGCTTTTATTGGGTGCTAGGGATGAAACTCAGGTCCCCATGCTTGCACAATGGGCCCTTTACCAACTGAACCATCACCCCAAGCATCTGTCTCCCTAGCAGTGCTCTATACACAGTTACAGAGTGAGGCCTGAGGATATATGGAAGAAAAAGTAGTAGATGAGGCTAGCATGTGGCAGCAGGTCAGAAAACCAGACCACAGAGAGCTCAGTGGTTCATGGGTAAGGACCTAACCTTGACTGAGTGACAGGTAGGTGGGCAATCTTTTCCTATAACAACACAAACAATAACTGTATTGGGTCTGGCAGCTTCTCTTGCAATGATTCCACTCAGCAGTTGTAGCAACAAAATAGCCACAGATAGCCCAGAGCTATCTGTGTGCCAATAAAGTTTTATTTACAAGAGCAGATAGCAGGTCAGGAGGTGGCCCACAGGTCTGCCAGTGCTAATACAGGTGGGTCTGGACCATGTAGCAGTATCAGAAATCACATACTTATTTTGGGGTTTATTAAGTTCTAGAGGACAGAGGCAAAATACCTGCTCATACTCATACCTAGGCAGGCACCCAGCACACAGGAGCTGCTCGGTGAATATGCAATGACTTTGAAGGAAGAGGTGAACTGATGGCCTAGGTCAAGTCCATGCATTGCCCCACTGCAGCCAGAGGGAAAAACACAAGGACTCACATCTGCAAAGCAAGGGATCCTCCGGAAAGCCTGGATAGCCGCCAGCCGGATCTCTGGAGAGCTGCCCCTCAGAGATGCACAGGTGCTCAGTACAGGGGCCAGAGCCGCTGCTGCCAGACCAGCATTGCCGATGGCCTTCAGCACAAGCTGAAGCTGTAAAATCATAGAAGTGGGACAGACCGTGAGGCCTGGAAGGGTCCCCTGCCCCACCCACTTGTCCAAGGATGGCCTCCCAGGTAAAACCTGAACCTAGTGTTGAGACACTAGCCATGCTCACCTGGCCAGCATCCACAGGCTCTGGGAAACTGCAGTTCACACCCAAAGCCTCTCCCAGAATCTTCACAAGGGAGCCGACTCCAGGTAGCTGTTGGCAGTGCCCATCCAGAGCAGCACAGAGGTTGTGTACCAGAGCTGAGATGCCAAGGAAGGCACCTGGGCTGGCTTCCGGAGACTGCAACAGTGGCTAGGGATGCACAACAGCCCACCCACCACAAGAAGGCTGGTAAGTGACACATGAAGGGTCCTCAGTCCTCCTCAACTCTTAGTCAGCCTGGTACTTCCAAGCTCACAGCAGCCTGGTCCCTACCTCCTGCTGTGGAGAAAGGACTCTGCATGAACTTTTTTCTAGAGAGGCCCCAGGGGTCCCTGCTGTGTAGCTAGGATAGAGATCTATACTAGGGATATTTGGAGGTATCATAACAGGAGTTAGAAGGGCTAGGGGTGTACTTCAGTGGCATAACACCTGTCTAACACGTGCAAGGTCCTTGATTTGATGCCCAGCGTCAGGAAAAAAATTTTAGCAAAAATGCCACTGCTGAATGTGGTAGTGTAGGCCTGTAGTTGTAGCAGTAGGGAGGCTGAGGCAGGAGTTCAAAACCAGCCTAAACCACATAGTAAAATGTTCTTTCAAAAGAGCTGAAGCAAAGCAACAGCAAGAACAACAGCAACTAAGGAGGTAGGAGGGTGCCATTGTCATGAGGCCAGGCGTCCTGCTAAATGGCCTCTCTTGGGTAAGACACCCACAACAGTTACCTCATCCCACCCTACACCACCAGCACTGAGTTGCATGACCCTGGTCCAAGCCGCCAGCAAGGTAAAAGTCCCTAAACAGAAGTTACGTGGAGAATCCCGACCACAGGGTCAGGCCCCATCCCACCTGGCAGAACAACTCCTGCACTCTTCTATGAGCAAGAAATGAGGCAAAGTTCTCTGTGCACCAAGTGGATCACATGAGCCAGTGACCTGAACAGACTGATGCACTCACACCCAGGCAGCTGCATAAGAGAGAAATCCTCGTCCAGAGACCAGAAGATCCCCAAGAGGGCAAGAGTCCCTCTGTGTACCCAGGGAGGCACCCCAGGAGAACTGAGAGGTCTGGGCTGGGGGTTGGAGTCAACTCAGGTGTGTCATGAAGACAACTGGTCCTCTAGGGCTGCCAGAAGGCTTCTTGGAAGTATGAAATTTCTCTAAATGCAAGTTTGGGTCTCTTGATTGTCGGACTATGGTAGCCTAACCACCAGCTCAAAAGCTGCCTGTGAACCTAGCAACAGGCTCCTGCACCCAATGTGCCTTGCAGCACACACGGCCAGTCTCCACTCATGCCCTGCTCTCACTGCACACCAGCCTCTTCTGCCATTACCTCTTTTCCATCCACTTTCTTATCAATGCTGTTTAGCTGTTGTAGAAGCCTCTCAGAGAGAGGAAGTGACCTGCCTCACATTGCCCAGCTTATAGGTGATGAAGCCCTGCCTTAACCCTGGGGTTGGGTTCCCAGGTTCAGCTCTTGCTGCTTCTCAGAACAGCTCTGGGCTGAGTCAGAAAGAAAGAAAGAAAGAAAGAAAGAAAGAAAGAAAGAAAGAAAGAAAGAAAGGAAGGAAGGAAGAAAGAATGATACTCAGGAGGTGATCCACAAACATGTCTCCTCCAACTCTCTAATGCAGTATGCTCAGAAAAGATGTCACCCTAACTCTCATCATCTTGTGGCTTTTACAAAAGCAACTACTGGAAGGAAGGGGTTATTTGGGAAGGAAGGAAGGATGGAAGGTGAGCTCTAGGGCCCTGAGTTTGTGTAATGTTAGCCTGAGACCGTCCAGTGCTGACCGAGTGGGGTAAGGGGGTGGTGGTCTCTGTTCTGCTGTGCTTGCAAGATTGCCTGCTGGTTCACACGAGTATGCAAGGCACAAGGTATTCACATGAGGGTGGGCACCAGTGCACCTCTCTACCAGCAGGTGTTTTGGAATTTCAGCATTTATATTTATGGGTGTTTGTATGTAAAAGAGAGAGAATATGTATATGAAATTTGTATGTGTAAATGTGTAAAAGTGTGTATGTGTGAATGTTGGCATGTGTATATTTGTGTGTGGATGTGTGTTATGTGTAAATGTGTTATGTGTGTATGTGTATGAGTGTATATAAAGATGTATGTGTATGAATGTGTATGTGCAGATGTGTCTCTGTGTGTATGTATGTGTATGTGTGTGTGCATCTCAGAGTGCATGAACCCTGGAACATGCATCTCAGCATGTGTCTTCTGTGAAAATGAACACACATACATATAGCCTTAAAGCACACTCTGGCTTTTGTTTTTGTTTTTTGTTTTTTGTTTTTTTTACTTGTCAATGTTGCAGAACAGAGGTGCAGAGGTGGCGGGTGGGTGAAGACCTGCAGGCCTGGTGAGCTGAGCTGATCCTGGACACCACGGTGGAACGAAAGGACTGTCCAAAGCTGTACCCTGGCACCCGCACATGTGCCTCACATACACAGAAGTAACCATAACTTTTTAAAAATTAAAAACATGTTCATAGACTAAATTTTCAAAAATTAGAGACACGGAAGCATCAGATAGATTCACTCTACCTTGAAGGAGAAAAAGGTATTTGTTGTGGCCTTGACCAACACCCCAGTAGCTCCACTTCCAGGCTTTCCTCATACTGGGTCCCACCCACTCGCTTTTCCCAGCTAGCTCCTGATGCACAGCACAGCCCCACCAGACAGACAGGGAAGCTCAGCTCATGCTGGAAATGACAATGTCTATGACACTGCATCCACACGACACAAAGAACAGATGCCTGGGGGAGGGAGGGAAGGGAAGGGAGGCAAGGCTATTTTTAGCTAGCCAGCCCTGCCCAAGCCTGTCTTAGTGTAGGCACCCTTGGATGGTGATCATGACCAGTGCGTCACCTGCTGGGCTATGGGTTGTGACTCATCTCAGGGTCCAGGCTCAGGTATGGCTTTTTCCCCATATTTGTGTCCTGCTGACCAGAGCCAACACATAGCCTGTGGAAGCAACTCCAGGGTCAAGGGGTTGGGTGCTCCCTGTACACCCCTGGATAGGTGGCTATATCCAAAAAGCTGCCGAGGCTCAGAGATACCCTGATCCTCGTCATCATGATGCTGCAGGGGACTCTGGCTGACTAGCCCCAGCCATTATTGAGTGTGCCACAAGTGCTGGCTGCTGGTCCCTCATCTGCTTCCAGCCTGGGATAGTGGTATGGGAGCCTCAAGAGGCACCTCTGCCCCTGAGGCCAACAAGGATGCAGAGGCTGGAGCAGAATGACAGAGCAGGATCCCAATGTGGGCAAGCTGCTCTGCCTGGGGACCTGAGCTTTTCCATCTGTGAATTTGGAATGGTGACAGCACCTACCTCTTAGGGAATGTAAGAGGGAATGTAGCTCACTGATGGAAACTGATGGCTAGTTTCACAGGGATTCCCAATTGCAGCACTCCCAAATAAATCTGTTTATAAAAATAGCTGCTCTGATATTTTTAATTGTGTATGTGAGTGAGTGTGCCTGTGTGCGCATATGCCATCTGTCATGATCAGAAGATCCTCTGGAACTTGAACTAGTTGTGAGTCACCCTGTGAAGGTTTGGCAAAGACAACCAGTGCTCCCAACCACTAAGCTATCTCTTCAGCTCTACAGGGGTCCTTATAATTGCTTTACATACAGCATATCATTTCTTACCACAAGCCTAAGTCAAAAAAACTAGGTCCATCCTTAGTTCCCATACCAAAAACCAGTCTCAGAGGGCTAAGGAGATGGCTCAGGGACAGCCCCACATTAATCCTGTTGGGAGTGGTGGCCCACCTGTAATTGCAGCATTCAAAAGGAAAAGTCAGGATCCTCAGAGTAAGCTGGCTATACAGAGGCAGGACTAGCCTGCATCAGTGAGTTCTGGGTTGCCTCTATGAACATGCACCCGCACGCATGTAACCCAAACCCACACACATGCAAACCCACACCCATACACATGTAAACCCAAACCCACACACATGCACATCCATACACATGTAAACCTATATCCACCCACATGAAAACCTGAGCCCACACACATATAAAACATGCATCCATGTGCACATTTTTTAGAAAGGCCCAGAGAGGCTGACCCACGTCATACATCAGGGATATACGTCACTGAAATTCAAATCCAGATCTCACTGGTTTGGTGGCACACATCTAGTTCTAGCACTTGGGAGGCAGAGGCAGGACAGTGCATAGTTTGAGGACAGCCTGGGCTCCATAACAAGTTCCAGGACAGCCTGGAATATACACCAAGCTCTGCTCCCTCCATATGAAAACCAGACTGATAGTAAATCCTGCCTTGAATATGGTACCATGGTTCAGTTCCATCCCTGGGCCATGGAAGGAATACACAATTCTAGGATAGGAGCAGATCACCCCTCATGTGTTCAGCAACCCAGCCAAGGAGGGAGGGAGGTAGGGGCTGAGAGTGGGGGCCAGACTCACCAGCAGTGTATGCACCATGGCATCTGTGGGCTCTGGGATGAAGGCCAGTGACCACAGCCATGTCTCAGCCTGGTCTGCCTCCACCTCCCCAGCCAAGATGAGCTGCTTCATGAGGCCCACACAGTTCTGGGTGCCACAGGAGGGCAAAGTGTCTACCAGCGGATGCCTGTGGAGTGACACAGTAACAGTGCTGTGTCACTGACCTTGCTGCAGCCTTTGTTCACATGGGGACAAGCCAAGGCTGGGGACAAGGGAGGGACAGGCCTGAACTCTCCGAGGAAGGAGCCATGCTAGGCCTGGGTTCCTCTTGCTATGACCAGCTAGCAAATGCAAGAGCCTTGTTTACCTTCCGCCAAGACCCACCAAGGGGATGGTATGGGGATGATGAAGCCCTAGATGGGCTAGTAAGTAACTTCTATCTAGCCATCTTATGTTCTCAGCCCAACACCAATGAATGTGTGGCTTGACTGATTATTTCAGTCTTATTTCACTTACTGTCTTATTTCACAGTGCTGGGAATGGGGCCCAGGGCTTTGCATACAAGGTAAGCTCTATCCTGTGGTAGTGTCCTGCATTGGTTTGGTTTTTCATTTTGAGACAGAATCTCACTGTATTGCTTAGGCTGGCCTTGAACTCACTCTATACCCAGGCCAGCCTTGGATTCATGATCCCCCTGCCCCAGCCTCCAATTTAGCTGAGATTTCAAGGCTGGGCCTAGGGTTTATTTATTATATACAAGGGATTTATTGTCCTTGTCTATTTTTATTAAGACTGAGAAAAAGGTTAGAAGTCTTCAAAAAGATTTTGAGGTGTCCTGTTGTATGGGGGGTGGCAGTGTCTGGAGTGGGAACAATGACTGTATGGAGAGGTTCTCAGGTCATAGCCACCACCCATGGGCTCCAGCTGCAGGGGACTGTAGGGTGGACAGGTGGAGACAGAGGTGCCTCCATCATTCCCCACACCATCTGTTCTGTGGATGATAACTGTGAGATGGGAACATGGTGACAAAGACTTGCTCCAGGGCTGCAGGAATTTCCCAGGGAGACATGCTGTGGGCTGAGGGCCATCCCCCAAACCATTTCCCTTGTGCACCTGTGGGGCTAGCCTGGGGGAGGGTGGCAAGGACAACTGATACTAAAGAGAATGCCAGTCCTCTTGAAACACGCAGACCTGAGAAGGGCATCCCCACATCTGAACCAGAGATCCAGGCAGGCAGATGGAAAATGTCTGCAGAGATTGCCATGGAGAAGTACAGGCCTCTAAGGTTCAAGTCTCCATCCTAAGGCTGGCATGGTGGCACAAGCCCATAATCTTAACGTTTAGGAGAATGAGGCAGGAGGACTGCTGTAAGTTCTAGGCCAGCTGAGCAAAAACAAATAACCCTCCTCTGCTGTGTGACTCCAGGCAAGTGTCCTAAATGGTCTGTGCCTTCTTTACAAATCCAAAGAGTAGAAGAGCACTTGCCATGGGTTAATTTGAGGGTTCGGTGAATGGATATCAACAGTGGCCATAAAAGTCGTGTGTTCCTACTCATGTTATGTGGTCATTTTATGAAGGACAGGGGGCTTCCCTTAGGTGACCCAGCACAGCCTGGAGTCCCTGGAGTGAGGTCCTCAGAGAGACCCCTGGGTCCCTTCACACCTTTGCTGACCCCAGCTCTGAGAGTGAGGATGAAGTTGAGGCAGAGTCTCAGCCTGCAGCACCTCATACTAGACACCTGGGAAGCCTCCCCAAAAGGGACACAAGGGAGTTTGATGCTGATCCCTGAGCATGTGCAAATGCTGGACCCAGGGGGACAACATCATCTTTGTCTGTTGGCCATCGACTTCAATCTCAGCCCCACAAAAGCTTGAATCTCGGGAGAAATTCCGGACTCCATACAGGCAAGCTGGAGTTATACCCTATCTGAAGACCCTAGAGAGCACCGGGGATACCCACCCCACCAAGGAATCCCCAGAGGCAACTTGCCTGTGGCTCAGCCTCCACCCAGAGTGAGTTCCTTACCGATCATCATGGCATTTAAAAGATGAAAGGTGCCAGACTGCAGTCAAATCATCCACGGAAAGGCCTTGGAGCTCAGACACCAGCATCAGAAATATCTCTGTGGCCTGGGGTGCAAAGGGGACAAGATGTCAAAGGAGACCCCATGGTCACCTGGTCATCCCCTGCTCCCAGGCAGAGACAGCTGAACATCTGGACAGTGAAGCCACACACTCAGCTTTCCATCCAGAAAATACACAGTGACTGAGTGTACTCCATCAACAGGTAAGTTCTGTATCCCACGCTAGGATGTGGTGGAGGAAGACAGGGTGTGATCCCAGCACTCAGGAGGCTCAGGTAGGAAGACAAGTGTAAGGCCAGCCTGATCACAGACTGAGACTCAGTGTCACAGAACCAAAAGAAAAAAAAAATGCCATGGAATCTAAAGGCAGGACAGGGTGCACCGGTGGAGGTCAGAGGTCAGCTTCCTCGGAGCTGGCTCTCTCCTTCCACTCCACATGGGCTCTGGGGACTGAACTCAGGTTACCAGACTTGTGTGGTAAGTGCCTTTACCCACTGAGCAATTTTGCTGGCCCTTGTTTTTGTGGTTGCTATTTTGTTTTTGTTTTTGTTTTGTTTTATTTTGTTTGTTTGGGTTTTGTTGTTGTTTGGGGGGGGTTGTTTTTTTGTTTTTTGCTTTGAGCCCAAGTCTCAAGTAGCCTGAGTGGGCCTCAAACTCACTATGTAGCCAAGAATAATCTTGATCCTCCTGATTCTGCCTCCTGAGTGCTGGGACAGCAGACACCCACTACCATGACTCATCTCTGCAGCACGGGGGTCTTGTGCAAGCCAGAAAGGCAATCTACCAACTTAGCTCCCTCCTTAGCTCCCTGATGAATCTTAGCTTGGGTTCATTAGCTTTTTCTTTTTTACTTAAGCTGTCTTTAATAAAAGTTGTGGCTGAGATTCAATCGTTTCTTCCTGTATTTACCATTTCCTACTTGTCGAGACGTGGCTCTCCTTTCCAGGATTTTTTCCAGACTTTATCCAGCTTTAGCCTGGCGATAATCCCATTGCTAGGGTGAATGCCCACAAGGACAGTTGTGCTATTAGCCTTTTCTTGCCACGCTGTTTAATATGAATGACATGTTTCTTTCTGCACACCTGAACCACTTTGCTAATCTGCTGGCCATTGTGGTGTCCTCAGACAACCTGACCTCCATCACCCTTTCCAATGGGCAGAGATCAAACATTGTAGAAAGAGGGGAAGACATGATCTTCCTCCAAATGTGAGAAGGTGCACTGAAACGTGATTTGTGGTTCTTGCTTTGGCCAGCAGCCACAAAGGGCTTGAACTTCTTTTTTTCAGCTGCAATCCAGTGATGGCCACAAAAACAAAAACAAAAACAAAACACTAGTTTGAATAGTTAGTAAGGAACAGTCTCCAATTTGTAAATGTTACTAAATTATTCATTTGTTTTTTAATTTTTACTTTTTGAGACAATATCTCACCGCGTAGCATTGTCTGGCCTGGAACTCCTATACAGATAGACAAGGCTGACCTAGAATTCAGCATCTGCATTAGAATGAAAGACCACTAGGCCCTGCTGCTACCTTCTCTGCTTGTAGGTTCAGCCTCACTCTTTAGCCCTGGCTGACCTCACACTCACCACCTTCATTCCTCAGCCTCTCAGGCACACCTCTGTGCCTGCCTTTCTGGCACACTGGTTTCTGTTTGCATGTTGTGTTTATTTTCTATGGTTCTGAGGATGGAATACAAGGCCTTGTGCATACAGGAAAAGTGCTCTACCCTCTGAGCTATGCCTGCAGCCCTTGAACTTTTTCCTACCAAAAAGTGACTGTCAACAGTGATGGGGGATGGTCCCAGTCATAGAGGGTCCAAACACTCCAGCAGACAGAGGGCTGCCTTCAAAGCATATCCGTGATTCTTACTGTTGCTTAGTTTGGGGAGACTGACTCATTCCTCCCATTTCAGCCTCCCTTGAGTCCCAGGTCCCTGCTGCAACCTAAGCCCGAGGCCATGGGAGAATCAAGCCCAGAGGAGCCATGCTAGGCCCATCTCCTGCTGCCTGCTCAGCAGTGGGCCTGGCCAAGGCAGGGATGAAGCCCCCACCTTGAGGAATCACCGAAGTGGGACATGCCATCCTCACTGCATGGCTGCCACCAAGACCAGCTTGGTCTCAGAACAACACAGGATGTACCCAGCATGGGGGTACATGCTGTAGTCCTAGCATTTGAGATGCACAAATGGGTTCATCATAAATTCCAGACAGCCTAGGCTACAAAATAAGACCCTGTCTCAAAAACACAGAAAAAGAAAAATTGCAGAGCATAAAGCAGGCTCCTTGAGGCCAGTTTGTTCACCCCAGAATGCAAGGAGCTTCCCTGGAATGGACCTTCTCCAATCAATCACATTCTGTCTTTCCTTCCACTGGTGGTACTGCCTCCCTGGGATGGACCTTCTCCAATCACACTGTCTTCACTTCCACGGTGGTACTCACTGGCAGTACAAGCAGATTGACTGCCACTACTGCAGCTGGCCCTGACTTGGGTAGCCACAGAGCCTCTCCATCACCTCACCATGCTACCTGGAGACCTCAGAGTTCTGGGCCTGCTTCTCCCTCTCTGACACCCGGATGCAGGATTTAGGGACACCTAACTATCTGCAGCCACCACTAGTATAACAATAAGCCCATGTAATATACCAAGGTCTCTAGGGCATTTGGCTAAGGTGTAAATCTGTGTTGGAGTGCTTACCTAGCATGTGTGAGATCCTGGGTTCTGTCCCTAGCTCCATCAAGAAGGAGAAAGAAAAGAAAAACAAACAAACAAACAAGAAACCCACTTGGCTCTACAGCCAGCATTTAATAAATGTGCACAACTTGAGTTTTCATTGAGAACACGTGCGCCCTGCTTCTCTCAGCCACCCTGGCAGGCACATTCCCTTCTCCTGGCTCCCGGGTGAAAGCTTTGGTTAGGCCATTCCCACCACTGCCCCCCACATCACCAACACCAGCCCCCCAGGGAGGGCCACACTGGGAGTTTGCTCTCTATAGGACACCAAGTCCTGGCTTTGTTTCAGGACTGAAAAAAAAAAACCTTGTCTGGGGCTACTGGCCTTAGGAACGGGCTGAGACATTGTGGTCTCCTGGCAACACAGGCAGGGCTCTGTCCTCCCCGGGGGCTAGGGATCTGGTGGGTGAGGACTAGTGTGTCCCTTGAAGGCCTAACAAGGGACCTCCTAGGGAAGAGAGGGACTCTTTGGCACAGGCACTGCTTACTGCCTCAGGGAGACCCAGGCCCATAGTGTACCTTGTCCCAGTCACGGTGCCAAGGGACATGAACGGCCTGGGGTCAAGAAGCGCTCTGGGACTGGACAGGAGAAGCAGGTCTGTCCTATGGCTTTCCACGGTTCCTATCCCTGAATCTGGGCAGTGAGATGATAAGAAAAGTATAATAGTCCTCAGCTTGGACAACTGTGTGCCCCAGCGACATCAATCTGGTTGCCATGACTACAGGCAGGGGAGATGTTGGCATCCAGCTGGTGGAGACCAGGAGGGCTTCTTCTGTACACCACAATGAACAGGGCACCCCGCCCCCACAGCAAATAACCCCAGGACGAGAACCTTGCTGTGGGAACAGACTGCCTTAGTGAATGCCTAGCTCTGTCTGCTACTTCCTAGATAGGCGGCTTTGAGTATAGTCCCTAAAGTCTGCAAGCCCAGTTTCCTCACCTGTAAAATGGGCACAGAGATAAGAAGTTTCCTGAGAGTTGAGTTAGATAACATGGATGAAGTCCTTAGCTTCTGGCCCAAGCACCAAGTAAAGGTTTGGGTGTGTTGGTGAAGCTGGGCAAGAAGGGGAGAACGGGGGAGGTGCTCAGGCTCCGGGCTGGGGCTGGAAAAACTTACCTCGAAGCTGGTGGGTTGAGCCACACACAGCTTCTTCACTAATGCAGCTGCCATGTCCACTGTAGCTTGGGACAGTGTCTCCTCCCATTCGTACTGCAGGCTGCTGGGACTCACATCTTTGTAGTCTGTATCTGAGATGGCAAGACCCTTAAAGTCAGAGGGCTCTGGGAGCTGTCCCTCCTTCAGTATGTTTGAGGCAAGAGGTTAGAGAGACATGTCGAAGTCATAGCAGGCATTGCCGAGGTGCCCATTCCCAGGGCATGGGAGGGTCAGCAGGTAGGAGGATGTGCAATGCTAACAGCAAAGACAGGAAGTAACCTAAGCACCCATCTATCAGATGGAGTACATTGGGTTCTATTACTAACAGTGTTCAGCAAAGGTGATTCTTCTCTGAGAGGCCTGGGGCTATGACTTGGTTTGGGAACTGCTTGCCTAATGTGCACCAAGCCCTGGGTTCAATGCCCTAGCACAGAATAAACCAGACACGGTGGCTCGTGTCTGTAACTCCAGCACTTAGGAGGGAAAAGCATCAGAACAAAAGTCAAAGTCATCTTCAGCTACACAGCAAGTTCTAGGTCAACATAAACTACATGAGACTCTTGCCAAAAACAAAACAAAGCTACCTTGTCTGTGTGTGTTTGTCCATGATGCCCCTCTCTGTAGAAGTGTTATCTTTAGGGTGACAGGAACAAGCTGGCCATGTCATAACTCTATCCCCAGAACCAGGTGCCTGAACAGGTACAAGGTACAAGAACAGAATCACACTTGTACCTTAGGAGGACCCTTATGTCAAAGCTGGAGACCAGACCACTTAATCTCCATGGCAACCACCAGGGAAAAGATGCTGAAGGCAGGCCCAAGCAGCTGATCTGGGCTCTGAATTTGAAGAAGGGTTCTGGCTTCTGACTTGTATCTTTGGGGAATTCAGGCTTTAAGGGAGTGGAACAAGGGAGGAGGGGAATGAATGTCACTCATAAACACTATTCACAGGTTGTTAGCTAAAGGGTGTGACATTTCCTCAACATCAGTATACCATATATTCAGAGCTGAGGAAACAGAGGCAGAGACACCCATGGCTGAGGTCACATGTCTCTGACAATGAGGTCCTACTCAGCACTGACAAAGAATGGAGGCCAGATTCATGCTGCATAGTGGGCCAATGGCTTTAAGTAGGGTTTGCCTTGGGAAGTGATGCACTCCAAAGTGATCACAATGATGGGTGTGCACCTCTGAGTAAGCCGGAGCCGATGCTGGATCAGACTCACTATGCTTTGCTTTGGGTTTTGCTGTCCTGAACACTCACCAATCTTCCTGCTTCCTGCCTCATCCTCTCCAGTGCTAGTGTGATAGATCCGCCACACGCAGCTTAACTGGACACTTCAAGAGGTGGCTAGCATAGTGTGTAAAACACATCTCGAGAAAGCTGGGTTTTATTTGGGTTTTTGCATGTGTATGTGTGTGTGTGTGGTATGTGTATGCATGTTTACATGTATGTGGGTGCACACATGTGTTGATATACATGCATATGTACTCATGTGAAGTCCAAGATCCAGATATTCTTGATTGCTCTCTTACATGTATTGAGGCTGGGACACTCACTTGAACCAAAAGCTCACCAATTTGGCTAGTCTAGTCAGACAGTTTACTGCCCTTGGCTCTGCCTCCTGTGCACTGGGATTACAGGTGAGCTACCATGCCCACCCAGCAGTTTTTGTTTTTTAGATTTATTTTTATTCTTAATAACCTATATTTGTCTATGTGTGGATATGAGCAATTTTTTTCCAAGACAGAATTTCTCTGTGTAGCTCTGGTTGTCCTAGAACTTACACTGTATACCAGGCTGGCCTTGAACTCAGAGATCCACCTGCCTTCTGAGGGCTGGGATGTGTAAGCAGTACTTGTGGAGTCCAGGAGGGGGGCACCAGATCCCCTGGAGCTGGAGTTACAGGTGGCTGTACTCCACCCAACATGGGTGCTGGGATCCAAAGTCAGGTCTTCTACAAGAGCAATGCATGCGTGTAATCACTGAGTAGCATTCTGGCCCCAGCTGGCTTTTTATGTAGTTTCTGGGGATCTGAAGTCCCTTGCTCTTGCTTTCATGGCAGCATTTTACCTAATAAGCCATCTCTCCATGGAGACCCACAGTTAAGGTGTTTTTCAAAAAAGATTAATTCTAGCAGGAGCAGAGATGTGGTTCAATGATAGAGTACTTGCCTAGCTCTCACGAGACTCTGGGTTCAATCCTGAGCACAGAAAAAAGGAAACTAAGATGATAAAAATCATAGAAAGATGGAGAGTTTGGGACCAACCTAGGCCTTATAACAAACCCTGTTCCCAAAACAAAAACAAGAGCCAAGCAAGGTAGCACATGCTGAAATCCCAGTGAGTTCAGGGCCACCTCCTGCTACACAGTGAGTTCAAGGATAGCCTGGGCTACATGAGACTCTATCTCAAAAACCAAAACAATAACAAAAAAAGTGATAGTAAGAATAATCTTGGGGTTGGAGAGATAGACCAGTGGTTAAGACTCTGTCTGCTCTTCCAGAGGACCCAGGTTCAGTTCCCAGCACCCACAGGGTGGTTCACAACCTGAACTCCAATCCCAGGAGAGCCAATGCCCTATGCTGATCTTCATAGGCGCTGCACACTTGTGGTGCACAAACATACATGCAGGCAAAATACCCATGCACATAAAGTAAAAATAAAGGTTAAAAATAATAATAAATTTTTAAAAATTTAAAGTATATTGTTCATATTTCCTTATTCAGAGGAATAATTGTCTCCTAAAAAAGACAAAAACCAACTAAACAAAACCAAAAGTATTTTTCTTTGCCCCAGACACAGGTCTTATTCAACTCTTTCCATGTACCACTATAACAGAGAGGCAGAGCACAGGGGACCTTCACATTAGCAGGGACTTTCTAGAAAATCGAGAATCCTGAATCAATTTGTCCACAAAATAGACAGACTAAAAGTGTCATTGAATTTAAAACAAATTTCCTACAAAAGCTCAGACCAGGAGATTTCATCTGAAGACAATTCAGCGAGAGGGGAGAGCCAGCACCCTCTGAGCTCGCAGAGAGCCCAGAGAAACATCTAGAAGAGGTTAGCTCTTGACAGTGACCATTTCTGGGACAATTCAGGGGTATACAGCCAGGGAAGGCCTATCTGGGAATTCTGTGGGTCTTCACATCCGGCTTCCCACCATGGCCATGGTGACGGCCATGCGGAAAGGATGGAGTCACCTGTAATGGCCGGGTCCCGGGCTGTCATGTTCAGCAGTGTAATGGAGGACAGCACCAGTGTGTGCGCAGCCCTGGCCTTCTGGAACAGGGGTCCGGCTGTGTGCAGCTCCTTACAGGCAGCCTTGTGCAGTACGCCAGCCTGGAAGCTCTGCTGACAGCTGAAGCTGGAAGCTAGACTGGCCTGGACCAGGGGAAGACACATACTCAGACCGTGTTCTGGGACCCAGGCAGGAGCTGCAGCAATCGGAAGGGCTAAGGGCCACAGAAGAGCTTCAGGACCCCACCCCACCTGGGCAGTGACATAGTAGACCAGGTAGAAGAGGGTGGGAAATTGGAATGGGAAAGTCCAGCATTCAGGAGCTCGGGGACAGGAAAGATGTGGCAGTCAGAAGGGCTAGGAGTGGTGAGTGCAGTGTGGACAAGGCTCTTGGCCTCTCTGGAATAAAGGTTGGTGTGAACGCAACCCTTTCTTCCTTATTCAGGTGGACGTTGTCCAGAGCACACGCCTGTCGTTACAGAAAGATGTGGAGGGGGAAAGAGGGAGAAGATATGATTTTAGGTGAGAGGAGGAGGGATGAAAGCAGGATAAAGAAAGCAGAGCAGAAGCAGGAAGGGTGAGGAGAGAGGAAGGAAGAGAGGAGGAGGGAAAAAAGAAAAGAAAAGGAAGGAGGGAGGGAGGGAGGCAGGCACTGTGGCCTTTAGTCCCAGCACTTGGGAGGTAGAGGCAATTGAAGGGGGAAGGGAGAGAGGAGAGGATGGAGAAGAAAGGAAGGGGGAGGGACAAAAAAAGGGACAGGGAGAGTGTAACAGAGGAAAGGAAACTGTGGGGGGTGCACTTACCATCCCAGGCAGGGGTTGAGTGTTCAGGGAGGAGTGGGCTGTGTGCAGGGAGCATAGCGACAAGTCCTTGGTCTTGAGCAGCAGATCTCCTTGGCTCTGGTATGTGGTGGGACACCGGCCCAGGATGTCTACCTGGGATGTTCAACAGAGTGGTTAGCTCCTGCACCGCCTCCACTCCGCTGCCCTTCCCTTCTGGCGCTGGTCTCACCTCCTCAAATGTCTTGGATTCATGGACCCCTGGACAGCTCTGTACAAGGCTCAGAACTGATCGCTTCACATTCAAGGCCCAGCGTGGCTCAGAACGGTGGGGACACAAGTGGAGCACTTGCCCGGCACTGAAGATGAAGCCAAGAGGATTGCGGCCCAGCACAGCACTGTGGGAGGAGGGATGGGGGTCACAGGGCTACAGTGACTCTGTCCTGCAGAACTCCCCATAGGGAACACCTAACCTAGGTACTGCTTCTCACTTCTCTCTGCTCCAGGGTGTCTCCTGGGCTTGTGAGCATGGAAAGCCACAGGCAGGTGAGTTCATATAGAAGAGGCTCAAGATCAGTCTGAGCTCTGAAACTTCTCTTTGAATCCAGAATCTGTTGCCGCAAATGACACCCCAAGGGCACCCAGAAATCCACTCATGTCAGAAAAGCTTTCACTGAAACCATGAGGGTCCCCACCGCCTACAGTGTCACCTACCAGAGAAGAGCAACTCCAGCACAGGAAAACGGCAGACTTTGTCCCAAAGCCTTGAACTCCTAATCTTCCAGCCTCTACTCCAGGTGTCACTATCAGTGCTGGGGACTGAATCCAGAACTCAATGCATGCTAGACAAACACTCCACCAATTAAGCTAGCCCCACTTTTTATTATGGCTGGGAGTAGGGGGGTGCATTACTGAGGACTGAATCCAAGGCACCACTCATGCTGAGCAAGCACTCTCACTAAGCTTTATCACCCTTTTCTGTTTTCCTTTCTTTTTTTTTCTACCTTTCTTTCTTTCATTCATTCTTTCTTTCTTTTCAGAGGAGTTTTTTGTTTTTGTTGTTTTGTTTTTTGAGACAGGGTTTCTCTGTGCAGTCCTAGCTGTCCTGGAACTCACTCTATAGACCAGCTAGCCCCAAACTCACAGAGATTCGCCTGCCTCTGCCTCCCAAGTGCTGGGATTAAAGCTGTGCACTGCTCCCCCCCCCAGCCAAGACTTACTTTTTAATTGGATGTATATGAGCATTTTGCCTGACTGCACGTATATGCACTGTGTATGTGCATTGTGTATGTACTTGGTGCCCAGAGGTCGGAAGAGGGCTTTAGATCTCCTGCAACTGGAATCAAGGACAGTTGTAAGTCACTTGTATTTGCTAGGAACTGAACCTGGATTTTCTGGAAGAACAACAAATGCTCTTAACCGACGAACCATCTCTCCAGCTTTTCTTTTCTTTCTTTCTTTCTTTTTTTTTTTTTAAAGACAGAGTTTTACTACATAGCATAGGCTGATCTTGAGCTCGAAACCTTCCTGCCTCGGTCCCTCTAGTAGCTGGGATGACAGGCTTGTACTACCTGGTCCCCATCTTTTTTCTTCAGGCCCATTTGTATTTCCTAAAAACCTACCTCCTTTCCCCTTCCCTGTTCCAAGACTTCGGAGCTCAGGGGCCCATGTGCTTTTGAATATAAATGCATACGCTGTTTCCCCTGTCATCTGCCTATGGACATTATTTCAGCTATGAAGACAGCTAGAGCAGAGATAAAGTCTCCTGCCTCACACCACAGAGGGCCTCTCACTACCACCACCATCCCCCTTCAGTACAGACAAGACAGCATGGAGCTACTGCAGAGGCTAAGATCTGGACCCACACAGTTGGTTCCAAGGTCAAAGTCCTCAGAACCATGGGAATTGCCTTGAGAGTCTGTCACTGTGAAACAGGCCTTGGAAAACCAGTTTTTATGTTAAACATTGACTCCAGACTTGGGCCCCTAGGCAACTAGACAGAATTAAAGCATGATTTGTTGTGTTGGACTCCTTCAAAGTGGACCACCGCTTACCTCTACTGGGCATCACGTGGCCAGGTTCTCTTGTCAACTTGACACAACTTAGAGTCAATTGGGAAGTGGGAGCAATTGAGCAATTGCCCAAATCTGACTGTCCTGAAAGATTATCTTGATTGAGGATTGAAATGGGAGGGCCCAGCCCACTGTAGGTGGCTGTGTCCCTAGTCAGATGGGCCTGAATCTTATACAGCACCTATAGGAAGCTACAGAGTGAGCCAGTAAGCAATGTTCCTCCTGTGGCTTCTGCGCTGATGTCCTTTAGTGATGGACCTGCAGGGTGTCATCTTTCCTTCCCCCAGTTGCTATGGTCATAGTGTTGATCATAGCTACAGAGCACAGACTGGGAGAGCATGCTACACTGCACAACCCATCTCATCCATCAGGTCTGGAGATATAGCAATAGTTTTCAGTTCTAACCCTGTGCTCATCTTGGATTCCAAGAAGAACAAAACAATAGGCACTTCAAGTAAGGCACATCACTCCCTAATAGAGGGCAATTAGCCACAAAAGACAGGGATGGTCACCTTGTGGGTACCAAGTAGCCCCTCAAGCACGGACAGCGGTAAGAACTTCTTCAGACCACCGTCACAGAACCAGATTGAGTCAAGGACACACCTTGCCAGGTCACGCAGGCCTCTTCTGTACCCCAACTCTTCCTCTAAAGCTCATGACAGCACCCAAAAGATGGATATGGGGCCTCTGCCCCCTGCATCTGTTCTTCCAAGCACTGATTAGGTTGCCTCTGTCTGCTTTTCACAATCACTCAGTTCTCAAATTGGTATAACAGGACAGTGGCCGAGCCTAGCTGGTGTGAGCTGCAGGAGCTCTGGCTTTTGCTCTCAAATTCCAGGTTGTAATCATTCAGACTAGGCAACCAGGAGTGTGGGCTGCACACAGCAGCCAGGAAGGTACCAAGGAGCAGGACTGAGCCTGTGCCTCTGGGCCCTACTCTGACCTGGTAGGACTGCTGGTCAATGCCTGGTCCCTGGAAGTTAGTGGAGAGGGGTGCTGAGGCCTGCATCCCTGTGTAGAGAGAGGAGACCATGGTGATCCAGGACCAAGGGAAATGACCACACTCCAAGCCCACAACCAGTAACACAGGCCCTTGAGCAAACAAAATTGTCCCCATTTCCACCTCCCAGGGAGACCCTTGTATCCTACCTCTCCAGTTGGTGTCAGGGGTGGGGGTCCTAAGGCAGTGCCTGGGATTTCAAACACTGGGCTTAGAGAAATGCTAATGGTACTCTCTCAGAATACAAGTGTCAGTCTGGTCTCAAGGAGAGTGGCAATCCCCAGGGCCCCTGACTTAGCATTTCTGATGAGGAGTGGGGGACAATAGGCCCCTTAGAGGAGACAGCCCCTAAGCCTTTCAGGGGACCCATCTGCCCCTGGCCAGTATCTCCCACCCGGTCCTGTCCCTGTATTCCTAGACAAAGGCTTTATTTTTTTAACAAATGAATTTGCAATAAAAAAGGAAGAGGAATCTGTCAGATGGGGCCGTCTTCAGACTGGCTGCCCTTGCAGCTTTGAGCCCATGTCAGGGAGCCCTGGGAAACCAGCATAAGGCAGAGTTCCAGGCTTGGCTGGGTCACAAAAGGGCAGCTTAGCCAGGGGGCAGGCAGGAGATTGCCTTTTACCTCCTCAGACAATGGGGGAAGGGAGACCAGCTGGCCTCAGGGGGAACAGAGATCAGAGCCACCCAAAACCCACACAAGGGCTGTGCCCATTGGGTAGCTAGCAGATAAGAACTCTCTACCTGCTGCAAGTGAGTGGCAGGCAGTAGTGGGGAGTCCCCTCCACCAGAAAAGAAGTCACCTAACCATGTTATTTGGAATCATGAAAATTCCCATCTCATTGGTGATCTAGCCAGATCACTTGACAGAGTCAAAACATGAACATAAGCTAAGTGTGGTGGTACACAACTGTGATCCCAGCACTCAGGAGGCAGAAGTGGAATAATCAGGAGTTCAAGGCCAACCAAGACCATGTAACAAATTTGGAGCCAACCTGGGCTACAATAAAATCCTGTTTCCAAACAAAACCTGTCAAGATAAACCCTTATTTGACCATCACTCCAAAGTGACATCTCTTCAGCATTCCCCTTCTTGGGTTTTCTGGTCTGGCTTAGTGTACCCAGAGACCATTAGTCATGGGAAGGGGTTACAGGATCATACACAAACTCCCAGGCCAGGGTCTTACCTCAAACTCTCTGACTCCTTCAAAACCTTCACCTTCGACCCCAGAACAGAGGTCACCTTGAAGTCTGGAAGCTGAAGCAAAGAGTACTATGAGGTGGTTGCCTCTCAACTCCCTTCGTGATAGAGGCTAATAGGGTCCGTACCTCAAAGAGAAGGTTTGATTCCTGGGTGGTGGCTACCCAGAGACTCCAGTCGTAAGTAATAGAATTGGCCAGGTGCTTGCTGCTCCCTGCCACGAGTTTATTCTCATTTTACCCAAAAAGACGACCTTACAGTTTGATAGAAGTGTTCCTATGACAGGAATCCACAGACTAAAATAAGTAGTGACTGAGTGGTTGAAAGAGACAGTGCTTGCAGCCAAACCTAATGACCTGAGTTCGATCCCTGGGACCCACACAGTAGAAGGTGAGAACTGTCTTCTTACAAGTTGTCCTGCAACCTCCACATGTGCACCCACACAGAAATAAACTAATGAAGACTCTGCCAATGAGATGGGTTTAAGTGACAGTGTCAACTGATACTTTAGAGGGCTAATTTCGAACCCAGAACATAACCAGTTATAAACACATATAAAAAATTACCAAAGACAAATGTGGTGGTATGCAACAGGATGCCCCACCATCACCAGGGTTGGTGGTATGTGTGTTTATTCCAACAAAAAATAGGTTTTCAAGAATCCGGTGGAGTGGTGTCTCCTGTGATCCCAGCACCCATGTAAAGCTGAGAAGCGTGGTTTGTGCCTGTAATTCTAGACCTGGGGTGGGACTGGGGATGACCAAGGCAGGAAGATGTGGGTTCAAGGGCCACATTTGAGTTCCAGGCTAACCTAGGCTACATAGTATCTGAAAAATAAAAGTAATTTTAAAAGTTGGGCTGGGGATATAGCTCAGTGGTTGGATGCCTAGAATGCACAAAATCATGAACTGTATACCCAAGGTTGGGAGAAAATAAAAAGGAAATTTTAAAAAGTGTTTATTCTTCAGGTGTGACACACACCTTTAATCTTAGAACTTTAATCCTAGAGGGGTGTGTGGCGGGGGGGGGGGGGGGCTCAGGGGGGTTGATGTCAGTGTCTTCCTCTGTCACTCTTCACCTTAGTTTTTGAGCCAGAATATCTCACTGAGTCTGGAACTCACCAACTGGGCAAGACAAGCTGCCAGAGAGCCCTGAGGAATCCTCTACTCTCCATATCCATAGGGCTAGAATCACGGGTGTGTGCCCAAGCCCAGCTTTCCCCGTCAGGCCGGGGGATTTGAACTCAGGTCCCCAGAAGACAGAGTATAATGGAATGAAGTTCTGGAACATATTAGAATATAGGCAAGCTTTGAACACATTGTAATCAGTGAAAGGAGCCAGAAAAAAAGAAAGAAAGAAAGAAAGAAAGAAAGAAAGAAAGAAAGAAAGAGCTTGCCAACCAGGTGACTCCACGTTCCAGAAGTTAAGAAAATCCCTAGACTCAGGAGAGGAGGGGTGGGGCCAGGGGAGGATTCAGTGAGTTAGTGACTGAAGCGCCTGTTTAAGGTTCTGAGAACATTCTAGAAATGGACAGCATAAACATAATCAGCATCACCGAACCCATTAATATAGACAATTCCATGCTGTATATATCTTACCACAGTAAAATAACTAAACACAAGCTACAACAGCCTGCATAATACCATTAAACTTAAAGGGGTGTCCAACATTTTGGCATGTATTATTTACAAAGTTCAGACTTTTAAACCACAGAGTCAAATTACACAAAAAAAATTGCAAAAAAAAATTCAGAATGTTTTAAGTAAATTTGCAGTTTTGTGTTGGGCTACATTCACAGCTATCCTTGGGCTCATGTTGGACAGGCCTGCAAGAGAAGGTCAAAAGAGCCCTCCAGGTAAGTCATGCAAAGAGCATCAGGGGGTTGGGATGATGCAACACAGACTGCAGGAAGCCTAGAGATCTCTCAAGACCACCTACACATCCCAATATAGAGAGACCCTCTCTCAAACACAAAAACAAACAAACGACAACCAAAAGAATTTGGAGTTAGAACCATCACAAAAGACACTGTTCTGTGGTTCACATGGAAACACACACAACAGTTTTTAAGAAACTCTTATCAGCAAGTGCTCCAGCCAGCTCAAGAATGCCACACAAGTCCCATCAGAACCTCAGAGAAAACCAAGGCCATGTATATGGCACAGGAAGGTTTGTCTAAGAAGCAGGACAGTCACCATAACAGGACACACGGGAGTAGGTGAGCAGTTCCCCTTCAAAGGGTACAAAGGAGCTTTTGATACTTGGAAAAAAATTCAACCACCCAGTGGACTGAGCCCACTGTTCTGCCAGGACTGACACCACTGCATCTAATGGCTCACCTTTATCCTAAGCCTGTGGACCGGGCAGTACAAGGCCAGTGTCAGCAGAAAGAATGACAAGGCAGGCCTAGAGGCTCAGCTGAACATGTTTCCACCAGTCTATTCACTATTCGTGTGTGTGTGTGTGTGTGTGTGTGTGTGTGTGTGTGTGTGTGAATATGTGTGTGAGTGTGACTGTGTGTGTGTGTGTGTGTGTGAGTGTGTGTGTGTGTGTGCGCTGTCATTGAATAACAAGAGGTCGTCTTAAGAAGTAATAGAAGGGGCATGGGAGAAACTGAAAGAATTAGGGGATGATGTAAATACAACAATTATATAGGAAATCCTCAAAAAGTTAAATTACAGAAAAGCAAAAGGAATGGCCAAAGTAAGGCATGAAGACCATCAATCAGATGTCAGCAATCTGAAGACGACAGTAGAACCCAAACAACTGAAATAACCAGGTAAGGACGTGTGCATTCAGTTCACATAAGGAATGTTTTCCTATCACTCTCGACTTTTTTTTTTTTTTTTTAAATCTGAAGCTTTGTGGCCTGGTGGTGCTGGTGCTTATGGCCTGGTGATTCCAGCACTCAGGAGGCAGAGGCAGGTGGATCTCTGTGAGTTCAAGACCATCCTGGTCTACAAGTGCTAGTTCCAGGACAGCCTCCAAAACCACAGAGAAACCCTGTCTCAAAAAAAAATCTGAAGCTTGTGAATTTGGCTCCAATAAGCCTTCTGTCTCTGCTTCCCCATAGCCCAGTTACAGGTGTACATGGCCACACCTGACCTTGGACATGGTTACTGGGGAGGCAGCAAGCACTTTACCCACTGAATCAATCCCCAGCCCAGGTCCAACTCTGTCAAAGGCTTTGGCTTGTTTTTGATTCACCCACACCTTGGACCTTCACACTGGACCCTCAGTTAAATTGTCCCCATATCCTTTGCACCTGCTTCTTCCTGCTGGGCCACTGAGGTATCACCTGCAACTAAAATAGGGTCCCTTCCACACACCCCTTCCTGGGAACCTCACCTCCTGAATCTGAGGATACCTTGTAAAGATTTCTGTTTATTAGGTAGATTGGAAATTCAGGGACCGTGTCAACTCCTTGTGCCACCACAACCTCCCAGCCACGCACACACTCACCCATAAGGTCATCTGGCATGGGCCTAGCACTTCAAGGATGGCCAAGCCCTGGAGGCCCAGGCCACTTGTCTCCAGTGGCGCCCCCCTCAGGCTGGTGCTGGTGTTGCTGGAGAATCGGTAGGTGTATCTGGTGCCCACAGGGAGATGTGGCCCTGCTGTCTCTGGAACCAGAGGGAGGGAGCAATGTCACCCTAGCAAATGTCACCCAGCATTGTTCCCACTCCCCTCTCTCCATGTGAACCCTGAGAGGCTAGCCTGGCTGAAGAAGCAAGGAGCAGCAGACCCTTGTAAAGGGCTCAGAAGAAAACAAAGACACTCCCAGAGTGTGCTCAACCTTGGTGATTTGTGGGTATATGTGCACACATGCACATTTGTCTGTGTGTGCACATGTATGTGGAAGCCAGAGGACACCCTGGCTGCTGTTCCTCGGCAACCCAATTTTGTCTTTCGACAGGATCACTCTCAGGCCTGGAGTCCTGGACTCAGGTGAGCTGGCTGCTCAGCTCAGTAAACCCCAGGACCCAGGCAAATGGTACTGCAAGTGTGAACCACTATACCCGGGTGCTTTGTATGTGGATTCTGGCGATTGGAATTGTATACTCATGTTTGCTTGGTAAGCACTTTATTGACTGAGCCATCTCCCCAACCACCCACCCCTCAAGCGGGCATTCCTTACTTTCATCATTTTATAGAAATTCAGCAAATGCTACATTCAAGCCTCAGCAGCCTCCAGCCAGTGAGATGGCTCAGATGGTAAAGGCCCTTGCCAACAAACCTAATGACTTGAGTTTGATTCTTCGGATCCAAAGGTGGGAGAAGGAACTGACTCTCTGAAGTTGTCCTCTGACCTCTATACATGAGCACGCATGCATCGCCCCCAACACACACACACACACACACACACACACACACACACACACAAACCTTGGCAGCCTGGCTCCTCCTCTACAACCCTGATAAATATGAAGTAGGAATGGGACTGTTAGCTTCCTTTTAGTAATAATCCAGGCAGGAAAGGTAGCCAGCCTGGACTAGAGGTCTTGCTGGGGGTGAGGAGGAATTGCTAGCAGGATGAGTGGCTGTAAGGAATAGAGGTGTCTGGAATTTTATAAGCCCACCTGATGGAGAAATGTGAACATTTCCTTGTCCAGTGTCACTCTGTCATAGCCTCAGGTCCCCAGGACACTTATCTCTTTCTCACCAATTTTCTCCCAGAGTTTTCCAGTCTGCTCCACCCCGAAAGACAAAAGGGATGTAGGGCCAAAGGCAGTTATCCACCTGGGAACTCCAAGGCAGAGGGAAAGCATGGCTTGGGGCTGGGATGGCTTGCTATTGGAAACTCATTGTGTGTGTGGCTTGGTTTCTGGAAGCACAGCCAAGGCCCTATGGGACTGTTCTTCACCCCACCTTGCAGCTCTGCTATGCTCTGCATCACCCTTGCTCTGACTCTGCCCCCATGGCCCAAGACTCCTGGTCAGAGGTGTGACTCAGTGTCCCTGGGAGATGCACTCACCTTTGCAGGCCACCATGCAGGATGCCTCCTGTCTGGTATGTGAGTCTGCAATTTCTGAAAGCACAATCAAAACCAGGGCAAGGTGTGAGAAAGAGGCTTGGGATAGTACCCTGCACCATGGGCCACCCACCTGCTGAAGGAGAGGATGAGACAGAGGGGGCAGGAGTGAGGGAGCTCTCCAGCTCCTGACCCCTTGGCCAACCTGCCCTTCCCCGGTTCAGACGCCACCATCAGTATCAATGCCCCTGATGGCTCAAGCAGGTGGGCCTGGAAGCCCTGCGTGTCTCTACTTTTCTTCTGCCACACCCCCAAGTCTGATGCATCAGCGAGTTCTGTCAGCCCCACCAGCTAGTGCTAGTCTTCCTTCTTCCCTCATTCCCTCCCTCCCTTCACCCTTCTCTCCACCCACCTGCCCACCCATCCAGAGGGCCATGGCTCCAGCAAAGCTACACCTTCTCTTGCCTAGACACCAGGAGAGCCCTCCAATGATCCAGCGGCCACAGGAGCTGGCACAGTCAGTAAAGCACAAGTACAAAGGCTGGAGTGTATGTGCGCGCGCGCGCGTGCGTGCATGCGTGTGTGTGTGTGTGTGTGTGTGTGTGTGCATGTGTGTGCTATAGCACATGTAGAATCAGAGGAGAACTAGCCAGAACCATGTGTGGGATCAAACTCAGATCATCTGGCTTGGTGGTAAGCACCTTCACCCTCTGAGCCATCTCACTGACCCTATTTATTTATTTATTTATTTATTTATTTGGAAACAGGGTCTTGCTATGTAGCCCAGACTGGCCTAGAACTGGTGGTCCTCCAGCCTCAATTGGTGTGCTCTAGCATGCCTGGTTCAGACTCACTCACTTCTGAGAAGAGGTCTGAAATGGACTGAAACCCATGTGTGTTCTACAGCCTGAAAGGCTTCTCACATCCATGGTTGATGTAGATCCACCCCTCTTCACTCAGCCAGCCAACAAGGGTTTACTGAATCCCCAGGGAAGACAGAGAGCTTGCTGCCATCCTGCGCCCCACTGATAGTCACTCTGGTTCCTGGGGCTTGAACCCTCACTAGTGTATGAGTCTGATACTTAACTTGGGTACTAGAACATTGAGAACACATTAGAAACAATAGTGCCTGCCTCCTCCCTAAATCTAAAGACAAATCAAAAATTTTCAGTGAAACTTTAGTGTCCCAATTGAAAAAGCTACAAAGGTGTGGTGGCATACACCTGTAATCCCAGCACCTGGGAGGCAGAGGCAAGCTGATCTCTGTGAATTTGAGGCCAGGCTGGTCTACAAAGTGAGTTCCAGGACAGCCAGGGCTACACAAAGAAATCCTGTTTCAAAAACCAAAAACAAACAAATAACACCACCACCAACAGAATTTAAGACCATAGAGCCTGACTACACAGTGGCTTTGAGGCCAGCCTGGGCTACAAGATGATAACTTGTCTCAAAAACAAAGTTTAAAAAGCACCAAATAGAAAATGTATATTAGATTTCAAAGTATGGAGATATGCAGACATTTGATGCTTTCTAATATTTATTTTTGACAATCTTGAGTTTAAAAATTTATTAAAATTAATTCCACTTACTTTCACATTTAGAAAAAATTAAATTGGGAAAGTCACCATTCCATTTAGTCCCATTGTCTTTTACTCTAGTACTATTCTGTAAGCCCCAGTAGTCAAGGAAGCATGCAGTTCTGCCTCAGCATACTCCAGAACTTCACACCCAGCATGGGAGAGCAACTATACACCTCCCCACCCCTCCCTCAGGGTTCAGGTCTCACCCCCAGCAGCTTCTGTGAACCTTACCTTACCTGCTCTAGGAAGGCAAAAGAGGGAGAAGAGAGACAGGAATTTGCCTGTAAATTTAGCTCCTCTATCCCCCAGTGAAGTGAAGCAACGGGGGGGGGGGGGGGGGGGGGGGGGGGAGGGGAAGCGAACCTGACTCCTGCAGATCAGTGTGGCTGCCCTCTCCATGCCACTCAGACTCTGAAGAAGAAAATGCAGAAAGCTGCCTGTTTACTTACTCCCCGAGGTCATTCCTGCCTGCACCCAAAGCAGGACCAGCGCCAGGAGCCCCGTGGGTACCAGCATCACCTTCCTCCAGGGACAGAGACAGGGGAGCCCACAAACCTCAGGTTGCTCCCTAGAGGGACCAGCTCAACTCTCTCCAGACCAGGGAAAAGGGAGTGAGGTGGTGGGGCATAGACCAGCCAATCAGAAGCTTGTGGGGACACTACTCACTGCCTGGGGGAAGGGGGAGGAGGGGACTGAAATCACTGAGGGAAAAGCCCTGTTTTGCCTTGGAGGAAGCTTTAGGAACCAGTGAGGTCTGGGGCAGACGGTACTGTGTGGCTGTGTAGCTTTGTTCCTGTTAACATTTATTTGTATATATGTGTATGTGTGTATACATTTTTGTCACAGCATGCATGTGGAGGTCATAGGACAACTTGCAGGAGTCAGTTCTACCATGTAGAGTTTGAGGATTGAGCTCCAGTTTGGCAGCAAGCTCCTTTACCTGCTGAGCCCTCTCACCGGCCCTGTGGGGGTTTTGTTTGTTTATTGTTTGTTTTCATTTTGTTGTAATCTAATATATAAGATATAAAACTGGCTGTCTTAATGAACAAATTCAGTGGCTTTGGGGACATCTAAGCTACTGAGCCATCATCACCACCTGATAGGCCATAGTCAGATAGTTGGCTTGGCTGTACCTCTGCTAGAGAAGATAGGTGACTGTGAGGCATATCTACAAGGCCTTGGGGATAGTGGTGTCACAGTGCTGGGGAGGGTGCCTGTCAGAACTTTGGCCTCAGTCCCAGAGGATAGGGGAAGGCAGCTATGCTCACTTCTACCTTGTACTCCCCAAGCTGGCCTCAGTTTCCCTCACCCCAGAGTTACCTCTACCTGGGCCTTTTTGCTGTGCTCCAGGTGCCAAAGCCAGACCTTCAGGGCAAGCCCCTGTGGCAAACACAGTCTTCAGGAACTGCTTGGTTGAGGTAGGACATCTACAGGACAGTCCTACCTTCAAAGTAGGCAGCTCAAGCCTGGGCCAGTGGCTTGGAGGGTAAAGTGCTTGCCGCATGAGCATGAGGACCTGTGTTCAACTCCCAGCACCCTCCTAAAAGCCAGGCACTTGGCTCACACCTGGTGAGGTCCAGACAGGAGGGTTCCCAGATCTGGCTGACCAGGGTCTAGCCCAAATTAGTGAATTCCAGATTTAACAAGAAATTCGGTGTCAAAAACTGAGAGGGGAAGGGTTCTGGAAAGAGTCCAGATTCCTGTGCCCATGGTGGGCAGCTCACGACTGCCTGTAATTCTAGCTCCAGGAGATCTTCTGGCCACTGTGGTCACCCATATGCATGTCACACGAGCACTCGCATGCACATTGGAGCACGCAAACACACCAAATAAAATGTTAAAAAGAAAACAAGTGACTAAAGACTTATCTGATGTGAGTACAGCCCCATCTCCATACGTTTACACACGTGAGCACACATGGACATGGACACACAGAGGACAATCTGCTGCAGGTTAGTGTGTCCACAGAGCTGTGCATCCATCACATTAGATAATTTTGAACTATTTTCATTGCCTTGAAAGGAAACCCTGTAGCCATTAATCCATCGCTCCCCTGGTCTGTGGCCCTCACCTCCACTTGCTGTTTTTATGGGTGTGTCTCCTGGAAAGTTCACACAAACAGAAAAGCCTGGCCTGTGGTCTTGGCATTTGGCTTCCTTTTCAATCAGGTGATGTCCCCACCTCAAAAACAAACAAAAGCAGATATGGGTTGTTGTGTGTGTTTGTTGAGATAGGGTCTTATGTAGCCCGGTCTGACCCAGGAGTCTGACACCCTGTTCTCCATCTCCCAAGTGCTAAGACTATAGTTATCCATCACAATGTACTGCTTTCTGGTGCTGGGAATTGAATTCAGGGCTCGCCCCTTGCTAGACAAGCGCTCTAACCACTGAACTACATACATTCCTAGCATCCCTAGACACAGATGCCCCATGGGAGAGAAAAACTCACCAGTAGGGGGCCCTCGAGCTGCTGGAGCCTAGTGGGGCTGTCTTATGCAACGCTGCCTCATCTGTTATCTTTGAAAACGAAAGAGGACAGCCTGTTCATCCATAGGGAGGCTGAGAAGGCCAGGGGTTGGGGTGGGGGTGGGAGAAATGACTCATTTCTGTTGACTTGTTCAACCTTTAAAAATCAGTTTCTTGATCTTTCTGGGCTCATTAATCCACTGGCAAAAAAAAAAAAAAAAAATCAAAGGACTGGAAACCATAAGCAAAGGGTCTTCCTCCTGTGTTTAGACAGAGAATGAAGGCAAGAGAGGAGAGAGACGCACATGAGCTGTCATGTGATGAGCCTAGCGTGGCAGACTTGGGAGACAAATGGCTACACCATCCACACAGTGTACCAACACCCTGTTCACCGCAGATGGCAGAGATTTGTGTGACTAAGGCTGCTCAATCTTGGGCACAAAAGCAATACAGATAGAAATAAGCAACTGTGTGTTTCTTCACAGGCATCCATCTACCTGGGGTCCCAACCATGTCACTCCCAAGTATTTACCCGGTCAGACGGCTCAGCTGGTAAGGGTATCTGCTGCCAAATCTTTTTTTTTTTTTTTTTTTTTTTTTTTTTGGTTTTTTTTTATACAGGTTTTCTCTTTGGAGGCTGTCCTGGAACTAGCTCTTGTAGACCAGGCTGGTCTTGAAGTCACAGAGATTCGCCTGCCTCTGCCTCCCGAGTGCTGGGATTAAAGGCGTGCGCCACCGCCACCACCCGGCTGTCTGCTGCCAAATTTTATGATGGGTCCAATCCCCAAGACCCACATAGAAGGGGGAGAGGACTAACCCTTGGAAGTTGTCCTCTGACCTGTACATGTACACCATGGTACGCATGTGCCTACACGTTCACACGACCAACAAATAAATGGGGGATGCACAAGTTCACTCTGCATGAATCTTCACAGCTGCTTCTTTTGCTTAGAACTCCAAACAGCACAAATAAGCATGCATCCCTCAAAAAGTAACTGGATGGACAAGCTGGGGTATGTCCATGAAGTGAAATACTATGAAACAACAAAAAGGTGCAGGGTCTAAGGGTTGATATCATAGTCCACAAACTCAGTTCACAATGCTCACTAGTAACTTGGATCAATAACGTAACCCTGAACATTGCATATTTTCCTTTATTAGGGAAGGAGACACTTGCCAAACAACAGCAGAGTATATCCTATTCACACTGTCTTTGCTGCTGATGTGGGGGTGTTGGAACGACCCTTTTAATGACAGTCTGACACACACAAACATGCTAATAAACCCTTACTCATTGCCAGCTGATGTAATTTCCCAATCAGAGGCCAAGTTCCGGGCCACGCAGACCTCAGCCAGGCTGGGGGAGGGCACACAAAGCTGGCACAGAAGAGCAGCAGGCAGGAAGGCAAACACACAGGAAGGCAAAAACACTCATCACTGCAACAGAGGCTGGAGAATGCACTCCTCCTGCATCCCTATGGGACACTTCCAGGTGTCCAGTTGTCCTGGTGTTGAATGGCTCCCAGCAGTTACATGAGGAGGGGCACCAAGTGCAGATCCCAGCCAGAAGAAAGGTCTAGAAACATTCCCTCCTCCTTCCTCCCACAAGAAGGTCTCAGGAGGGGCAAGTGAAGAGGATGTGCTGCCCAAGACCTCAGAAAAAGCACCCCGGAGATGGAGGCACCAGGCTAGTGATGTAGTCTTCCATAAGAGTGTAAGCTGCCAGGCTGACCCTTGACCCTATCCCATTTACTGTCCCTGGCCATGCACCCTGACTGCAAGAGGCCTCATAGCTGTGTGCTCAGTTTAGGAAAGCAGCATGTGGTCTTTATCCGAAGCCTGGCCCTCCTTCCTGAAGAGTGGGGTCCTCAGCTGTGCTTCTCTGGAGCTCAGAACTCCCACTTGGTCCTGGGAGGGACGTGTGCACAGTCAGTGTGCCAACACAGTCCCGGTTGGTAGTCTGGAAGCTTGTTATTTGGAGGGCTCTCTTTTGGTTTTTGTTTTGAGACAGGGTTGCATTGTAGCTGGAAATCCTCGTCTTTCTGTCTCTTCTTCTGAAGTTCGGGGATCATAGATGTGCCTTGCCATGCCCCACTTCACACGCCTGTTAATTATAACTTTCCATCTGTAATCGCACCCACACAGTCTTTCCAAAGAACATCAGGAGGTCGCTAAACTATGTAGGGCTAGGCTGTGGCTCAGTAGATAGAGTGCTTGCCTAGCATGCATGAGGCTCTGGGTTCTGTCCCCAGCACTGAATAAAGAAGACATGCCTGTGACTGCAGCACTGGGGAGGTGGAGGTTTAGGTTATCCTCTGCTACATGGTAAACTACATGAGGCTCTCTCAAAACAAAACCGTGAAGCCACCACTTAACTATCAAATATGAAATATGCATATTCATTTATTTCTGAGAAGCCCACACAAAGAGTAGCAGGTTCTAAAAGCATAAGGCTTGTTAAAGAGATAACCACCAACAGGTGAACAGATAAGGTTTACCTAGACTATGGAATATTACACAGCAGTGAAAAGGAAGGTAGCAATTTTCAAGCTACAACACACATGAACCTCAAAGATGTTAAGAAATCCAGACTCACAGAAAAGCCCAGGCATCATGTGACTATTTACATGAAATATCCTGAATAAACGAATCCACAGAGGCAGGAAGCAGATTGGCTGTGGATGGAGGCACATGCGACTCAAGGTTTCAAAATTCCTTCCTGAGGTGATGAAATGCTAGCAACACCGTGAATATACTCAAAGCCATGAATTGCATTGAGGGCCTGGATGCCTCACATCTGCCATTCCAGCACTTAGGAGGTAGAGGCGGAAGTTTCAGGAATTTGGGGACAACCTGAGCTACATGAGACTCAAAAGCAAAGCAAAGCAAAGCAAAACAAAACCAAAAACAAATGCATCAATACTTCAGGTGACTTTTGTGGAGTGTAAATTACATCAGTCTATAAAGATGAATGTCCCCCCCAACCCCCCCAAAAGAATTCTTACTTCCAAGTTCCAGGAGGTGGCTGTACTTCCTTCCTTCCTTTCTTTATCTTTTTCTTTTTTGAGACAGGTCTCAATATGTAATTCTAGCTAGCCTGAACTCATGGCCTCAAATTCACAGAGATCCTCCTGCCTCTACCTCCC